GCCATCGTAGAACAACTATATAAGACCTTCGTTATTGATCTCGTACCGAAGTGAATCTTGGCGGAACTATATAGCATAGGCAGCCGCCGACTTTGTCTGCCTTAGGCGTACGAGTCGCTCCTACATATAGAGCTTCTTATTATAGTCTCCGAACACCTTCTGGATTTCCTGCTTAAATTTATCATACAATTTGAAGATTTCAATAGTAAAATCGTCCTAAACGTCCGTACTATTGGTTAGCCAATCTTTAAGGGTAGGTTCAAACCATCGAAGTACCTTTCCCTCGAGCCGCAAGGAGATAAATATAACTTTGGCGGATTCGTCCGCAAGTTTGTCCGGGTAGTACTTAAGGTAGGCCCTTATAGATATAAGGAATCCAATAAGTCCTTCTTTATCGCCTCTATACTTGGGGGGTGCTTCGAGTTTGGCTTTGTCCTTGGGCTTGCTATTATAGGCCTTATTGACAAGCTATTACATATGGCCGTTTTCGGCCTCAAGCTGGGCGATTTTGGCGTTAAGAGCCTCGAGAGCCTGCTGCATCTATCGTATGGTTGCGGCCTGGCTCTGGGATTCTGGGGTGCTAGGTGTCTAGGGCGCCATGATGGTCGGTGGTACCTTCGATCTGAACCGTGATAGAGTCAAAGGGAGTGAGCAACGTGTGACGAAACCGTTGGCAGTCCTGCCTCTAAAAGGGTTCGCCGGTCGAAGGTATCTGCTGGTCGGACTATAGGTCTCGGTAAAGCCAAAAGGTTCACAACAATGCAAGTCGCAATGTCTGTACAGTAATATAGAGCTACCTTACTGCTTATATTGCTCACTGGAGAACTCCCAGAGTCCTCTATAACGAATGACTATATACCTAGCCGATCCTATTGGCTCGCCGTCGTTCGACGGCTACCGTGGTCTACCCTCGATCGCCTTGGGTAGGCGGCTACCCAAGTCTATCATGATCGCTCTCGCTCGCCGGCGACCCTAAGCTACCCAGGTCGTCCTTATGCGGCCGCCTGCGGCTTTTACCCCTGCTGATTGGTTCTGCCTGTTTCCGTCGTGCCCCACCGGGTCTTGCTATATGGTTGGTTCGTGACAGAACGGCTAGGAAAAGACTTCTAAGACCGGAAGCAGAACGATATAGACGAGAAGGCAGGTATCTCTTAGAGAGATAGAGCGTTATAGTATAACGGCAAGGCCTATATCGCACTATAGGATCAAACGGAATTAATTAAGACAATCTATAAGTCGAAACTCGGAGGATATATGGGAATCGCCAAAACAGTCGCCAAGGTTCGGCAATACTACGACTTCCTAGGACTTAGGACTAGAGTTAAAACCATTGTATAGGAATACGACCTCTGCAATTGAAGCAAGTCGGTATAATACAAACTATATAGGCTCTTAGAACCATTGCCAGTTATAGAACGACTATAGAGTTCGGTAACAATAGATTTTATTACTAAACTACTATTTTCGAAAGATTTAACTACTAGAACGAAGTACAATAGCATTCTTACTATGGTTGATCGACTTACCAAGTAGAGCTACTTCTTCCTATATAAAGAATTATAGTCAGCAGAGCAACTTACGGATACGATCTATCGGCATATCGCAGCAGTTTATAGATGGCCAGAAGAATAGATTATAGACCGAGACACTAAGTTCGCATTAAAGTTTTGGCAAGCGCTTATAAAGCGTTTGGGTATAAAGAGCAAGCTTTCAATAGCATACTATCTACAGACAGATGGCCAGACCAAAAGGCTTAACCAGATTATCGAACAATATCTTAGAACGTTTGTCAACTTCTAGTAAGACGACTAGGTTAATCTATTGCCAGCGGTATAGCTTATATATAATATAATACCAATAGAGACAACAAAGGTCACTCCATTCTTTACGAACTTTGGTTACAAAGCGGATTTACGCCAGGGACCAGGTATTACGGTACCTAGGGCAAAAGTCAAGGCAAAGAAGATATATACGCTATATATAATGCTAAAAGAAGAACTCGAGTTCGTTAGGATTAGAATGAAGAACTACTACGACAAACATCGGCTTAAGGGACCTCGCCTTAAGAGAGGAGATATAGTCTACCTTATCTCTCGGAATTTGAGAACGAAGTAGCTAAGCTAGAAACTCGACTTTAGGAAGATTAGACCATTCAAAATCGACGCAAAAATCTCGATATCCAACTACCGACTTTCGTTACTATTAATAATAAAGTTATATACTAACGTCTTCTATATCTTGCTCCTCGAACCAGCATCTAAGAACGTATAGGTTACAAAGGATATCGAAGCCAAGGACAAAGAAGAAGAATAGGATATTAAGAAAATCTTAGGCTTGCGAATAGCTAATAGAAGGCTAGAGTACTTGATCAAATGGCTCGACTTCGGACTAGAAGACAACTTATAGGAACCAGCAGAATATCTCAGCTATATAGAGAAGCTAAGAGAGTTCTACCGAAGGAACCTAGACCGCCTAGGAAGGAGGAAAAACGCAAAAGCTGACTATATTCTAGGTGACGACTTGCATAACGTCATCCCATACTACAGCCAGCAGTAGTATAGATAGGATTCGAACCTATAGTCTCCTAGAGCAATCACTCGGGTATAATAACCAAGCTATACTATTAAGCTATTTCATTTGTTAGGAAATAGGCAATAAGAATTAGATTAAGAACCCTAGGCAGGAAAGAGCGGCTGCAGGCAGCTACGCTATAATACGATATGTACGGCAGGCGCGACCAAGACCCGACCACCACCAGCTACGAACCCCTACTACCTTGGGAAACTAGAGGGCTTCTACCGCCAGAACCCTATATAGCCAAGAAAGAAGGACCTTCCCCGATAGCACCCAAGTCTATAGGAGCATCCAACCAGTTAAACCCCATAAAAGGATCCGGCACAAGGGGCATTGGCGAAGCAGGTGCAGGAGTAGCTATGCGCTTCTTACGTTCCTTATACTCCTTACGCTCCAAGTCCGAGATGTCCCGAAGTTCCTGGGACACCGCGTTTCTTACCCTCTCCTCTAAAGCATGCTTCTGCTTGCGGAGATAAAGCAGCTTCGCTAAAATCTCCTCCTCCTTATGCTTAAGCTTGTCCTTCTCGGAAATAAAGGAGCGAACTAAGCACTATTAGTACCAACGGCAGGCAGCGGCAAAAACCAACTTATACGTCCCTGGATTGATGCCCTAGATATTATAGGATAGGCGGTTTATATGGTTATAGGAACTATAACGTTTGGAGGTGCTAGATACCTGACAGTCAAGCCCGTGCTTATAGTAGTAAGAACACTTGGGCATTAGGAATCCAGAAGATATAGCAAAATTGGCGAGACAAGACCGGCGCTAAGTACTCGACCCGGCTTGAGTTTTTCGCTTTTGTATACGGTCAGCTATGACTGGCGAGGATAGGAGGATACAAAAGGAAAAATACTTACAGCTAAGGACTGTTGGCGCTATTTTAGAATGCTGGAAGAACAAGGTCGCCGAGGCGTCGACCTCGGAGAGGGGACATCGTATCACGAATTAAGCCAACAGGACAGCTGCAGGTGGGACAACCCGACGGGTGGCGCAGGGCGCACCCGAACCAATCATTCAGGACCAATAAGAAGGAGCTCTAAGGTGCTCTAGAGAGCAGACGAGAGCTCAGGGAGCTAGGCCAATCAGCACGAAGGAACGGAAGCTCTCGATGGAGTCAACAGAGCACCGAGCTCTAGGGAGCTCTACAGAGCACATGAGAGCACCCAAAGATAGCCAGTATATAGTCACTCGTTCTGGAGGACTCTGGGAGTTCTCCAGTGAGCAATTACAAGCAATAGCCCACACCTATTGTGCAGACATTGCGGCAAGCATTGTTGTGAACCTTTTGGCTTCACCGAGACCTACAGTCCGACCAGCAGTTACCTTCGACCGGCGAACCCTTTCAGAGGCAGGACTGCCTGTGGTTTCGTCACACGCCCTAACCCCCGAAAATATTCAAGGGGGTTTTAAAGGTGCTAGACTCATTCCTCTTAATCCCGAGAAGGTAATATCCTAGCTCGACATCCGTCTAAAGACGCCAACGCCCTCGAACTCGCGGCCTGGCAATGCCTATACCTGGGTTTCTAAGACCCCAAACAACCTAACCGAAGCCTCTACATAGTCCACCCTTATTAAAAATCGAATTGCCCAGCATCAAAATAGCTCTCCGACTAAGATTTTAAGAGCGGTTGATATCTTTGCGAAAGGGACGTCCAAGGTTATATATCAATTGGCATTGTTAAGAGCAGAGAACCAAAGTCTCCGAGCAGCAAATGAGGCACTAAGCAAGCGTCGGAGGACTAAAAGACAATTGCTCCGGCAAGGAGGATCGCTTTCTATATAGGATGCACAGGATCTAGAAGGTCAGAGAGAGGTTGAGGTGCAGATAAAGGAGGAAACACGGGCGGGTAGTTGTCGGAGGCCAAGGGTCGAGACGCGCGCGCGGCGCTATAGCACCTGCGGCGAACCTGGCCACAATGCGCGTACCTGTCAGGTAATTATGGAAACGTCTGATGAAGACGATTCTGAGTAGTTCCTTTGGTTTTAAGTTGTTTTGGTGGAATTAATGTAAATTTAGTTGAGAGGGTGTATTTTCGTGTGACATTCGCTTGTCTGTGACATTCGCTTATCAACCACGTTATATTATCAGCGAGTTAGTAATTTTCTTTTGTTTTTGTTTTTGGCTGTTGGCTGCTACTAGTAGTCACAATAGAGGGTGACTTTGAACAGAAGTATTGTGCAGCTTCCTTCTTTAGCCTCACGCCTTTGTGGTACGAACAGCGAGCGTCCTGTTCCCTCGAACGGAACTGAATACTAGTAGGAATGTCTTCACAGCAGGCTGCATATAAGCGGAGAAAAGAATTGTTGTCGCATACCAGTTCGGCGGACCACGATTGGGCTTAGCGTTGACCATGTCCGAGTCGGCGAATACCAATGGCCTCTCTGTCTGAGGGTATGCACTTCTCCATATGCGTATACATTCCCCTAATAAGCCAAGCTATATCACTCTGATCGCATGTACATGTGGCTACGACGCGGCCGAGACGCCTTGCGAGCACAAGTCAGCATGGAAGAGCGAACAAAAAGTCCCAAACTAATCGTAATCTGCCAATGTTGAGTCTCCCCATCCCCTTGCAGCCCGGGCAACGACAGGAAGGGTTCTCTCTGGGTCGTCGCGCGCCCATGTATAACCGCGCAGGACCTGTTGGAACAACACGGTGTGCTTTTTCTTCCATATAGGTCTACAGTCGCTGTCGCCCGCGCCCAGGCCCGGCAGGTGAAACAGCGCCTCCCTTGCCTGGATCTCTTCCAGCATTTGCTGGGCCTCTAGACGCCAGCCTTCCCGAATTCTCCGGATCTTCCGGAGCCGCGATGCGTCATCGACACACTGGCACAGACCTTCGGCTACACCAATGTAGTAGCCGTATGCTAGCGTACTGCACGGCGAAGGATGCGCGACGAAGTTGCGGAGGTCGACCAGCAGCCGAAGGTGTCGTTCGATCTTGCTACCCCGTCGAAAGTCGTCGGTCGCCCAGCTTAGCTCTCCGTATGTCGCCTTGAGAAAGCTGGGCCCGAAACGAGGCAGCACCGCGAACAGCTCGGGATCGTCCCTTTTGGCCCACTGCCAGAGGGCCGCGTACGCGAGGTCACGGGCCTTCCGGATACCCTTCATGGCCCTATCGTGGTTGACGAAGACGTTGGCCAGGGCCGGCTGGGCGGTTATCCAGTCGGTGTGTTCGGGCTGACCGTCGGTGTCTGGCTCTTCGTCGTGACGGTTCTCGCCGGAGAGGATTGGCGGCGTTTCCAAATCCCCCTCCGGATTCTCGGCCCCACAGTTGGCCACCGGGGTAGATGGCACCAGAGTCTCTTCGTCGCTGCTCCATGTGCTTGTGGCCCGCAGTCGCTTTTCGAACTTCCAGTCGAACAACCTTTTTTGTGCCTCCGTCATCCCGTTGCGACCAACGCTCCTGTTCCAACTAGAATATGTCTCGATGTGGAACGTCACTTTGGTGTCCGGGTTGAAAGGTTCCGGAATAAGCCTTCCGTCGGTATATCGATATGTCCCCCGTCGGAAGGTGACGGGGTGTGACACGTTCGCTTTCGGTCTCGCGGTCCTCGTGGCCATACGCGCTTCTGAGGCTTTGGTAGCTCTCATGTATGGCTTCGTCGGTTTGTCGGAGGACGTCGAGCCCGTGGCGGAAAGGCAGTCGGCAGAGTCGGCAGCGAGGATGGGAGGAGGGACGCCGGTGAGGGTGGAAGCAGGGTCGGCAGCGAGGCGGGTACCGGGGCGGTCGACCGAGTCGGCGCGCAGTAGCTTGATCTCCGCCGCCATCTCGGTCACCTGCCGCTTCAGCTTCGCGTTCTCCTGCTCAAACAGGAAAACCTGGTGTGCGGCAGAGTGGCAAAACTTCATTTTTGTCTGCGACGTCGGTCCAAAGAAGCGAAATTCTTTTCGTTTGGATTGAGTGATCGGAAGCGATAAATTTTGATGGGCAGAAGAGGTGGAAGAGTGTCGTTAGGGTGCTCGGGGAAATTGTTTTCGTTTGAATTCAGTGCTCGGGGGCAATTGTTTAATTGTTTTCGTTTGAATTCAGTGCTCGGAAGTGATAACCTGTTGACCGGCAGAAGATGTGGAAGCCTGTTGTTAGGAAGCTTGCCGGTGGTGTCCCGTGTAAAGACACAAGGTATACACTTTGCTATGACTTCATAACACCGGCGCATCTGTGATCAGATGACTACCTATTATTTATGACGACGAGACCTCTTCGCAGAGTATAAGTTGAAAGATTTCAGAGTAACTACACATATAAAATTGAGCTCGGCAACACACCCATACATCTCTGGAAAGTTAGTTATACCCGGGTAGTAGGTACTTTATCCACCTCAGCTTGGATATATACTAGCCTTATCGTTTGCCCTGACTACTCCTCGGGATAAGGAAAGGCAGGCAAGGTAAGGTAGGGTACCTAGTAGCTTTATAACCTTTACTGCACTCCCGCTCTTCCTCTCTCCTCTTCCTCCCCCCCCCCCCCCCCTTTTTACCCCCCAGCGCTCCCAACAAACCAAAGCATACAAATCCAAGTCAAACCGACGCCCGGCCGGGCAAACCAAACCGGGCCTTAGGCCTGGCAAACCCGACCTGCGGTTTCCTTTGCGGACTTGCCAAAAGTGGGCCCCCTCTTCCGACCCAACTCGTATCTCTTATAACCTAATACATCATGTTCCCTCTTTAGATACTCCCCACGGCAGCCGAGTGTATAGAGTGGAGAAGACCTTGCTAGCTGATTATTGCGGTTAGGATTAACTACCTAGGTAGCTTACGTAGATGCGTTGTGATATCTTAAAGGCTCGGACGCGGAGATGGAAGTTGAACTGGTAGCGACAATCAAGGGTGATTGGTAGGTCGCGAGACATTAATAAGCCAAACCTGGTTAGTTTTGTCGATAATAATAACAGTCCGGCAGGTCCAAACATAATAGTGAAAGAAGTTGCTCCGACCCCTGAAACTGAAACCGGCTCCCATGCTGGGAACCTCGAGGAAAGTGGGCTTACGTATGGCCCGCGCAGCAGAAGTGCGTCTCTTTGACATTTCCACCATGCTAGGTCTCCTGAAATCAACCCCAAAGCCAGGATCGAGAATAGCGCTGATACACTGAACGAAACCAAGATCCCAAACTCTGTATGGAATCTACTACAGGTATTCTCTAATGCTTCACCCATCTACGTTTCATCCTTCTCTTATTGCTCCCCAAAGCACATGTCATTGTCATTGTCATTGTCAAGCCCCTCCACTATCCGTAGCTACTACCCCGCCACGATATCACTAGGTACTAGCCGTATTACCCCTGGACTTCCCCTTGCCTCCCCCTCCCTGTAGTTCTCTCCCCAAACCCAAACCTCACCTTCCGCCCAACACCTTCTCCCACCACCACCGACACCCCAAATTTGCCCCCTCGATGGACACTACCACTACTAGTAGTAGTACAATCTCCTCCCTGCACAAACCCAGCAACCCCCTCGGCATCCACCACCCCATACCGCACGCCCACGCCGCCCAGCTCGTGCGGGAGGTATGCCCTGGCGGCGTCGGTGCCCGCCACCTCGCGCAGCCAGGCCGTCTGCGAGCTCTTGAGCAGCTCTCCCAGATCGGCCTGCCGCATCACGGGGATGGAGTGTTGGGAGTGGAGGTGGCTGGTGTATACTGCCAGGGCTGCTATGATTGCTATGATGAGGAGGGGTGGGATTAGCAGGAGGAGGGCGCGGAAGGGGACGAATTTGCGGGTCATGGTTGTGGTGGTTAGGGTGATCACGGCGTTGGGATCAGAAGGCGATGAGGGGGCGGAGGAGGAGAAGGAGGAGGAGGTTGTGGCTTGGGCGAGGGCACCGATCGAGAGGCGGATGAAGCTTTCCAGGCCGGGGATTGTCCAAATGTTGGAGTTTTGGATGTATGATGAGATGGTGGTGATGGCGGTGTAGGCGATGGGCAGCCCCGTGGCGGAGGAGTTAGTCAACATCGGCTGGGTGCCGTCCACGCTGGGGCTCACCAGCAGGGGCGCAACTGTAAACCAGAGGAGGAGCTCATTGAGGGCAAATTGTGGGGCTGCAGCAGGGCTGGGGGTGAGGGTGTCTGTTGATGAGAGAATCGGGATGTCGGATCTGGTTGGGATGTTGGTTCCGACCGAGAGGATGTCGTCAACTACCTCGATGTCTACGCCGCACGCGATGGAGGAGGCGCTGGTCAAGTTTCCCAGCAGGAGCTGGGTGAGGGCACCTCCGTGGATGGTCCCGTTGAGCGCCGCGAAGACGAGGGTCGTGCGCGTGCGCCGGTCGGAGACGAAGTCGACGTCGTCCGCCCACAGAGTGAGCTGCGCTTGGGGACGGACCCAGATCTCGGCGCTGCTGTTCCTGTCTCCAGGATTTGTCGAGTTGCTGTTGGTGCGTGTCATGTTGGTTCGGAAAGCATTCCACCAGAGGTTATCCTTGTTCAGCTGCTGGAGCTGGTAAGGGCGGCACGAGATGGAGGTCTGGAACCGGACGGCCTTGCTTGTGAAGTTGCCCCTCGAGTTTAGAGCCTCCCTGTCAATGTACCAGTCCCGGTAGTCTGGCATGGGCTCCGATGCCGGGTCTGATGCCCAGGCGTTGTACTCAGCCGATACCCGAACCATCACCGACTTGGGCGGGTTGGTTTGCGCATACAGCTGGCTGATGCCTCCGCCCGGGGTGTAGTTGCTCCCGAGGTGGACTGTCTGCCAGTCTGGAGAGTACGCGTGTCCGACCAGGGGAGGTGAGGCAAAGGGAAGAAGGTTCACGGCAAGAGCGCAGGCGAGGACTATGGCTGCGGCCAGTGACCTCACTGACATGACTGCCATGGGTGCCAACATGATGGACCCGCGGGTTGTTGACAGGTAGGCATTCAGCCCCCTAATGGTGAACGACTGCTTTTGCAGCAGGGGCCAGATGGTCGCCTCGCACAAGCCCAGTGCAGCATAGGCGAGAGCAACCATGCCGATGAGGTACACCATCGTGATGATGCCCTGAACCGTCCCCAGGTTTTCGACTGTCCACTTGTCCGCTGTCTGGCAGGCATTGGCCCAAGACGGACATTCCAGCATCTGCTTGCTCAACTCGATGGTGTAAACGATGGCAACTACCGTGAAGATGACTCCTGCGACCACCGCGGCCGGAAGGGTAAGGTGGGTCGCAACGAAGGGCCACCACCCGAGTCGCCTCGGTGCTGGGTGCGCACCATACACAAAGTCATGGTCGGATGCGAGCCGGCGGATATCACGGGGTGTCGGGGAGGATGCCATGTCCCCTGATTCAACGTCGGCGTATGGCAATGAATGCGGCGGATCAAACTCCTCCTTGAAGACAGACCGGTGTGACCGGCTGCGAGTCAGGGGTGGAAGGGATGGCGAGGACATAGGCTTGAAGCCTAATTATTTACTAGAAGGAGAAGGGAACGGAAAAAATGCCATGCGGGATGGAGTGAACCATTAAAGTGATCTAAAGGAAGGGATATAGCTCGCGGACTATGATGAGCAAACGAAGCGGGAAATGGACTGTATGCTCGTCGAGACGTCTCTGCTGGCCATCATGGCGGCGATGCCGTATCACTTCGCGTTTCTACGTGGCAGAGACTTGTCCCAATGAGGTTGTACGTATCCCATTGTTGCCGGGCGCCTGGGCGCAGAACCCAATTCCCAGGCACAGTCAGCTACAGTTGGGCACCACGCAATGACGATTCAATTTCCTGATGCGTGTTCAGCGTCGTAGCCAGTGAAGTTGGTCACTCTGTCCATTCGCGCCCAATAGGAGAATTTGTATACGCATGAGGTCTCATCAGTCCCGCTGGCAGGGCAACGATAGCATTGATAGGCCACTCGCCACGGGCCCGCAGTTTCGACAAGATTGCGGTGCCATGACAAGACCTGATTCTCAAACTCGACACACGGATTCCAGTAGAGCATTCTTCTCTGAGTGAATAACTTCAACTGCGTCACATGACCTTCTTACAGCCACGTAGGGGTTTCAAGCACTAGGGTCTAGGAGGGGCTCAGGAGAAACAGTGTGAATCCCAGCCACCAAGGGGGTTATCAACTCGGGTACCGTTCGAAGACCGACATATGGAGGGGTGTGCTAACAGTCGTGGGGGGAAAACGACTACGGGAAGGGAGATTGGGCGCGGTCGACGCTCAGACAGCATGAGAGTATACGGAGGAAGGAAGGAGGAGAGAACATCATGAAGGGAAATCGATAGGAACCACTAGTTCAACGGCACGAGATAGCCCGGGGCCCAGCACGACAAGATTCAACCGCTGAGGCCTGATGTTGAGAACGCATTCCCAGCAAGAAATAGGTATCATATCATCTCTTCTATCATCCATGGCCATAACCGGGCAACGCCAAAAACGCCCGATTTCATTCCCGAGCAGAACCCGCCTCGCCGTACACAGAACGCAAGCCCACCCTCTCATTTCCATCTCCATTCCCTAAATCAAAACCAAGAAAACAAAAAGCATCACTCCCTTCCAATTAGACAACCTGCCGCGGCTGCATCTCATACCCCTGCTGCTGCGGGTGCGGCGCTGGCTGCCCGTACGCATGCGCCGCATACCCCATGCCGCTGTAGGCCGCCTGGGTCTGCGCGGCAGCCTGCTGGTCGTAGTAGGCCGTCTTGGCCGGGTAGTCCTGGGCGTACGACTGCGGCGGGTAGGCCGTCTGCGGGAACCCCTGGCCGGCGACGAGGTTGTGGATCTCCGGGTTGTTGGCGGGCGCGTAGGCGCCGCGCAGGGTGCCCTTGCGGTACTGGTGGTAGACGACGCTTGCGTAGATGAGCAGGCCGAGGAAGGATAGTCTTTCGTTTTTGAGATAAGATTAGTAATTAGTAGGGAGAGGGAAAGTAGAGGTGAGAGAGTAAAATAAAGGCTTACAGGATGACGACGCTGATGACGATGGCGATGGCGCCGTTGCGGGCGCCGATCATGGTCAGGATGAAGTTCACCACGTAGAAGATGCTCTGGGTGATGTTGACCCCCAGAAAGAAGCCCGGACTGAGCGTCCTCCGCGCGCGCTTGATGATGCACACGAGGTCGAGGATCAGACATAGCAGGACGATGGCCATGATGATGCACGACACGGCCAATACCGCGTTGTATTCGAGTTTTGTGTTGTACTGAGCGTACAGCCGCTCGATGTCGTCCCTGAAGACGCCCAGGCCAGCGACAAGAAGGGCGTAGATCCCGATCTGGACAATCATGATGAGGATGCGGATGATCCAGAACGGGATCAGGACGCGTTTCAGAAACGGCGACGAGTCGCCTACGATGTAAGGGGCCGTCATGACGATGGTTGTATTTGGTCCGAGATCAATGTTGGACAGCTCGAAAGGAAGACTGTCGTCAAGACAAGCAACTCACCAGAATCGACGAGCCGCATGGTGGGCGGTCCCGTTTTGTTGTTATATGTGGGCGCGTGTTCACCAAAATTTCGCTCCCCTGTCCGCCATCCTTACCACATCAGGACCTTCGCGATGGCTTTGCGACCCCGCCAATCAATGGCTGCGTCTCCTCGCACCTCAGCCACGCAGAGGCCACAGCCTAAACGCGGTGGTCATCGCTTGGCACGTTCTGCGGGCTCCGTTCAAGGTTCAGGCCAAGCATCGATTGGCGTGCCAAGCGAGGCTTGGGGCTGATGACTTGTCAATGGCTCCAGACTTCGAGGCAGCGATCCGCAGTCGGCTCATGCGATGAGCCAGGCCCGCCCTAGTTACCGCATTTAGCAGCTTGTTCATTGCCCAAGAAATTGGGAGCATTCTCTGGGATTTTCTTCTTCGTTTCTTCACCTGAACTGCCCTGCGCAATGAATTCTTACATACATAGTAACATGGTACCGTGAAGTTGATGCGGTCCGTAATGCTGCTTTGCCGATAGTAAGCACTAATGCAGCCAAGCATTTGAGCCCAATCGTGGCGCTTTTGCCCCGAACCTCTGCCACCCAGCGAGCCACAAGCAGTTCCATAACAACTGTCAATATGTTTTTACCACCTCCTGTCGTATCACAGTTATTAACAGCTTACGCCAGGATAGCACCTATGGTGTGCTTCGGCAACCTGTTACTGTGGACACGGGTAACGGCACAGCCTGGGACTGGAGCTCATGGGACCGGAACTTCTTCCGACCACGGATCGCCGGTTCAGGGTCCTCCAGTTTCATCCTAAATTGTGGGTCGCATGTGGGTACGGATAACGTTAACCTTACCATTTTCGGCGACTCGGAATGCACATTTTGCGCAGAGAAGAAATCCAAATGCCCATACCTCAGCAATAAGCAACACCGCGACGGAGTCACGGAGGTTATCCGATGAACTGGCCTGCATGGACTATATGGTTCAAGTATATCCATTGCAATTTGTCTCGCGGCTGGTGAGCAATCTGCCTATCTCTAATCTTGTTCGACTCTCCACTTCTGGTAGAGACCTGCCCGTAGAGACCTGCCCTGTGCACTTGACGGCCATCATGGGTCAATCATGCTAGGTTGTCAAAGATTGTGAGCGTTCCGATGATGCATCTGTGTCAACTGGCGTTTGCGTGTCGACGAACCAAACTGCTACGGCGACTTTACCTGGCAGCTCAGTCAGCTGCCGGAACCTACAGAATACAGTGGGTTGGTTCGCATTGTTTTTCTTTGACCACACACACTTATCGACGAAGATGTCAACTCTTTCATCCTCAAATCTTTCCATTCTTCCCTTGGACGGGGAAATCAGTACATGACACGGTGCTTCAAGTGCGACTACAGCTTGACTGGCATTGCTATAACTGGATGTAGCAGTTGCCCCGCAATGACATCACAGCCGCGACATGCATTACAGCTCTCTTTACATACGAGCCACTCTAGCACTATATTCTCTATCCGGGATTTACCTTATCTAAGATATCGAGCTCTCTTCTTTGTCAAGGACAATTTCATACTCCCACTTCAGCATCCAAGCCATGGAGGAGACGGTAGCAGCAGCGAAGGCCATGGCAGCGCCAACCCTGCCGCTCAAACTCACACTAACCCAGCTCTCCAGTCCGATTCCTGAGGGCTCACCGTAAACCAATTCTCCAGTCCCCTAGCTCCTTAACTATAACCTCCCTGATAACTAACCGCTTCCCTACACAGCCACCCGGCCCTCGCGCGCACGCATCACACCGTCACGGTCCTCGACAACAAAGCCTTCCTCTTCGGCGGCGAAGACGCCTCAGGCGACGTCTGCCCGCCCGGCATCCACACCCTCACGCTGCCCCCCACTACTACTAGTACTTCTTCACCTGCAAAGTCCTCCTCCTCCTTCTCCACAGCAACAACCGCGGACCCCCTAACAACAACAACGGACGAAGAAGAACCTCCGGCGTACTACGGCACAGCATACACCTGCTACCCGCCCTTCCCCCTCCAAGACGCCGCGACAGGCGAAACGCTCGTGCCGGCCCCGCGCGCCGAGCACGCGGCCTGCGCGTACGACGGTCGCTACCTACTCGTGCACGGCGGCCGCCGGGACGGGGCAGGCAGGCCCGCGGACCGGGATAATTGCCTGTGGCAGTGGGATAGCGAGAGGCTGAGCTGGAGCAAGCTACGGGGCGATTCGCAACTGGGCAAGTCGATGGCGCCGCGGTGCGGGCACTGGATGTTTGCGGATGGGCGTCAGGGGTTTGTGGTCGTCGTCGGGGGCCGTGCTACAACTACTAGTAGTGGTGTGGAGGAGGAAGAGGAGATGGAGATTGGGAAGGAGGCGTGGATGTATGACTTCCACTCTATGGTCTGGACGGCGCTGCCGGGGTTGCCGGTCAGGCCGGTCGCGGCGGCGTATGCGGGTGGGAGGGTATATGTCATATCCTCTGGCGAGGGCCGTGGGTTGGTGCACTATATGGATCTGCTCAACTCGACGGTTGAGCGGGAGAAGCCTGGCGCGTTGGTGTGGAGGAGCGTTGATGATCCCGGGGCTGTTCACCCCAAACCACGGCCGGGCGGGGCGTTGGTTCCGCTGACGGTGGGACACGGGCGTGAATACCTCGTTTACATCCTTGGGTGCTCCGAGGGCGAGGGTGGGCGCGCGGAGATCTGGACGCTTCAGCAGCCTGCTCATTCACGCAGTGCGGCTGCCGTTGGGGATAAGATTCGGGAGAAGCTGGCTGGTGCAGAGTCGGAAGAGTTTGGGTGGGCTGAGGCGGACATCGTTTCCACGGAGGGAACGGCGGAGGGCCGACAGGTGCATCGTGGTCCGACTGGCTCTCTCAGTGCAGATACTTGTTTCGACGGGAAGGGAGTGGTCTTGTGGGAGGGCATAAATGCTAGGGGGGGGGAGGAAGGCCATGGGTGGATCTTGAGGCTGGCCTGAGGTGCTTCACCAAAGGCATGATCGATTTCAAGCTAGGTGTTCAGTTCCATGATCACATTGGGGTCTGATGAACTTACGCTGCCGGTCGTCACCCTGTTCTCTGGATAGGAAAGGTCCTAAAAGAGCAATTACACCTGATGTATCAGACTCACTTTAGCGGATGCGGTGAATGTCGGCTAGAGACTTGGTGCAGCATTAATTAGAAATGACCTCAAATGCGCGCAATACGCGCATTCCAGTATCGCCAATGTCACATCGTGCATCCTATGGGATTCTAGCTCTAGCCGACCGGCGGTGAGCAGGCTTGTAATGCTGTAAGAGGTATCCATGGCTCTAGATGAATGGCAGTCGCCGGCGGAGTATTTAGAGTGACTGAGTCCCTCGTCCAGTTTTCGACGGGGCGCGGAGCTTATGCTGGACATAGTACCTTAACATACTAGTACTGATAGCAAATTGACGATGCGCCTCATCTTGGCAGCCGTCGTCTCGGCGGCCAACCTCATCTCGGCAACACCAAACCACAGTTACGATAATGATCTGACGGTCAGAACGAAGCTGGGCGTGATCCACGGCACGTTCGACAGCGCAACGCCGGGCGTTCGCCAGTTCTTGGGCATCCCGTATGCACTCCCGCCGGTCAATGACCTCCGATTTGCGCCACCGCAGCGGGCGCGGCCGTTCGGGGAGTTGGATGCGAAGGAGATGCCCCCAAGTTGCATGCAATATGCCAGCAGTATTCCCAGCATTGCCACGCACGAAGTGCTCGAGTTCAACCTGGGCGGCTTGAACGGGACTACGGGTCCTATCAGCGAGGACTGTCTGACCCTCAGCATCTGGGCGCCGCGTCGTGCAACCCAAAAACAGCTGCCTGTGCTCATCTTCTTTTACGGTGGCGCCTTTGCGACCGGCGGCGTCGATGTGCCGTACCTCATCCCGGCGCAATGGGTGCAGCGGACGCAGAGCCACATCGTCGTGGCCTTCAACCACCGCGACAACATCTTCGGCTTCCCCAACGCCGCCGGCCTCCCGCCGCACGAGCAAAACGTCGGCCTGCTCGACCAACGGCTCGCGATCGAGTGGGTGCGCGACCACATCGCCGCATTCGGCGGCGACCCGGCCCGCATCGGCCTCTGGGGCGAGAGCTCCGGCGGCTGTGCCATCGCCTACTACAGCTACAGCTATCGCGACGACCCCATCGCCAACAGCATCATCATGGGCTCCGGGAACGAGTTCATCGACGTTCTCACCCGGGACCCGGGTCACCAGAATTTCACCTTCGTCGCCTCCCAGGTCGGGTGCGGCGGCAACCTCTCCCCGGCCGCCGAGCTGGCCTGCATGCGCCGCGTCGACGCCGCCGCCATCACCTCCTTCATCCACACCTACTCGGACGCCGGCCACACCCCGCTGCTGACCTTCTCCCCGGTCATCGACAACCGCACCATCTTCGAGTCCTACCCCCCGCCGTCCCCTCCCTTCAACAACAACAACAACCCACCAGCCCCGCTCCCGGCGCTGATAGGCAGCAACGCGCAGGACGGCGTCCCCTTCCTTCCCTACATCCCGAACGCCTCCGGCGATATCATTATCGACCCGGTCCTAGCGGAGGAGATGACCATGAGCTTCTTCTTCTGCCCGACCTACGCCTCGGCCAAGACGCGTGTTGTTGCAGCAGCAGCCCACGGCGGCAAGGCGCCGGCGGCAGTGTACCGCTACTTGTACGCGGGCAATTTCACCAATGTGAGCCCCAAGCCGTGGATGGGCGCGTACCATGGCGCCGAGATGCCGCTTGTCATGGGCACGCACGGGCTGGTGAGGGGCGAGTCGACCGAGTTGGAGGTGCGGACCAGCGAGGCGATGCAGGATGTGTGGTTGAGCTTTGTGGCGAGCGGGGGGCAGGAGATGGGAGTGGAGGGGTGGCGTGGGGATGGCGGAGTGGTGGAGTTTGGGGGCGATGGGGTGCCGGCTAGGGTGGTTGATACAGCGGAGTTGGAGGCCAGGTGTGGGTGATCACTGGGTGACTTATAAGTTCTTAGGGTCTCCTGTGAGTAGCTATCATGGAGGTAAAGTATGTATGTACGGCAGTTGGTTCAGTGAGAGGGTTGGTCTATAACTGTTTCTAACCCTATGCCGTACTAGTATTTACGTTTGACCCATGGACTTAAAGTCTTCATGCTGTGACAAAGCCAGAGAACTCCCACACTTCCGGCACCTCACACATAGTAGTAAATCTTCTCGCAGCTGTGGTAGCTGTAGCTGGCACTGGGCGAGTGGTCGTCCTTGAACCCGGCAAACGTCTTGAAGCCGTTGGACCCGGTACTAACGTTGGCACAAAAGAGTGTGTGTGTTAGTTCATGAATAGTCGAGACGGAGGAAGATCACTGTGTGTAAAGAATGCCTACCCGACCGACGAATAGTTGGGCTGGGATTGAGCATTCCCGGGGATATTCCAGCGGAAGGTCACGCCAGTCGACGAGAAGGTGCAGCTCTGGCTGCTGCCCTCCCAGTGGTGGTAGCTCTCGGAGGTGCCCGAGCTCGACACGATGCAGGCGTCCTGGTCGGGGATGCTGTACTGCAGACTGTTGCAGTCGGCGTCATTCGCGCAGTACTGCAAACAATGGTTAGTTTCGAATATTGTCAGCACGATCGAGACATGCTCACCGCAACGATGGAGAGCCAGGTCTGGGACACGCCGGCACCACCAAAGGGCCGGCAGTTCAGCAAGTGGATTCCTTCGCCGAGGACTCCCTGGGCGAGGATGGCTGCGGCGGCGACGAGCTTCAGGCCGAACATTGTGACTGTTGACTGAGATTGGAAAGAAGGCTGGCTGGTTTGAGAGATGAGGGAGTACAGAAGCTGTTCTAGAGGGAGCTCTGGGACTGGAACACCTTCGAGGAATGGCGGTTATTATACCCTTCTTGAAGGGGAGCTACGGACACTATCGTGGAGAAAGGTCACGGAATCCCGGGACGGAGTAACTCCATACAATCCCACCATGACAGTGGCAAGAACCCGTAGGCCATAGGAAAATCGCATCCCGTCAAAGGCTTGCGAGGTTCGCTGGCAATCCCCGTTGCTGGTATTCAGCTCTTCCGTATCCGTTTCGCAGATGGCCGCGTAGCATGCAGCTAGGCAGCAGTAGAAAAATCCACTTGTAGCTGAGTGAGCTGAGGCGGGCAGGGCGATTAGTGAACAAGCCCAACCTATCTGCGTTGCGACTGGAAGGAAGCTTACTCATGGCCATTTGTACATTCGATATGTTGTGGGACCACAGTCCACTCTGTTGTATTGAGTAAACATACATCGTACTCCCTATGCCCGATGAGCATCTAATACTTCCCACGCTCTCATGCGGTGCTTACGCTTCTAGAGTCTGATTTGCAGCTGCGCAATCTCCATCGAATCATTCTCACCTTGGTAGGTACCTAGTCTTGTAAATTCGAAGCCAGCCCAGCCAATGGCACAACCACATTGTCGTAGAACTCCATCGCCGGATGCACACCGACCTCGCCCGGATCATCCACCTCCTCTCCGTTATTCCTGCCCGCAAACTCCAAACAGAACTTGACCGCCCGATAGAACGGCGATCCAACCCGAAAGGCCAACTCGGCCTCCACCCTGGCCGTCACCCGTTTCTTCAGCTCCAAGGCATGCGGTTCATGAAACACCTTCATGTCGCCCGACAACTCCACACTCCCACCACCACCGTCACCATCACCCACTTTACCAGCACTGCTAGCACCCAACTGCAAAGCAGCCACCAAATCCCTCGTCACCGCCGCCGCACCACCACCACCACCACTCGCGTGATGATGATCAACCCTCTTCTTCTTCGCATCCAGGAACGAAGCCAGCGGCATCCAAAGCGCAATCTCCACCAGCACCAACCCGACCGAGTAGACATCATACTGCACCCGATACCCCTGCGCCGCCTCGCCCTGGTAGCTCGGGTGCCTGTACAAGGCCGCGGCCACCGCATTATTGCCGCCCACCCCCCTCCTCGCGCGGTCGATCGTGGCGCGCTCCGTCTCGTGTCGCGAGTAGTCGAACCCGGCGATCAGGGGGGAAGCGAGGATGCGCTGCATTTTTTCTTCTTTTTCTTTTTCTTCTTCTTTTTCTAATAAGGGGAGTGGTGGGGAGGAGGAGGATAGTGACACCCCCGCGAGCGGGAAGAGGATGTTCTCGGCCCGCACGCCCTTGTGCAGCCAGCCGGAGAGGTAGAGTTCCGAGAGCGTGGTGCAGAGCGTGCTGGCCAGGCGGACGCGCTGTTCCAGGGGCGGGCGGAAGCGGGCGGAGGGTTGGAGGAGGGTCAGGAGGGAGATCGGGGCGCCGCCCTTGGTGGAGGAGGAGCGTAGTAGTAGTAGTAGCTGGCGGCGAAGGAGGTCTGGTTGTTGTTGTTGTTGTTGTTGTTGTTGTTGTTGTTGTTGTTGTTGTTGTTGGGGAGATGCTGATGCTGATGATGGTAATAAGGGGGGAGGGTAGCGGAAGACGATCCACCAGCAGGAGTTGGTCGGGTCGCGGATGCAGCCCTCGGCGTGCGGGGTGCGGAAGTCCGGGGTTTTGGGTTTCTGGAGGAGCAGCACCAGGCGCTGGATGCGACTGGTCAGGACGGCCATGTCGGCGGGCAGCATGCTGGCGTCGAAGGGTTTGCGCTCTAGGAGGTAGGGACCGCCGTAGGCGGCCGAGCCGCAGGAGTCCGAGTGCTTGAAGGTGATGAAGCGCTTCAGGTCGGCGAATCCGCTGGGAAGGATGAACTCGTCGAGCGACAGGGCCTGCAAGCGCGACGTGTTCACGGCAGCGGCGCTACGGGACGATGCCGAGGGGCTGCTGCCGGCCACTGTCAGTGCCTTGCGCTCGACGGCGGCGCGCACCTGGGAGGTGTCGGGCTGCCCGCGCACGGCGGCGCGGATCAGTTCCAGCGAGGCCTCGTCGACGGCGCTACCCACGACCACCATGTTGACGCGGTAGTTGTCCTCGCGCGTTTTGCGCAGCTGCGTCTCCGTCATGAGCTCGTTGAGTTTGTTGATGCGCTGGGCCAGGTCCTTGACGAGGCTGTCGAACTTGTCGAGATCCCGGACCGCCCACCGCACCTTTTTCCACGTCGACGTCTTTCTTCTCTCCGTCCTTTCCGGAGGATGATCCAGGTTCGCGGCGTCTGCATCGCCTTCCCACTTCTCATCATCGTCGCCATCTTCTTCGCTCTTGCTGACTCCTGACAGTCTGATTCCACTCCTTCCGGACGTGTGGATGGACCGCTGCATCCGTTCGACCAGCTGCCGGACCAGCGCGGACTTGGTCGGCGGCGCCTCGGTCACTACCAGCCCGTAGCGGCTGCTCATAACATCGGCGTTCTGGAACTGGTTCTCGATCTGCGAGAGGTATTCCTTCAGGATTCCACATATGGGCACCAGCCGATCCGGTAGTGTCGCGCGCTGCCCGTCGGGAGGCGCGAGCCCTGCGTTCTCGCCCCAGATGTGCAGGCGGAATCGCTCGACTTCGAGGGCGAGCACCAGCCGCTCGGCATCCTCGCTGAAGTGGAGGCCGTGCCGGAATGTCTTGACGGCGAGACACGCCCCCTCGAAGGCAATCTGTGCGATTGAGATGTACGTGCCTGGTTCCATGGCTGTTGTATCTGTATTGATGGATTAATTAATTATGTATATGTCGGAGGATGGGAATGGAATGGTCCGGGCTTGCTCAGGAGAGCCCAGACTTTTGTATGCCCTGATGGCAACGGCTCTCCGGGCTCCCTTCAACTTGGTTCCTGGCGGAGCACGCGGGCTGCTGCAGCATGCATCGTGGCTAGCGCTAGCTCAGCAGCTGAAGTGGCTGAGCTACATACCTAATCTATACATACACCGTGACTGGTGCCAAGCAGCTAGAACTGCGACCATGTACGACGCTGGAGTGGGGGCTTCTTGAGGCCAGAACGAAGGCGAATAAATGTCGTTCATCGTCCCTGTTGGGCTCTCGGGGCCCTCGGCGAGCCATACTCACAAACTCCGCATCTTCGTCCGCAAAGTGCTGCCGTCACTGGATTCAGCGCCATGTCCACCAGCTACGTCTACCACTCGGTGTTCTCGGACAGCCTACCTTCCATCCCGACTCCGTCCGCTACAGCAACCGATAGTACTAGTACTACTTCAAATACTCTCCCCGGGATTGCCACTCCTCCGTCATCCAGCCAATTCGGCCAAGAACCATCAACAGCTCAGGGCCTTGCCTCTTTCATCTGCCATGTGGCCTACCTCGATGTGAGACTGCAGCGCGGCGACAGTTCCGCCTTCTTCGCCTTCCATGGAGCCCGTGTGGTAAACCGCAAGCGAATCGCCAATGGCGCCTCGTTCATCGTTGAGCGTGCCGAGCTCGAGGAGCCGCTGGAGCGAAACGACGCAGCGGAATCCACCAGCCTCTCTTCCGGGGCAGCACGGCAGCCCAGCAAACCGGTGGTGGTCAAGACCGTCCGCGAAAACAAGAACAACCGCCCCAGCCAATGGCGCGAGGTGCTCCTGGAAATCAGAGCCCTGCTCCACGAGCCGATCCGGTACCATCCCAACATTGTCAAGTTCATGGGCATCCGGTGGGACGCGTCCATCGAAACCGGGTCGCCGTTCCCGGCCATTGTCCAGGAGCACGCGGCGTTCGGCACGCTGGACAAGCTCCAGCAGCGGAGCAAGCCCCTGCCCTTCAGCATCAAGCAGAAGCTGTGCTACGACGTCGGCCGTGGCTTGTCCATCATCCACGCGTGCGGCATGGTGCACGGCGACCTCAAGCACGAGAACGTGCTCATCTTCCCCAACCGCTACCCGGATCCGCCGAACCAGCCGTACACGGCCAAGCTCGCCGACTTCGGCGGCACCGTCATGGACATGGGCAGCAGCCACGGCGACGGCCACGGCCAGCACCGCATTCCGATGTACACATTCCCCTACGAGGCACCCGAGATCGCCGACAGGCTGACCGAGGAGGGCGCCAAGAAGACGGACGCCTACTCGTACGGCATGCTCATCTGGCGCTGCATGATCGACTCGCAGGACGTGCTCGCGGCCGCTGGCACCACCGGGTCCAGCGCCAAGTCGTTGTCCGACCCGGTCCAGCTGCGCAACACGGTGCAGGCGCTCAAGGTGTCGGACGGCATGCTGGAGGCGGCCATCCACAGCGTCGCCGAGTACTGCTTCGGCCACGCCATCCCGCGCGCCAGCTTCCACCTGATCACGTCGGCGCTGATGTTCACGCTGCGGGGCGATCCGCAGCAGCGGGCGCTGGACCGGGCGCAGGTGCGGCTCCGCGGCATGGACCCCGTGGCGGCGCACCACTACGTCGGCGTGAAGGACGAGGCCAACCGGCAGAAGGCGCAGCGCGACAGGTACCAGACGCCCGGGCGGCACGGCATGGACCTCGACAGCGTCGGCTATGCGCTCGGCCGCCTGGGCAGCGACTACGACGCGCAGAACAACCTGCCCGGGTTCCGCCCGGACCTGCCGCGCCCGGAGCGCGGCGGCTTCCATTTCGAGCCCCTGCGTCTGCGCTACATGCTCGGCTGGGCCCAGCAGGAGGCCATCGTCCGCGACTTGGAGATCTTCGCGGAGCCGTCGAACTCGAACTCTGATTCTTCTTCTGCGGAGGACGATGATGCCGCGGGCGAGCTGACGCCGAGCCCCTGGCTGGCGGCCTTCTTCCTGTTCCAGTCGTATCTCTGCGGCTTTGGTGTTGCTTGTGATCCCAGGAAGGCCTGCTACTGGCTGCGCCGCGCTGCTGAGCCTCCGCTGGAGATCGGGGAAACGGATTACTACGCGATGGCCTGGCTGAACCGGATCCATGCCGCCCTAGGGGTGTTGAACCCCTACAGCGTCGACATGCAGATGGACGTTCTTGCGCTGAGCGCCATGCGCGGGCACAGACATTGCGTCGAGGATGCCGAGGCTCTGATCGACTCCAGCGCGGACCCGGCGCAACGGCATGCCTGGAGACAGAAGATGAGCGACGTCGATGCCGTCTACAAGGTCCTGACTGGCTCGACGGGGATGCCGTTCTTTGCGCCGCGGAAACTGACCAGGGACTGGGCTCTCGGAAACCTTGAGATGCTCGACGCACAGCTGAGGCAGGAGCTCGGCCGCGAATACGAAAGCTGTCTCCGCCCGCCGCGTGCGAGTGAAGAAGCGTCGGATCCGCCTCCGGACGACGGGTACCGCTTCGACAGGATCTACGTCAACCACAAGGGCCACGGCTTGCTCCATCTGGCAGCGGTGCAGGGAAGGCTGGGGGCGCTGCAGTACCTCCATGCTAAGTACCTCAGCGACATTAACCTCAAGAACCAATCCCACGGCGATACGGTGCTTACTCTCGCCTGCCGCACCGGCCGCTTCGACATGGTCATGTGGTGTCTGGAGAATGGGGCAGATCCCAACGGAGCCGACTATTGTGAGGAGTCGCCGCTCCACTGCATCACCGCGTTCAGCGAGTCGGAGATGGACAGAATCGTGGCCAGACTGGTCGAGGCCGGGGCGGATATCGAGAAGCACTCCGAGGCCTCACGCAGCGACATTCGCGGCATCGTGGCCGACTGGGAGGACAGTTTCTCTATCACCCTCACGCCGCTCGGCCGCGCCGTGCTCAAGCAGAGCCTACCGGCCGTGAGGGTCTTGCTCAAACACGGCGCGAGTCCCACGCTCAAGCGCGTCTACAGGAACAGAGCCAATCAGTCCGCCGTCGAGCTCGCCGCGGTGCTGACGCTGCCCGACATTCTGGCCGAGCTTCTCCGCCACACCGACGACGGCGACGACGTGTTCGACGAATGCGAGATGCTCGACGCCGCTCACACAAGCCGCATCACCCCGTACGATTCCCTGTCACTCCACAGCCGCCTGGTCCGCTGCGGCGTCCGCTACAAGGACAGCCTCGACCGCACCCTCCGCATCCTGCACGAGCGGAGCAACAAGAAGAGACTGGGACACGACAACCAGCCGAAACACCCCGCGGGCAAGCATCTCTGCGAGGAGATCCGCCTGGGCAACGCCGACATCGTGTCCAGCCTGCTCCGCCTGGGCCACTCTGCTTCCGGATCGCCTGGCTTCCGCCCTCTCGTCGCCGCCGTGCAGGCCAACAATGTCGAGATATTTCATCTCCTCCTCGCTCACGACCCGTCCCTCCTCACAACCACATCGTCGCTTGATCCAGATACTAGTACTAGTATTGGTACTAGTACCAGTACTAGTGCATCTCTCCTGCACGTGCTCGCCCAACGCCCGCCGCACCGGCCCCGCGACCTCGCCATCGCCTCCCACCTGCTCTCACATACTAGTAATCGTAGTATCCCAGCCTACACCGTAACGCCACATCAGCCCTCCCCGCTTGTGCTGGCCATCCTGAACGGCTTCTACAAGCTCGCTGACCTGCTAGTCACGCAGGACAAGCAGGCAGCGGCGTCGCTCAGCGTCGTTTACCAAGCCGCCTCCTTGCCGGGGTACCAGCCCCAAACAGAATCAGACACGAACACGAAGACGGGGAGGGCGAGGGAGGGGGAGTTCTGCAGACGACCAGCTCCGCGCCTCTCCGCGCCGCGGGAGTATACGCTCCTAGGCTGGTTGCTGAGGTCACAAACCTCCTCCTCTCTACGCGCCATCCGCTACCTCTCCCATCTGCACACCACTCCGGACAATGGCATTTCCATCTCACCACTGGCATACCGCACCCGAGAGGGTGTGGAAGTCTCGGCCCTGCACGCCCTGTCAGAGGTCCCCGCCTCGGAATGGAACACCCACGCCCAGATCTCGGCGTCCATCATCCAGCAGCTTCTGACCATGTTTCCCACCGTGGAAAGCCTAGGTCAATGGGCCGTGAATCCCCTTTCGGGGAGTGTGGTGTCTGCTGCGGTGGTGCGGTCGCATGCTGAGGTGTTACGGGCTGTGTTGGCTGCGCCGGGGTACCGGGGGTTGTGGGATCAGCCTGTTAAGGTCTACCTCAAGTTCGTCAAGTTGGTAGCGGACGAAAAGACTGATGAAATGGAGGAGGAGCATGAGATGAGGCCGATTGAGATCGCGCGCGAAGTGGCGAGACAGAAGCTACTTGCCCTGGGGGGGAGTGATGAGGTAGACGAAGAAGAGCTGGAGGGCATAAAGAGAGCTGCGGAGATCATGGAGATGTTGAATGCCTTGGAACAAGAGGACGAGTCCGACCTCGCCAGGCGCCCGGGCGATGAAGTCGCAGCAGATCCGGACTACACTAGCAGAATTGAGGCGCTGGAAGCGAGGCTAAAGCCGGATTTTGAAGAACCACCCATCGACAGGGACAGTCAAGAGGTGAATATGCCGGTCGATCTGTCGGTGCTGACCGACGAGCGACCGACCGGCTGGACGGAGGGCGCCGAGATGACGGCCGAGATGTCGCTGCGCATCTTCCTGAGGCATTTCAGGAACGAGAACCAACTGTTTGGGGACGCCGTTGTCAAGGCTATGAGCAAGATGTTTAACAGGCGGGAGCCTGAGGAGGGTGAGGAGGACGGGCGGAAGGGCACGTGATAGCGGCAAGCTTGAAGCTGGCAATCTGGGGGAAGACGTGGCGGCCCAACTGGTTCTGTTTCGTTGCAATCCCACGACCAGATCACGCTGTTCGCGTCGAGGGCCAGGGCGTGATTGCATCACAAGGGCCTGGGTGATTCTACTCAGGCCATGGATTCGGACTGGCATTTGCTTCTGCCCAGAGCGCAGGTGTCGTTCACACCCCAAGTGACAATCTTGTTGTCTCCAGTGAGCGCAACTGTGTGCATGCCGCCGCAGTCGTGTTGGACGACGTGGAACGCAGAAGCGTCGTCAGGACCAAGAAACGGGGTTCGGGCGCGGGCGAGCAGCTTCTGGATGGCGGGGCACATACCTAGTTCACCGGCGTCGCCGTTGCCGAAGGCCAGGACCGACACAACTTCTGTTGGGATTTGGTTATTGGCCGAGAGCGAAGCTGGAACTACCCAGGAGTCGGCTTAGCGGGGGTGGTAAGTGCGCGATGGCCGCCCATCCTGCCCTCGAGATCCGACTTCGGTCCTCTTCGGGCAAATGCGCTGCCTCGACTCCATTATTTGGATGTTTGCGTTTCGATGGGTGAGGTGCCACCAGATGTGCGAGTGAAGGCCCGATCTAAGCTTCGAGAGTCCTACATTTCGATACGCCAATGTAGCTGTTAGAAATGCAGTGACCATCAATGACGGTGGTGCAGAATAAATAAGAAATAGGAACTTAACCGATGACGGGTAAATTTCGCGGTAGAGTCAAAGGCAGAGAGGGGCCAAGGGTATTCGCACTGAAATTACGAAGTATCGCTCCAGGAATATCGTAATGATCGACACCGTATTCCCGCCTGCACCTAGTTTTGCAGTTGCTGAGTCTTCCAGTATTGTATGTCTATACCATTCTACGTTCGATTTATTTTCTAGGCGCCCGCATCTTTCTGAGTCAACAAAGACAGAATATCGGGACGAAATAAAGTAGTGTACAGTGCTATATATAACGTTATACATTGTACTAGGTACAGTACAGTACAATCCTGTTTTGAACCTTTGCTGGTTAGCGCGGAACTAGCCGTTGAGGCTCTGACGAAATTCAAAGAGATACAGTCACTCGGCCATATTGGTTAGCTCAACGCAGGAAATGGGCCATCCAGCAATAGTCTGGGGGCCTGGCTCTGGTGAGCTGTTTTCTTTTTACCAAGCAGCACTGATCGTTTTGACGTTGAAATGGACATCTTCGGGCTGACCCTGGTCTTCGAGTCTGATGCTAAACAAACCAGGGGGTGAATTGTGGGGCGGAGCGGGAAATTGTCAGAAAGGTCCCCCGAAGATAAACATCAGGACTAAAAAACAGCACCAAGCGAACCTCCAAGTTCTCAAAGCACGTTGACCGTCACCGTCTTTACCCTGCCTCGCAGTCAAATCAGTCGGTTGCTTGTATCGTTTCCGGCCGCGGGGCATAGGTTACACGTGCTTAATCACTCTAATCCGAAGACAATGGCGCTTGTCAGACTGCCACTTGAGCTGCTGTCGGAAATATGCAGCTATCTATGCCCTCACTGTCTGCGGACGCCAGAAGACGAGCTCGAAACGCTTGACTTCGACCTCGATCCTTGGGGCTTCAAGTATGAGCCACTATTGTCCGATCGGAAGCGGATAAAACAGCAAAACCTTCTCAGCCTGAGCCAAGTGTGCAAGGTTCTCCACGCGGCAGCTGAGCCTTTCCTGTACCACTACATCCCTGGTAATCGGTACAAAGATCTCCAGCTCGTCCGTCGGACCCTCAAAGAACGGCCTGACCTGCAGTTGAGGGTGTCGGAACTCGAGACGGCCGTCAACGGCAGGATCGAACAAATGCCTGATCCAGCGAGTCCGGAGGGGTTGCCATTTGGCTACCCCGGCGATCCATCTCCGACGAAGCTCAGCCTGTACTGGAAGGAGGTGATGATGTTGCTGAAGTTCGTGCCGAAACTGCAGAGGTTCCACTTCTGCATGCCGAAGCCTAATCCTTCGACCTTCGGCCTCCCGGAAATACGAACATGGCCAACCCCCCCGCTGACGTCGCTCAGAGAGCTGGCCATCAGCACCTTAGAGCATCATTGTGGCTTCCAGCACGGATTCCAACTTGAACGAGCCGGTTGCATCTTGTCGGCGGCTCCAAACCTTGAGATCCTGCAGTGCTCGAGGTGCATCGGCGTTAGCGAGAACTTCCGCGAGTACTATCTGACACAACCAGTTCCGTTGCAACACCTCACCGAATTGATCCTGGTAGACTCGCGGTTGACGCCTGCTTCGTTTCGAAATCTGCTCAGCGCGGTAGGACCGGGACTATCCAAGGTCAGGATCCAGCAATCACGCAGAGTCTTGTGGAAGTCTGATTGGGAGGGAGTGCCCCCTGAGGATAACGAGATTAAGCTTGATGGGGTTGCTGCCGCCCTCCAACCCTGGCGCCACTCGCTCAAGGAGCTAACATTCTCCATGGAGGGCGGCGAGTTCCCGGAAAACTTCGATGACACCCAAGAAGCGACTCTCTTGCGGGAGCTCGGCGCGCTTGAAGTTCTACGGACCCAGGTGGCCTTGTTCGACTGGGATGGAGACCCAGATGGGAATGTCCTTGTGAGAACGCTTCCCCAGTCCTTGCGACACTTGGAGCTCCGCGGATATGCAGACTTCGCTTGCGGGCTACTGATGTTATATGATGCCATCACGGAACGCGGCCACTTTCGGCACCTTCAGCGAATCGATATCGACGATCAGAAATATGACAGGTCTACCCCATTCGGGCAAGCCTATGCAACGGAGCTTGACGAGAACTGCGCCACTCTAGCGTCTGCGGGAGTAGAAGTTGTCAAGTATCCAGCGGAGGAATGGTCCGATCCTGGTTCTAATCGCGCGCGGAGCCTAGTGTCGGATTGAAAATGCTTTATACAGATCATACCCAGTATGAAGGTTCATGGAGGGAACACGTTGGGGGCTATGTGACCTTATCATTGGAGCAGGCGCTCTAAATGCTGGAATTTGTGAGATGGTGTGCTATATACTACTAGCCGCCTAAAACCAGGCACTACTAACCACATCGTGCACTCCTCGTTGGGTAAACCTGCGCCAGATCGACGTAATGAATGGGTGACCGATGCGATCAATGCTCAGCCTGCTCTCTCCTTATTCTCCGTCGTGCGTCCCGTTTTCCATCCATTCCCGCACATTGCCATCAGGGCCTGACAGGAGCGTGTGTCAACGCCTACCCCCATGCAAGGGTCACGGCCTGGCGACAGGCACGAAGAAAACCTCTCAGTGCACTCTTCTGAAGTGTTGACTTGGCAACCACAACGGCGTATCCAGATCTTCGACCGTGGTTGTGAAGTGTTTTGATGCGCCTGACTTAGCTGGCATTGCATCACCCGGGGCCGCACTTGGAAAGACTGGGATCGCTGTACGTGATGTACGTGACGTTAGCATCTACCTAAATGTCAAGCGGCATGGTCGATTTATTCTCAGTGAACATTCCCAACACAAAGTCGAGGAGAGGGGCGGATCGTCGACGCGGGCTTCGAATATCCGCTTCCTGGGTTCTCGATGAATTATGGCAGGGGCGCATGGTGGAGGGTGAAGGCGACGGCGCAAGGGTATAAAGGTATTCTGACCCTCCGGACATGGCCTTTCTTTTATTGGCGTGGGACCCGCCACTACGGATAACCCGGTCATCTGGTTCTCCCTACGATGCGGCAAAGCTCGTTGCTTTGGTTGATGCGGGTGCCACGGCTTGCGACTGCATTGCATGACGTGTGAGAGAGCTGCGGAGACGGCTCCGCCTCGTTGATCAACGCTGCCAGTAAAACTAGTTAGTCTCCAACGTAGTATTACTACCCCCCTCAAACCATATTCGGACGGGCGCTGTTCAAGCCATAGCCAAACTTTGCACTAGGTCTCCCCCAATCTCCCCAACGCCAGACCATAGTATCGCCACCGTCATCGTCACTACCGCCGCCGCCGACGTAGCAGTCCCGGGTGCATACCTAGATTCAGGGGCACGTTTAGTTCTATACACGGCCCCGGGCGCCGCCGTTTAGCAACTAATTATCAACAGCCTCAAATGCGGTCCTAATAACGTGATTTATAAGCGAGTCGTGGGTATAAGCGGGCCGTGGCTTTCCAAACGCGACATATCACATTTCCACTTAACATCAATTTTCTCTATAACCCGATGTGCCCTCCCCCTCAAAAGAAGCCAGGGTAGTCTTAGCCCTCGAAGCTCTTCGGAGCGACAAACAGCTACGGCTTGAAGCCGTAGCTAGCCTCTACAACATACCGGCTTCAACCCTCAGGGACCGACGCGCTGGCAAGCCTATACGACGCGACTATACGGCCAATTCGAAGAAGCTTACGGAATCCGAGGAGCAGGCTGTTGTTCAATATATCATTGACCTAGTTGCACGTGTATTTCCACCTAGACTTGCTAGTATAGAAGATATGGCCAACCAACTGCTATATGTACGCGACGCGCCCCCTATCGGCAAGCTCTGGGCCTACAACTTCGTCAGGCGTAAGCCAGAGCTTAAGATGCATTAGGTACATCGGTACGACTACTAGAGGGCCAAATGCGAGGACCTAAAGGTTATTCGCGAGTGGTTTGCACTTATTTAGAATACCAAGGCCAAGTTCGGGATCTTAGACGACGATATCTATAACTTCGACGAGACTAGGTTTATAATGGGTATCATCTGCGCAGGTATAGTCGTTACAACCTCTGACGGCTATGGTAGGGCAAAGCTAGCCCAGCCTAGCAATTGCGAATAGACAACGGTAATCCAGGGAGTCAATGCTCTTAGCTAGGCTGTCCCTCTATTCATCATCTTAGCCGGGCAGTACTATCTCAGCAACTGGTATACCGAGGCTAATCTTCCACTTGCCTGGTATATTGCGACTACCAACAACGGCTGGACTACCAATGAAGTAGGCCTCGATTGGATCAAGCACTTCGACTACCATACAAAGTCCCGTACGAAGGGTATATACCGGATGTTGATCCTCGACAGCCACGAGAGCCATCACTCGACCGAATTCGAGAACTACTGCCGGGATAACAACATCAAGACGCTCTGCATGCCTGCACACTCTTCCCATAAGTGCCAGCCACTCGACGTTGGCTGTTTCGGGCCGCTGAAGCGGGCGTACGGTCACCAAATCGAGAACTTGATACGCGCGAACATCAACCATGTCAGCAAGCTCGAGTTCCTCTGTGCCTTCCGTGAAGCCTTTTTTGCCTCTATGACAGAGAGCAATATATAGGGTGGCTTTACAGGGGCCGGCCTTGTGCCGTACGATCCAGAGAGGGTGCTTTCTACCCTGGATATGCAGCTTCGTACACTAACACCCCCAGCCTCACAGCCTACTATAGCACAACCTTAGGTCTTCCAGACACCACACAACCCCCGAGAAACCGAATCGCAGTCGACGCTCATCAAGACTCGCATTGCCAACCATCAAAACAGCTCTCCGACTTCGATGTTGGCGGCTGTGGATCAACTTGCCAAGGGTACAATGGCTCTCATGCACCAGGTAGCTCTCCTTCGGTCAGAGGTCTCTTCGCTCCGCAAGGCCAACGAGGCACTAAGCAAGCGCCGCAGAGCTAAAAGAACGCGCGTGCAGCTTGGAGGATCACTTGCTGTGCAAGATGCACAGGATTTACTGGCCCAGAAGGCTGTGGGTGGGGAGGTAGTGGAAAATACACAGCCGGAAGGTAGTAGTACGGGGGGGGTCGTACGAAGGTTCGGTGCTGTGGTGTGTGTGGCAAGCCTGGCCATAATGCCCGTACCTGCCGAGAGGCTGCAGAATCGTCTGATTCAGCTGTTTCTGATGTAATTGTAGTTGGTTGATACTGTTGTTGTTGTATTTTGGACGGTTGTTGTTGTAGGGTAGTGGAAAAGCCACGGCCCGCTTATACTCACGACTCGCTTATAAATCACGTTACGACAATACTCCTATACAGCCATAGGCACAGGCACGAGGGCAGTCCCAAAGGGGAGGCTTTCTAGAAATTCAATTAGACCTCCGGTATATAGTTGTTTATATGCGCAGCGTTGGCCGCATTGATTGATTGTAGTATGAATGGGAGATTGGGGGAGACAGGTACCTGCAAAGTTTGGCTGTGGCTTGAACAGCGCCCGACCGAATACGGTTAGAGGGGGGTAGTTTTACTGGCAGCGGTTGATCAATGCTTGCTGAACAACCAACAATAAACGTCTAGGAAGTCTATTCTACTCGTTATGACTCCCTGGCGTCTGGACCTCTTGGCTGACCATGAGGCCAGAATCCAGGACGTAGCACAGAGCAGAAACGACCAATTCCGGGCGTGGAACTGCCGACGGCGTCGCGGTGTTTTGCTCGCGTGATCCTGCTCGACCTTTTCCACGGAACTTGGGTCGACAACCTGGATGGACAACCCCCCCGATATCGCTAGGGGTTGCTCGGACCAGAACACCGAACAGGAAGGGTGCCCGGGGTTGTTGCCAAGTCGTTCGTCCCGGAAGAGTGGGGAGTGCTACGCCAGCTGCAGTATCATTCCATCAGATAAGATGATCTGATAAATTTTTCGATCGAGAGCAAGGAGCAAGCCCTTTCTGCGTCCCACTCAAACCAATAAACCGCACGCCAGCCCCGCCGAAAGCCGGTCCATTATGGAGAGCTACGGCCAACGGCGTTGTTGAGCTCCTTGGCAAGCGTGGGCGGACTCGCTTGCCCGGTGCGGTTCGGTGAAAAGCGAGGGGAAAGCCTGGCATTGTATCCCGGAATATGGCGCACAAGGTCGCATCGGCCGAGAATGTTTGTGCTGCGAAGTCTCCAGACACACCCTGATCCCGCAGTTGCATGTCGCGGGTGCGACTCAACCGTACTCAACCCCTTGTTGCTCCGATGGATCCTTGCGTGGAGTCGTGGACTGAGACCCTTCCTGTCCCCCACGTCCCGAGCCACTGTGTCTAATTTATCTCATAAAGCTTGCTCTTCGCAGCGTTGCAACGGTTTTCCGTTTGTTCTATCCTTTCAGTTCCTCACGCCGTTTTCTCCTCCTTTTGGCTTTACAGCCCAGAATACCCAAGCGTCGGCTGCGTCGCTGCTACTGCCGCTAGCTACGCCGGTCTAGCTTCGCCCTTACCAAGCTTGACTTACGATACGCGCAAGCCACTTCCGGCGCTATGAAGAATCCCGTGGGCTGGCTGCGCCCAAGCGAGGCACCTGTCGCTGAACAGGAAGTGCCATCCGAGAAGGCGGCGAACGACAAGGAAGCCAACCACGCCAGCAATGCCGTCAATGCTGCCGATACCGACCGCGATTCGGATGAGATCTCGGTGAACGCCCAGGCCGGCGTGCAGGATGTCGAAGCCTTCGCCAAGGTCTGGACCAAGAGAGATCTCATCTTGGCCTATGTCACGTAAGTACCTAATGTTACCGACAATCTGGCACACCCTCTGGGCGTGGGATTAACTGTGGTTTTCCGAGCCCGTGCTGACCGCATCCAGCATCTGGTGCATATTCTTCGTCGACGCCATGCAGCAGGGCATGTCCACCAGTCTCACGCCGTACGTGACGAGCGCGTTCCAGAGCCACTCCCTGACGGCGGCCACGAGCATCTTCTCCAGCCTCATCGGCGGGCTCTTCAAGCTGCCCCTTGCCAAGATCCTCGATATCTGGGGCCGGCCACAAGGCTTCATCGTCATGATGATCTGCCTGACCATTGGCCTCGCCATGATGGCCGGCTGCAACAACGTCGAGACCTACGCGGCGGGCCAGGTGTTCTACTGGGTTGGGTACAACGGCATCACCTACTCCATCTCTATCTTCATCGCCGACACCTCGGCCTTGAAGAACCGAGCCCTGATGTTTGCGTTCGCCTCGTCCCCCTACATCATCACCGTCTGGATTGGTGGCCCTCTCGCGAACGCCTTTCTCAACGGACCCGGCTTCAGATGGGGTTTCGGAGCCTTCGCCATCATCACGCCCTTCATCTGCTCGCCGCTGCTCGTCCTGTTCTACATCAACTACCGTAAGGCCCGGAGAATGGGCCTTATCCCGGACCGCAACAGCGGCCGCACCTGGATGCAGTCCTTCAAGCACTACTTCATCGAGTTCGATATCATTGGCCTGATCCTCATCACCGCGGGGTTGGCTCTCTTCCTCCTCCCCTTCAACCTCTATAACAGACAGCCCGAGGGATGGAAGTCGCCCATGATCATCGCCTTCTTCATCGTCGGCGGCCTGCTACTGATCGGCTTCGCCCTGTTCGAGCGCTACCTGGCGCCCAAGACCTTCATCCCCTACGAGCTGCTGATGGACCGCACCGTGTTCGGCGCCTGCATCCTCGCGGGCGCGCTGTTCGTGTCCTTCTACATCTGGGACAGCTACTTCCCCTCGTTCCTGCAGGCGGTCAACAACCTGGACATCACCAAGTCGAGCTACGTCACCAACATCTACAGCATCGGCTCGTGCTTCTGGTCGCTGGTGGTCGGCGTCGCCGTGCGCGCCTCGGGCCGCTTCAAGTGGCTGGCGCTCTACTTCGGCGTGCCCGTCACCATCCTGGGCGTCGGGCTGATGGCCCACTTCCGCCAGCCGGACGTCAACGTCGGCTACATCGTCATGTGCCAGATCTTCATCGCCGTCGCCGGCGGCACGCTGGTCATCTGCGAGCAGATGGCCGTCATGGCCGCCACCACCCACCAGTACATCGCCGTCGTGCTCGCCGTCGAGGCCATGTTTGCCAACGTCGGCGGCGCCATCGGCTCGACCGTGGCCGGCGCCATCTGGAACGGCGTCTTCCCCAGGAAGCTGGCCGCGCACCTCCCCGCCGAGTCGCAGGGCGCCCTGACCGACATTGTCGGCTCGCTCAACGTGCAGCTGTCGTACCCCGTCGGCTCGGCCACGCGCACGGCCATCCAGCATGCCTATGGCGATACCCAGCGGCTGATGATCATAGCTTCGACCGTGGTTCAGGTCATTTCGCTGGTGTCGGTCATTGTGTGGCGGGATATCAAGGTCAAGGATTTCAAGCAGGTTAAGGGGTTGGTTGTGTAGGGTTCTCTTTTGTGTGTTCAAAAATTGGTGTCGGGGGTTTTGTTGTTGCGCAGCGTGGGCCGGTTCTGATAAGTTTGTGTGGCTTATGACTTAAGATACCCGGATTACACTACCTTAGTTGGCGGCCCGTGTTGGAAATACCAATATGCACTTTGTCCCTCAGCATCTGCTATCCTCTGTCTATCATGCGTGTTGCATACGGTTGCGCACCTGCCCTGGGAACTCCCAACTTTCAGCAGTAGCCCTGCCTGCTCGGAACCAGGTGCGTCTGCGAGCTAGGCTTCCGACTCACTCTCTCCCCCAGCTCCACATCGACCTTTGACAGCCCAACCGCCATTCCCATTCCCTGCTCCGCTGACAAGCAAGGACGTGGACTGCTCGGAAGGCTCGTCGTCGTCGAAAATGGGCTACACGCCGCCCCAGGGCTCCCACTACCACCGCCCCTAACATAGTTGTATGTGAAATGAATCCTATGCGGTTGAGGCCCCCGTTCTCGATTAGGCTGAGGAAACTTGGAAAACGGTTGTATATGTTTGGGGTTTGTTATGTTCAACATCTTAGCCGTTGTGTGGAAAAGCTCTCACGCATTGAGCTGCCAGACTTCCTGGGAGGTGCTGTGGTTCTTGTCAATCGAGGTACCCCCTAGGACCGATCAGCTTTTCGTATCTTGAAGACTTCTACTCCATGTATTTTATATTATTGCCTTGCTATCGTGTTACCGTCGAGACTATTTCCGGTTCGCGTGACGAAAATGTTCTCGACTTCCTCGCCGCCACTGGCGAGGAGGCAGGCTCGTGATACCGCTGTCGTGCTTGTCTCCCTTGTCCTGTGCCGGCAGAGCCGGGGGCTCCCACGTAAAATTGGTAGCTACCTTTGCTCCGTGACTCATGATGCCCAAGACCGGATACAGACGCCCCCTGAGATCGTTCAAAGCCTCGCCTGGTGCACACGCTAGCGTCAGCAAGGCCTTGGGCTGGTAAATTGCTTTAGGGTTGTGCCTGGAACAGACACGTGCATGGCTGGAGATGTCGGTGGTGAGTTTCAACTTACCAAGATCAACGCCGTTCTTGGTAAAGAACATGGTCCTTGCGGATTGGTCAACGCGACACTTGACCGTGTCGCCCTTTCCAAAGGTTGAGGAGTATGACGTCCCCTGGCCTCCGTGGAACTTTTTGCCATCATCTCCGTGGTAGCCCCACGAATGGCTCTCCCACCCTGGCATCATATCCTTGCTGGCGAACTTTGTACCAACCCCGAAACCAATGGCGCTAAAAAGGTTTAGTGGTGGTGAACGAGACATATGAGGTGTCGAATGACAATGGCTCATGTTGCTAGCGGGTGGACCGGTAGTGAACTGGAAGCTCAACTTACCTTGGCCGTCCTTCGTCGAGGACTTCCGCCGTGAAGATAAAGCTGCCCACTGGCGGGATGGGGCAGTCTGAGCGTATCAAGTTCGGCTCGATCTCCCGCCAAAAACGGAGAAGAGTGGGGAGAGACGACCTCGTGCTTTCTTCTCCGGAGAAGGACAACACGGACATTTCGCCATCTCGGGACAGGGAAAGCCCGCTCAACTCGGGCTTTAGCCACTGGACGGGGGTCTTGAAGTCGAATCCTGAAGCGTCGGCCGGCTGAACTTGTTGTTTTGGATCATTGACATACTGGATCCAGGCAAGTGGCCAGCCATATTCATCCTGCATCTTGGCGATGGCGGGGCGGATGTCGAGGATGGCGCCGATAAGATCGTTGTCATCCAATGCCATTGCGATCTCAAAGAGCAACTCACTGCCAAGCTTCTTGCATATCTCAGGCTTGACTTCGGCAATGAGCCTGATAAACTCCGCCATGGAATCGTGTTCCAAGCCGAGGACGCCACGGACAACTGCATCCGCGGACGATTCAGGGTCGGGACCGTCGCGCAGAGCTAAATCGAGATTCGTGAGCCGGGAGTCTTTTAGGAGTTCCTTTGCCATTTCGATGTTTTTGGTAGCAAAGGCATGTCGTAGGAGTGAGGCACCTCTCTTGTCCGTCTGGTTGACGTTGACATCTTGCCTTCCCAGCAGCAGCTTAGCCACGTTTACGCGACCGGACATGACTGCCAAGGATAAAGGTGTGTGGCCGCGGTGATTCGGAGCATCGATTGAGCCCGCACCTATCCTGTCATTGTCCAGGCATGCCAAGATAAAGGGATCGAAACTCGGATCGGTACTCCGGCAGGCTGTGTGGAGGGGTGTGTTCTTGGTTGACGTGGCAGCAATGGGGCTTGCACCAGCAGCCAGGAGCACCGAGGCTGTCTTCGGGAAGCCCCTGGACAAGGTGACGTAGAGCGCCGTCTCTTCGTCATTGTTCCTGGCATCCGGACTGGCTCCAGCTTTCAGGAGCCTCCCAGTGACATGCGTAGAATCGTACGCCGCATGGAGTGGCGTCCATCCATCCGCGTCGGAAAGCTCAACGTCGGCACGGTACTCGTCCAAGAGCAGGCCCACTATGTCATCGATCCCGTTCCATGCCGCCGTAAAAAGCGCCGTGCGGCCGTTGGAATCCTTCACGTTGAGGAAAGAGGGTTTGGCATCTAGCAAGAGCCGGCACATCTCAGCATCGCGTTGTTCGACTGCTTGGTGCAGTGAGGTCGACCCGGCGGCAACTGTGCTCTCTAAATCTGCGCCACGTTCGAGGAGTAGCTTGACCACGTCCCGCCTGCCCTTTTCCAAGGCTATGTCGAGGGCATGATTCTTGGCATGCATGTCGACGGTACGATTCTGGTCCTCCTTCGCGGCGCCAGAATCAACGCCACCGCCTGGACTCGTCTCACTCAGGAGGAAGTCCACAATCTTGACCCGGCCAGCGGCGCACGCCTGCCACAAGGCCTCAATACGGGTATCGTAATCAACGGCCCCCTGGCCTTGAGAGAGCCGTTCCAAGAGATGTAGCTGTCCATACTTGGCTGCGGCCAGAAAGGCTGAGCAGACATCCTCTTTCTTGATCTCGTCGTTCACAGCGCCTCTTTTAAGCAGCGACATGGCAATCTCGGTCTGACCATTCTCAGCTGCGAGCTGGAGCACATGCTGCCTCTCTTCGTCAAATGAGGAGGCCTGATGCGGGTCGACTTGGAGCCTAATTAGCGTGTCGATGATCTCCAGAACATCCTTTTCCGCGGCTAGACGCATGAGCGGCCCGTGTTTGTCTGTGTCCCAAGAACCAAAGTCGAACGATAGGGTGGTCAATTCCTGAAGAATCTCTCGATCGGCACTTTCATCCTTTCTGAGTTCCCCGTTGCTCGTCTCCTTCGGGATCGCTTCTAGGAGAGCTCTGACCGTCGGATGATCGGACCAGACGCCATTGTCTCTGGATGAAGGGGAGCGGCTGCCTCCTGCGGAGAGTTCCTTGATTTTCTGGATGAGGAATCGCACCATATCCCGACTGTTGCTCAGTGCAATGTTGAGCAGGGTTCTCCCGCTGTGGTCCCGAATACTCAGGGACTCCGAGTCCATGTCGCCAGCATCAAGAAGTGCGCGCATGATGTCGACGCTGTTATGTCTTGCCGCCAGGTGGAGCAGAGTGTCGCCGTTGTTGTCTCTCGTCTCGATGAAATCGCTATCGCCAGTAATATCTCGGGCTACTTCGAGCAGCTTCCGCACCACTGCCGGATTCTGGGCCTTGATAGCCCCGTGAAGGGCCGAGTGGCCTCTCGAGTCCCTGACTGGCTGTGCTCCGGCGTGGAGCAGTAGACTCATGATCGTCATGTCGCCGCTCTCGCACGCCAAATGAAGCGGCGTCTGAAAGTCATCGTCGCCAACATTAGGCTCGGCACCCTGCTGGAGCAGATGCTCGGCGATATCAGCGAGTCCGTAACGCGCCGCTATGTGCAAAGGAGTCTGAGCCTCCGCGTCAAACACATTTAGGCTTTCCCCCGCCAGCTCGTGCTCCTCGCAGATCCTAAGCACCATCTCAAAGTCCCCGCTGATGACGGCGAGGTGGATGGGTAGCCTGCCATGTTCGTCAACAACGTTCACCCCCGAGTCGAACACAGCCTTGCGCCCCTGATGACCCTTCTTGTTGCAGCCTGCCGATGCTTGGCCTTGGTTGGTCAATTCGTCCACCACGTCGCAAAATCCATGCCTCGTAGCCAGGTGAAGCGGCGTGTTTCCCTTTTCGTCTTGCTGTCTCAAAATCTTGCAGACTGACTCTTCAGACACAGCCTTGGGATCCGCACTCATATTTCCAGCGGCAGATTGGGTTCTCTTCTCTTGTTCACGGGCTTGATGAGCCTGAAGTGCGCTCGATAACAGCCTGTTGACAACCCTTGTATGGCCGTGCTCGGCTGCGAAATGGAATGCCGTGACGCCATCTGCGTCCTGTCGACCCAGCGCATCTTCGACTGGTCCAAGACCTGGGTGACCTAAAATCCCGTCGACCACATCTTCGCAGCCTGACGCAGAAGCTAAATGAAGGGCAGTTTGGTCGTTTGAGCCGAGCACATGCACGTCGGCACCCTCAGCCAACAGCGTGGCGACGGCGTGGCGGGATTTCCACAAGCAGGCCAAGTGGAGTGGAGTCCAGCCACTGGAGTTCGGGCTGTTAACTTTAGGTCTGCGACTCGGATCTGCGAACAGCTCATCTAGCACAAGGACGTGCCCATATTGGCTAGCCAGGTGAAGGGGTGTGTTGCCCTGATCATCCTTGGCCTCGATGTTGGGCCCCTGCTTCAGAAGATCGGCGACTATGCCATGGTATCCCGCGGCCGACGCTTGATGGAGGGGGTTCCGACCTCCAATGCTATCACCGCCCGATGCTGCGACCATCGAGAACATCTCCACCAACCCCGCTCGGCCATGGAGAGCCGCCATGAGTAGCGACTTTGGGGAGCTAGCACCCGCAGCGATTAGGGATTTGACAATATCTTCATCCCCGTTGGTGATGGCTAATTCAAGCGCCGATGTGAGGTCAATCTTGTCTCCGCTGTCTCGCGTCAGAATCTTGAGGATGAGATCCTTGCATCGGAGGAGAACCGCATCACAGAGGGAATCTCTAGTCCAGCCCGGCGAGGCCGTGTCGTGAGGATCCGCCGGCAGAACACTACCGTCGGTGAGGCGCTCCATGACCTTGCTGCGCAACCCCGGAGAGACTGCTCCCTTGCCAGCGGCCGCGTTGTAATGCTCGGGCCAGTATCGGACGGCGTACTCTCGGAGGCTGCCGCAGTCATCGCTACGCATCCTGTCCCCGACCGTCGAGCTGGACATTGCGGACAACGAGTCACTGTCACCTTCTCCGATGAGCGTCAGGTAATGCAAGCATTCCTCCACGAGCCTGGCTTCACCGTGCAGGGTGATGACACTGGGACCCTGTCCGGCCGGCCGGAGCAAAAATTCCCGGAAGGTGTCGTCAAGAAGGGAGACCTCGCCATTCTCAACCACGATAAGATTGCCAAGCACTTGCTGGAGCTCTATTTCGACGCTCTGCGGCATCTTGTTCCGCAGGTCCGCGAGCGATTTCAGACCATCAGCATGGAGTGCTATAGCTACTGCGAGCTCACGCGGCGACAGAGGACGGCGGGCCAAGGTCACCCAGGACAAAACATGCTCGGCCCATGCTAACCGATTTTTGGGGATCCTGTTGAGGTAGCATTCGAAGAATTGAGGCAACGATGGCGGTATAGGAAGAGCGGCAACCTCGGCCTCGACATCCGAATAGTTCGACTTTGGCCGCCGGACCTCAAGAAGCTTCAACGCCAGAGAAACCCCCAGCCGCTCGGGGAAGGCTCTGAGCTTCTCAGCCAGAGCATGCCGGAAACTCGCAAGTTCAGGGCGGACACGGATGAGCTGGCGTATCTCGTCGAGAATCGCCGGGCTGGGATCCTCGTTAGCTTGTTCCCGAGCTCCCAAATCGAGCCGTACGACTCGGTCTTCTACGTTTCGGCCACATCCGTGGTCACCTCCAAATTCGGGTGCATTGGCGGCGGTCAGAATGACCCGGAAGCTGCATGGGGACACGATGCGGTTCGCGAGCGCCATGGCCTCCTCCATAAGCTGCTTCGGCAAGTCGACGCAGTGATCGGCCATGTGGATTAAGCATACGATATTGCCCAGACGTGGCGAGCTGAGCATGGCCCGAAAGAAAGCCCACAGCTGGTCTGTCCTCCAGGTCCTTGTCTCCACAAGCTCGTCGCAAAGGGTCTGGACCTGCACAAACAGTGAAGGGTTCAACGTCAGCAGCTGGTGACTGAGGGATGCGAACATGCCGCGGACCGACGAAAAGCGGTCGTCGTGAGACTGGAATGCAAACCCTATGATGCTCGCGTCTGGTAGTGTTTTGTCCAGCTGATCTTGCACGGCTGACAACGCAGCAGCCATCTCCGTCTTGGGTCGTGAGTGCAGCAACAAAACTCCGTTGAGCGCGTTGCACCATTGCCTGTACTCGTCCGTTTCGAATACCCAGGAGAATGGGTCAGGGTTGTTCAAGCGCAGTCCGCGAAGGCGAGTCTGCGGTCCTCCCGCAGATATGTCGGAGAGAATGTTCAGACACTTGAGGCGCCATGGCTGAGTTGCTGCCATCGGAGAACAAGTGGACATCGTTAGTATCCAACGGCGCTCACAGCAGGGGGTGGCAGTGACGCACCTGAAGCCCTCGCCATCATTGTCTCAACTGTATGGACGAATCTGTGCTCGTGCTGCGCGGAATCTTGCTGGTGCGCAGAAACCTGGAATATATCGCCATCGAAGACAGTGGCGATGCCCACTCGACTGTCCCACGAGCCCCCTACAGATTCGTTGCCTGAGCCCATGGTCGCGGTATCTCGAGAGAAACTCTGCAAGAGCACCAACGGTTAGCTAATCCGGCGCCGTACAGAGTACTACTAGTTGTAACAATGCCATGCAGGGACTGACCAGAGCATTGGCTGAGTGGCTGAGGTCATGGAAGCTAATGTAACTGTATAGGGTGCATATAGCCTTGAATCGTTGGCTTATCTTCCTCAGCACTGGGGCTGACCTTTTCACAACATCCGGGATTGCACAGGAGGCGGCATGTGGCCCCTTGAGGATGAGCTTCGCAGCGATGCTCTCCCATGAATCCGATTCAGAGGTTCGATGGGGGGTTCCTACGAAAACCTACCATTGTGTGTATGGTTGAACGGTGAGCAACAGCGGTTTCACATAGCTAGGCTGAGAAATTGACTGACCAGAACCGATGCCATCTCTGCAATTCTCGAGTATTTTACGTTTTGCAACGCGATCAAGAGAGCCTGAGTGTTGTGAACCGTGAGTGATTATCAGCTGTCTTAAACCAGCATAGGACTTATCATGAGACGTGGTGGAAAACAGACCTGTTTGATGATGATACCCCCGAGGTCCTCGCCGATGAGGACAAGGGACGGCACCTAGAGGGGAAGGTTAGCCAGGGACGACTGAGAGGGTCTGGAAGACACGCCTACGCATGCAATGCTTTCCTCAACTTTTCGCTGTACTACTCTCAGCAGACCAACGGCTGTGTCCTGGATACCCGTGGAAAGGATGTCATAGCGGGCTCTGAGTGGTAGGTAAAATTCGTGGTTCACTTCTCGCCATAATGATCTAGAGCCAGTTCTCCCATGGATTTGGTTGCTTTGGGAGCTTCATGTTGGTCACCATTACGGCTTTGGGCGATGCCATGAACCGTAACAACGCTGCAGCCCCAAGCAAATCCTGGTCAACACATACACACACAATTACCTGGCTGCAAGCTAATGGGAGGCTTACTGGAATTTGCGGTTCTTTTGCTGCAGCGCGAACTCGAGAGTGAGTGAGTCCATCCTTTGCGGACTCGATGGACGCTTTCTTCTCAGCCTCAGAATCCTCGCACTAGAATCGCCAGGGATACCAAGGGTGGTAAGAAGCTGGAGCTTGGGAAAGACGGAGAAACAGCAGCACAGACTGTTCTCACGTTGAAACAAAACCAACCAGCGACAAAAGAGATGGTGGGAGCGGTCCCTGCATCTCCCTCATCTGCGCCTTTGAAGCGTAATGGCGCGGATTTGGGCCGAAAGGTCGTCACACAGCATCGGAGGCGCTCTACTTCATGAGACAATCGCGTCTCGACGATAGGGTCGTAAATGCATGAGGGATGTGATGAGCACATGAGTACATGGATGTAGTACGTGTATAATTCCGTGCTGGCTACTCAGCTTTGGCATGATGCCGCCACTTTCCCGTGCTCTCCCGCTCCTGTGATCAGCGTCAACAGGGCTTTCAGCGGCAGCCTGACGCTCCAATATTGTCTCAAGGCCAGAATATTCTATTTTTGAATCGCCGCAACTCATGGGGAGCTGACCATCAGTCGATCCGGAAAGTGATTGGCACGAGGTCGTGACTTGCTTATGAGCCCGCGATACATGCCTTTTGGGAGCCTTGTGGGCTAGCTACCATCCAGTTACACGCAGCAAGTCATACGGTCCGCGAACAGGAGCTCTCTCTTATCTCTTGCACCCTATATATTCCCCATGAACTTGTGCTTATGGACTTGCTAACCTCTTCCTCCATACATGGCAGAGACATAAACTCTCATGTCTTTCACGTACGGCAGCAAAAACATCAGCACCCGGGCGCTCCTGGATGACGAGGTCGAGGCGATCCTTGACGATGAGGATACCGGAGAGCTGAAAAGTCAAGTCCATTACCACGACGGCGAGATTCGCCGTAAGGGCTATACGGTCGCGTTTCGTCGCCTTGTCGAGGTCCATGGCGCCCTCGACATGCCCCCCGAGACACAGAGCTTTGGTGCTTCCAGCCCGCTGGACAACGGAAGTCTCCTGGCACTTTGAATCATCCCTAGAACGGACTCACAGCTGAAACGACGCTTCGAGTCATTCTCTATCACCCTGTCTCTGGAGCAGGATCCAAGTTCGGGAGGCAACCATAACCCCCCATCCCTCATAGCATATGAGCCGGCTGCGGATGGAGACGAGTACTTCCAGAAGCTCGTCATCGATGTCAAGAAAACATCCAATTCTGAGGCCGGCATAGGGTTGCATGCACCCACTGGAGCGGAGGGGACCCTCAAATCCAGTTGGGCTACGGAGAAGAGCTTCGAGAAGCGTCGACGTCTCAAGCTATCGAGCACGTCGACAGGTCTTCACAAGGGAACCGACACGGAGGTGACCTTTGAACTTACGCCCGCGTCCGGAGAAGACGGGATCGGAGACAGTCTCGCGGTCGCCTTGGTTGTCCAGCGATCACCCGGAACGAACTTTTACATTGTTGCCAGGGCCACTGCCAGCGTCAACGCACGACTCAAGGACTTTTTGCCCAAAGTGTAGCTCCCCACAAACAGGAGACCGAGCGAATCCTCGCCGTCCGAGGATAAAACCCATGCTTTGGAGACAGCGTTACGACTAGGTCCGTTCGGGCCCGCATCGACGGGAGCGACGAGGCAGCTATGCCCAGAGGAGGTTGACGCTAGAAACTTACGACAAGCCTCCAGCGACATCCTCAAGGGTCTGGGATACGTCCACGTGGCCGAGAAGGGAAGAGAGAAGCTATTTTGTGCAGCAAGCAGGTGAGTCTTGACCCTTGGACAATTCTGCTAGAGGGTTTACTGCAGCCCCTCGCCGCGATAATTCTAACCATTTTATTTTCGCATGCAGCTGTACCGGATCCCGTCACGGCGTCCAAGTCGGCCAACCGTCCGGCGCCACCACCCCACGCCCTGGAAGCAGGTTTGAAGCATACGCAGGCGGACGGACGTGGTGGAAGCACTGCGTTGCAGCCCGGCCGCTCCTTGTTTGCCATCCAGACTTCGCGGGCAGCAAGACACCGGCTTATGTCAGCACACTATCAGAGCCTGGCACAGCTGCACCAGGAGGAAGCGGATGAGGTAGAGAGCCTGTTGGAGATGGTGTATTTAGGCCAGGCAACGAACTCTGCCCTCTTCCAAATCTAGATAGGTATACATCATTCTTGTATGCTATTGCAAAGTCGGACTCGTTATTCTTGGTAAAACCGAAGAAAGCGGCGCGGAAACAGCGAGCCGCAGCCTGCCGGCGGTTCACCCGGAAACTTCGCGGGTAGAAGAGATAAGGTCAGTATGTACCAGGATGTCCAGTGAGTGAGTCGTCGGGCGGGTCGAAAGTAGAGGTGCGGGTCAGCCAGGTACCTGCCACTGCGACCGCCCTCTCCCCTCTCCTCTCCTCCCCCCCCACCCCCCCAAAATCCCCCAGATTGTTCCAGGTTGTGTCACCCTCCGACGCCCACTCTTCATATCATGTGCCCTTGTGCTCACCCTGCGCTGCGTCCAAAAGCCTTCCGCCATGACAAGCTTGGCACTCTTGTGAACCTCCCTCTGTCCCCATGCGCGCTGGTACCACTTCCTTCTGTGCGGACACGCGCTCCAATACCGGTATTTGAACCCCAAGATCGCGGCTTGGCCAAACACCAAGCATCATAATGGCAGGTCAAACAAGCGAGAACTACGCCCAGGTCCCGGTGGACAAAGACCTCGACAAGAAAGAGCTGGAGCAGATTGTTACTAAGTATTGCGGCGAACAGAACCGTGTCCCCGAGGCTGTTTTGCGGTGGCTAGCCGACATCGATCTCACCGGAGATTACCGTTGGGCTGATGACGATGCTGTGGCATTGAGGCGTATCTTGCGCTGCGACGACGATTTGAGAGGGAAGCTCTTCCAGTACAGCCCCTCGCAATATCACAGGCCAGCTCTACACTATGCCATCAACAAGAAAAATCTGCCCTTTCTCGACTGCCTGCTCTCTCTTGACGAGAAGGACGGCTACTTTACAAGAAACCAGCTAGCAGTCATCCGTGCCGAGATTGTGGCCGCTTTCCAAGTACAGGACCTCATGGCGGCATCCTCCACCTGCCTGCACTCGGCCATCCGTGAGAAACTGCCCTGCGTCCGCAAGATGGTGGAGCTCTGCGCCTCTGTTCAGAACAACGACGTGAACCTGTTGTTGAACGCCATGGACCGAGAAGCAAGGCGGCAAAAGCATAAGGAGGTTGACCGAAGCCAGCCACCTCGGTCCATCTTTGAGATTCCCGACGCAAAGGGCAACACACCTCTGCACTTGCTGATGGAGTCTCTTGGAAAGCCGCAGATCAATGCTCGCAGTCGGCGGCGCGGAGCGCTAACTCGCACGGCGCAAACCGCCACGACCGAGCCCGTAGAAATCAACCCGATGGACATCATCGGCAGGATTGAAGCCGGCTGCACCCCACTCATGATGAGCGCGCTGTGGCAGCTCGTCAACGATGTCGGCAACTCTCCATACAAAGCCTTGGTCGACAATCTTAAGAGTCCTACCATCGTGGCGAGTAGTAGCACGGCACAGAGCGGCAAGGATGCCGGCGCGGCACAGCAAGGAAACTCCTTCCAGGACAAGATCAAAGCCAAGATCTTCAGCTCAATATCTGAGATCCCCCAGCTCAAGAGGGCATCGTATGGAACGAGAGGTATGAAACCCTTTTTCAAACATCTACCGTCATGGTCACCTCACTAACGGCTCATTCCACATGGACAGGCCAAGGTAAGCGACAGCCCAGAGCATCGAACCAGCTACCCTGACTGGAAGTACCATACATACTGCCCGCCTGTAATCGAAGAGTTGAGTTCAGCTGCACGGCGATGATCAATTGCTGATTATCTGGGCCTACGCCGGCGACGGCTTTAGAAAAGGAGCTCAGTCTCGACCTGTCGGATTTCAACCGCTCATCTCACGACTTCAAGCGATTTGTCACGGAGCTCGTCAACTCGACCGAGAGAAATGCAGTTCAGTTCGAGGAATGCCTGGTCTCCGTGTTTTTGCCCGATCTCAACACCTTCAAGAAGCCAGTTCCGCACGACGGGGTAAGCGAGTTGTTTGAGTGGCTCAGGGACAGTGGGAAAGTAAGGAGAATCAAGTCACTCAACATCCCGGACAATACGACTGTGCTAATGAGTGACGGGCACGTTTCTGAGTGTATACTGGAACGCTTCGAAATTGAAAGGTTCGTCTGGCGCAAGCTGGACATCAACCTCGACATCCTGATCAGCTCGCCCCATAAGAGCGTCTTCACAGAGATAACTCTATACTCGACGGGGAACTTCAGCGTGCTATATCACTGGGCAAGCAAAGACGGAATTGGTAGCCTACCTGGAGTATGTCTTGCACCCAGTTCCCCCACGACTGAATTCATGGCGCTGACTCTCCCCGCTTCTTGCAACACAGCTGAGAAGCGTGACGATTGAGATAATGGCGCTCAACACCAAGAATGTAGGTCTCGCTTCCATTTCTTTTTCTTTTTGCTCTTCAGGATCGGGCGCGTGTTGTATTTCCCGCTCCATGCTAACATCGTATAGCAATCACAAAAGGCTCAGGAAAGGCATAGGCAGACAGTCGATGTGTACCGCAGAAGACTCGAGGAAATGTTGATGGAACGAAAGAGGGAAAAGGAGGAAGAGCAGGGTAGAGCCGGCGATACAAAATTCAACTTCAGCTACAAAGTCAACACCGACGGCAAGTGGGATTTCCCGACGCCACTGTACGTGACCCACCAGCCAGACGAGATTGAACAGTAAGTCCCTTACCTTCCTGGCCGAGGGAGGCGGCGCGCTTACCAAGACACGCAGGTTGGAGCTCATCCAAAAACTGCAAGCCTGCCACCACTTCCTCATGAACATGAAGGACAAGAAGGGGGATCCACGTCACATCAGGAATTTTGACAAGCTCCGAGAATGGGATATGAAGGAGGGGGAGGATAACTCGCACCTCATCAAAGTGGCCATCATCGACAATGGCGCCAAGTTCCGGCAGCGCATCCGCGACTGCATTGAGAGGGGCATTTCCTACGTCAAGGCCGACACGGGTAGCGCCGATCGGATCCTCCCATGGTGGATGGTGTCGGACCCCCACGGCACGCAGATGACGTCTCTGGTGTCGGCGGTCAACCCGTGGTGCCGGCTGTACATTGCGCGTGTGGGCAAGGGTCGCCGCGACATCCTTCCCGAGGACGCGGTGCAGGCTGTCAAGTGGGCGATGGAGCAAAAAGTCGACATCATCTCCATCAGCTGGGTGACCAAGTCGATGGAGCCTGAGCTCCGCGACGTCATCCAGGAGGCCGCCAAAAACACTCTGATATTCTGCTCGACTGCCGACCGCGGCACCGGTTCGGGTCCGGCCTACCCGGCCGACTACAACGGCACGGTGCGCATCTCGGCTACCGATAAGTACGGCAGCCTGATGCCAGCGTCTGAGAATGGATCCCACGCCGTCAACATCCCCGTGCCGGGCGAGGACATTCCTGCCTTTGGCCCGTCATATATGGGTGACGGCATCGAAGTGGGGACCGTCTCGGGCTCGTCGGTTGCTACCGCACTAGCTGCGGGAATTGCTTCCTTGTCCCTTCTCATGCTCATGGTGTTCAACGATGAAGACAAGGACGCACTGAGGAAGATGGATCTGTACACCAACAAGAAGATGGGGAGCCTGCTGTCCGCAGCCATCAACCCCAGCCCCCAGTCAGACCCGCTGTTCCCGGTAGCCGCTAAGGTCAAGGAGCTGCCCGACAGGTGGAACCTTGCGACAATCATGGCCAGGCCCGAGATGAAGAACACGTAAAGGAACGAGTATATATAGCTTGTCCGCATGAAAATACCATATAATAACTGAAGAATAGCCAGCCTACCTACTACCTCAACAGCCGTGTCATGTCCTTCTGGCCGAGATCGCGCTTTGCCAGGGGAATTTCCGCCGAAACGGTAGCGGTGATCACGGCAATGGCATCAAGGCAGATGATGAGAACAGCGGTGTGGGAATGGCAATGCCCGCTTGGTCGGTATTATAGAGTATGCGGGCCCTGCCGGTATGACGAGGATGTTGAGTGTTTGTAGGAAAGGAAGCCCAAAATTCTAATGAGGTCCGAGTATTATTGTTATTGAGCAGGGAAGTTACCTACTTATAGTAAAACGAAGGACTAGAAATAATATCTTTTATATTTTAAGCATTAGTGCTAGGGGTCTATTATATACCGTAGCTAGTTCTACTAAGTTCCCGTCTTCACCAGCACCCACGTCACGCCCACATTCCTTCCACACAAACCCCACGGCGCTGCCCAGCAACTCCGTACCCACCAGACCGGTATCATCATTCACGGTGCGCAACCGTCCGCGAGAAGAAGGCGAACAGGAACCCGAGACGACAACAATCCCCGGCCGAAACGGGCAAACATCAGGCGCAGGCTCGGTGGTGGCGAGCGGGATGACCGAGTCGTTGTTGATCTCGAGCGCGTTTCATGCCGAACACGGACTCTTATTGACGTCTACCCCTTTTTCTCTTTGGTGGCACCGAAGCCTAGCTCATCGCTATCTTTGGGGTCCCCACTGATTTTTAGGTACAGTATCTAAATCCCAAGGTGGAAGGTGAAGGAGATTGTGTAACATTTCGCCAAGGCGCTTCACACAAGTTCAATTCTATTAGTGACGGAGCAAAATTTCCTTAGATAGGATCCGAGCCATACATTTTCCCCCCTTTCTTACAAACCCATCCTCTGCCGGGAATGAGTCAACAGTTGCAATGGTGTTGACTCAGCGAGCCAGACTTTTGCGGCTTCTTGCCATTGCACAGTTTCCCTTGGCTGTCGATGCCAGTCTGTACGATGGCTTTGGTGGCTACGGACAGGGCCAACGGGTCGCGCCATACGACGCCAACTCAACCGCGTTCCTCGACGCCGTCGCTGCGTCCAACTCAACAGGCGTCTTCAAAATCCCCGGCTACGACGTATCCAAGCCCTTTCCCGGGACTCCCATAGACGGATGGACTCTGAGCATGGCCGCCTTGGATATGTCTCACGCCGCCGTGGTGGACGCTACCCACGAGCCCATGGTCGGCTACAGTCTCACGATCCAAGCGCCGGATTCGCTCATCAAGAACGCCGGCGACGGCACAAAGTTCGTCAACGCCGACCCGAGCTGGGGGATGTGCATGTGGATCTTCTCCCCTCCCCCTTCAAACAACAAGACATTGTGGAACAACCCAACCAACAAGCCGCTAGCCGACGACGGCTCATGCAAAGGGTTCTTGTCAGACGAGTGCATCGCCGCGCTGGAAAAGCACGCGACATGGGAAGCCTATCCGGCCGATCCCGCGAAGCTTGGCTCCAACGGCCAGTTCGGATCTCTCGTGGGATGCAACACCATGCACTTCCCCGATGAGTGCGGGCCAAATGGGCCGGGCAACAGCTTATTCAACGCCGCGTCTCTCAACGGCGTGCCGGTGCCGTTCCTGAATGGATCGATCACCAGGTCAGACGGCTGGCAGTTTGAAGATTACAGGGGCTCATCGTACAACTCGACCGAGGACCTGCAGCTGTACTGGGATAGCCAGGTGCTCAACTTCTGGACGGTGGTCACTGTGATGGTCAACGCAACCGTTGATGCGAATGCCCAGATGGGGGACAAGGGTGTCGGTTTGCCGGGTGTGAGTTGTGTCGCTCCGAATGGAGTGGGCACAGGGAAGGCCTTTGCGTTTTCGACTTCGAACTTCACGGTTCCAAACGGTAATGGTGATAACGGCAACGGCACCAAGGCAGACGATGAGAACAGCGGTGTGGGAATGGCGGTGCCGGCTTGGTCGGTATTATGGAGTGTGCTGGCCCTGCTGGTCTGACGAGGATGCTGAGTGTTGTAGGAAAGGAAACCCTAAATTCTAAGGATGTCCGAATGCCATTGTCGTTGAGCAGGCAAGTCACTCATAATGGAACAAAACACCAGAAATGGTGCCTTCGAGTCCATGGTTTCATATATTGCAGACCGGGCCGACTTTCACTTCCATGCCCGCACCTGCCGAACCGAACGACGGGCCGAAATTCAGGTACAGTACCCGAAATGCAACCTAGGGTCTCCCGAGCATCACATCCATAGGGTCCTCTGAGCAAATTGTTGATGACCTGTAACCAGCCGGGTCAGGTAGAGACTTGGTGGCACTGACGGCTTTGGCAGCCAACATCGGCCACTATTCATCAGTGTGCTTTTTCTTGCAAGTTGGTTGACCTGAGGCAGAGGAATAAGCCAGTTGGCGGCGGTGCAAAGAACCCCGCCATAGCGTCGGGTGACAGGGATTATATTCCACAACCTGCCCACGTCATCGCCCACTCCATTGCTGGCTTCTTCCTTGTCAAGAAACCACAGAAATGTAAGTGCAAACAACAAGAAACGATGGCTCACGGGACGAATTTACTGAGACTTCCAGGATCGACCCCTCGATTCGCCTGCGCCGGGCAATCCACGCAAACGATGGGTTGCTGGTCCGGCGCATCCTGAAGTCGCACCCCCACCTCCTCCACAACCCGGACCTCTCGCTAGCGGGCAACGCCAACTCGAACCTCCACCTCGCCGCCTCGCTCGGCTTCCTCCCCATATGCAAGCTCCTCATCGAGCTGGGCCACGAGGACGACGGGCCGGCCCTCAACGACGACCACCAGACGGCGCTGATGCTGGCCGCCGCGGCGGGGCACACCGAGGTGGTGCACTTCCTCTGCGAGCACGACGCGCGCATGGTCCTGCGCCAGGACCTGCGCGGGCGCGACGCCATCATGGAGGCGAGCCTGCACGGGCACGACACGGTGGTGCAGATCCTGCTGACGTACGCGCCCGGCGGGGCGGCGGCGGCGCTGGCGCAGGCCGACCTCGACGGCAACACGGCGCTGCACTTCGCGAGCAGCAACGGCCACCTGCTCGTGCTGCGCACGCTGCTGGCCGCGGGCGCCGATGCTGGTAGGAAGAACGCCTGGAGTTGGACGGCTGAGGCTTACAGCGCTACGGTGCAGGCAGAGGTTTACCTGAAGACGCTCGTCGCCGAGGTCGAGCGGCGGAAGCAGGCTAGGAAGGAGGAGGAGGTGGTGATGCCGGGGAAGAATAGGGGCGGGGCTGTGAGGTTGGTTGTGAAGGAAGTCGGTGATTAAATGGATGATGTTGGGGTGGTGGGGGGGAGAACACAGCACTGTGTTGGTGAGTTCCAGAGTATGTGGCCACTACCGTGAGTTGCGGTTTCAGGGCATTATGATAATGGATCGAGGCAGGCGATACACTCCTAATGACCATCGAGAACCTCCGAATATGCGTCCCGTGCAAGGATCCGGTGTAATGGTTTTCAAACCGCGACGGAAGCTTCCAATTGTTGACACCCGGGCTATTAAATACTGCATACGTGGGCTCGGCGGCGCTATTGGGTTAGCACCTAACACAACTCATACGAATGCAGTCTTGTGGCTCTAAGCGCGTCGACCTTGCCTGGGGCAAAGATGTGTTGCAAGAGCACGGGGCCGACGAATTCAAGACAAAATGCCCCGGACGACCTGCCGTCTGGACTCCATGGGTTTCCCAGCACCGGAGACCTGGCAGTGGCAGACCTTCACCATGTGGCTTGGGTTCAAGTTTGATAAGATCCTTTGCAGCTTACGACGTGGCAATTAAGGCATAGTGTGAGCTTGCTCGGGAAAAAAATGCGTCGGTTCCGAAACACTACCTGTACTCGCCTTCAAGCCTCAAAGACGGAGCAGTGGGGAACTGGATGTGGCCACGTCAAAGGGGTCTTCCACTATGACATATATACAACAATTTTCCGTCTCCTTCATCCCAAGATTGGCCAGTAACGGCCCTGATGGCAATGCGCGTGGCTTCAACTGCCCGCCCCGTGACCCATGACAGTTGGGATGGCGGTAGCCGGGATAGCGCTTGGTGTCACGACCAGCCTCACCGTCTCAGCCTCATGAAACCATACGGGGAGCTGTGCAACCAGACAGGGGATGTCACTGCAGCAGCCAGCAATTGACGCCACTCCAGTCGGGACGAAGACCTCATCCTATATTCATGCGCCTGGATTCAACAATGCTTTGTGCTACCGAGGTCCGCAATCAACCACATAGCCTCAACTACGAACAAGACACTCACCCGATGGTAGCAAGTACGGGAGGCGGGTCACACGACCTTCAGCTACGGGCCTGGTCATGGCGAACCCCTTATATCGATCCGCCGCGTCTCGTCCCGAGTTCCTGTCAACACGTGGTCGTCCTCCGACTTCTTGTCAACGGATTGCCCTTCGGCACCGTTACAGACTGTTATCCTATCCACTTCGACAACATGACAAAGACTTCATCGGTTACACACTGCCACGGCCTGATACATCGTGGTCTGACTCATGAGAACATCATGGGATCCCCACCCCGTGATGGCACTGGTGACACCGAATCATCGTTGTATAGATAGGTGAGTAGCCCGCCCATTCTCCCCAGCCCTTTCCTTCTCCTTGGATACCAGCCTTCGGTACTACCACGTGCCTGACTCTAGCATTTCCTGAGAGATTCAACGATCATCCACTTCTGCCTTCAGCACTCGGCAATGAGCATCCCCAGCGGAGGCCACAATCCCGCTTTTGGCCGTGATCCCGGGCCGCCGCCCCCTCTTGATCCCGCTGGTCCGGCTACGCCTCCTCCCGAAGACAACGGCCCTCCTCCCCCAGGCACGACGCGCACCGTCCAGCCGCTCGTCTACTACGCTATCCCCCGGGTGGGTGTTTTCCCTCGTACCCCACCGATGGCGTGCTATTATCCCGGCTACGGCCCTCCGCCTCCTTACGCGGCGGCACCTTACGCGGCACCTTACGCAGCACTATACCCGGCAGCAGCCCCTGCGCTCGGTGCCACGTACGCCATCGACGGGCGAGGCCAAGTCTACCAATACATCTCGGGCTTCAACGGCTCCGGCCGCTACCCCCAGCCCGCCCCGCCCGTCGACCCAACCTTCCCCGCAGCAAACCTCATCAACAGCACGGGCGGCGCCGGCGCCGAGCCGGGCTACAACTACTTCTTCCCGACGCGGCACGCCAAGGTGGCTGTGCTGAAGTGCCCGAGCCCGCCGTGGAAGGTGCCGCCCGGCACGGTGCCGGGCGTCGACGACCAGATGCACAAGACGCACATCCCCGCGAACGTGACGATCGCCGAGATCCTGGCGGGCTTCGGCTGCCAGAATCCGGACAAGGCCAAGAACCAGCTGTGGGAGGTCTACGAGCAAGGGGGCGGGCGCTGGGGCTGGAGGGAGCATATCACGGGCGACGACGAGGTCATGACCGCGCGGACGGTGCTGGATATGGGCTGGTGCGAGGTTAGGAATGGGGATTTGCCTGTTACGTATCTGTGGTTGTCGAAGACCTGAGGCGAGGGGGGAGTGAGGGGGGAGGTAAAGGCTAAGGGAAGAGAAGGGGAAGAGGAAAGATGGGGAAGGTGATATGGTTGCTTTGCTTTACCGTGCCTTGATTTAGAGCGGTTGCCTTCATGGACTTCAGTCGAGGGGGAGGAGTGCGGATTGCGAAGCTAAGCTTTCATTTCGTGCTTTAGAATAAGGTACTCTACCTAGGATATTGGACTAGGCACCTATGCACTCTGGAAGTACGCTATGATATCTTAACTGCACTCTCTCTTTACCGTCAAAAGGCAGCGTCATTGAAACGCGCATTGATTGCATAATTCATCTCGTTCGTCGTTTGATAGACCAGGATAAGTGGCCACAGAGAAGGAATGCCACGACAATGAATGCGTAGATGCTGGCAAGTACATGCTTTTGAATGACCGGAAGGTAAACACGCACTCAACAGGATGCCCGCCAGTGTACAGACATTTCACCACCTATCTTCACGACATTTGTTTCTTCTTGCTCAAAGCAAGGCGTTTCAATGTTGAGCAAGCCGGGCACTTGTACCACCTTTCGCATCTTATTCCCAAAGGGGAAGGGCCATGGTCGATCCCCTTCCTAGCCCTGTCGATCCGTCAAATGTTGCCTCGGTCGGAGCAAACCCGAACTTTCGGAATCATTCCGATACCTGTTGCCGCCGACTACATCACCTGCAGCGGCGACTTTTCGTTATGAGATTGACCGGGAAAAGGCAGACAGCAGGTGAAAGGTGGCATGCGACCCAAATTCCGGCTTTATGCTGACAGAACTCGATTGGAATCCCTATCCCGCCAATTCTGAGCAGCGGATGCAAGCCTGCAAGGGCGGCAGCACCATCATCGGCTCTGCTCCGAGAGTCGAGACATGGCCCCTGAGCGTCGAAGTGAGCGTGTCGAGCAACGCCGACGGCGAAAGATAGCGCTGGCATGCGAGCCGTGTCGTGAGAGGAAGTCGCGGTGCGACGGAGCGAAGCCGATCTGTTCCACTTGCCAGCGACGGTCGCTGCCGCTGCACTACTGCGTCTACACGCTCGAGAATGCGCGGACAGCGAGTAACGATGAGTGAGATACTAGTCTCCATATTCGGGCCTTGCGGCTTACACTAGCCAGCTAATGACAATTCAATCTGGCCGACAGGTACATCAAGGTGCTCCATGATCGCATCCGGCGGCTTGAAGATGCCTGTGCCGAGCATGGCATCCCTACGCCTCCGCTCCATTCCATGGCGCCCATGGCCGACGGAGATGCATCTGCGGCTCCGGCTGAGCCCACGCCGCCTCCACTGTCCTCCGGGCCGAGCCAGAGCGGAAGCAGCCTCCCCATAGCGAACTCGGCGCCAAGCCTCCACGGCCATGCCTCGTCTCCGGTGATGCGCCAGCGGCTGCGGGAGGCGTCTCCTCGCCATGAACGACTCGAAACGACTGAGTCGGCGGCCAGCGTCACGGCTATGGGGACTGTCTCGACCGAGCATGATGTCTACCAGGCGTTTGATACCGCGACTGAGTTCTACGGGAGCTCCTCGGCCGCGTCGTTCATGAAGGAGGCCTACACATCGGTCAAGCCGCACAGGCACACCACCACACATCTAAACAATGCTCCATCCTTCCCGGCCAGCTTCGCGGCATCTGACCTGTTCGGGAGCAACCCGTTCGCCCAGGTCGACAAGTTCGCTCTGCCGCCCCGCGCGCTAGCTGACCAGCTGCTGAACCGGTTCTGGGAGAGGGTATATTGGCTGCACCCCTTCTTCCACAAACCGACCTTCCTGCGGGCTTACGAGAACCTGTGGCGCCCGGTTCTCGACCAAGCTCCGGAGCCCTCGATTCCTGGACTGGGACTTGGCAGCTCTCCAGGTGCCGACGCGGGGACCATTGTGTTTCACTGCGCCCTGAACACCATCTTCGCGCTTGGCGTTCAGTTTTCCGACCTCAGCCCCAAGCACAGGGCCGAAGCCACCGAGACCTTCTTCCACCGGGCCAAGGCGTTTGTGGGCCTGGACTTCACGGACATGCAGAACGTCGGTGTTGTCCAGGCGTTTCTGCTCATGGCCATCCTCTTGCACAGCACTCCGTTCCCCAGTCGGTGCTGGAACGCCGTAGGCCTCGCGTGCCGTCTCGCTCAAGGGTTGGGCCTGCACACTGAGTCGGGTCGGACGTCTCGCCCTCCATTGGAGACCGAGATTCGGCGCCGGACATGGCATGGCTGTGTGATTTTAGATATGTGGGTGCGAGGGGCTTCGCTACCTATCCCAGGACTCGACTAATCACGTATTTCTAGGATCGTCAGTATGATGTATGGACGGCCAACGATGACCGCCCACCTGCCAGACTTGCCGCTCCCAGCAACACTCGAGTATGAAACCGACCAGGAAACGTTCCAGCCGCAAGCAAGCGACGGGAATGAGCCCTCCAAAATGTGTTTCTATACCGAGTACATCCGACTCGTCCGAATCCTGGGCGAGATCCTCTCCAACGTCTACCAACCCTCCGCGGGAGGTGCCATCAACGGTCCACCGTCGTCCTGGGATGAACACAAATCGCACGGAATGGATGCCATCCTGGAATTGGATGAGAAGCTGTTAAGATACGAGACGGCCTTGCCGCCAACCGTGTCCTGGAGGTCGCCTTGCGACATGAACGGCGTCTCCGAGGAGCGCAGGCTCGTCATCATCACGCAGAGGACCGTTCTTCGGGGGAGGTAAGAAAAAGGGGCCCCTCTAAGTACTAGTACTTGAGCCCCCCCGTCGGCGGCGGCGGCTGACACAACAAATCTACCAACCCCCCAAACAGCTTTCTCTACCTCCGGCTCATGCTCCACCGCCCTATTCTGACGCAGCTCTGCGCAAGGGCGGACTCCGCTCCTGGCACCGCTCCTGCTTCTCCAACAGAGTCGAGTGCCTTATCAGCTGGCCAAGAGCTGTTCACATCCTTTGCCGCGGGCTGCGCCAAGGTATGCCTCGGAGCGGCCGCGGATTTGATCGAGCTTGTCCACAGCACATACCTGACCAACACGACGGGTGGATGGTGGTGGGATGGTCTTTGTTAGTTTTTTATCCCTTCTTTCTTTATTTTTCTTCTTCCCATGATCCCTACTTCAGGCAGTCAGTCCAAGCCATGCTGACGGCAGCGCGGGTCAACAGACGCCTTCACGGCAGGACTTGCTATCATCGTGACATACCTCTGCCCCACACTGCTGGCTTCCCTGGACAGGCAACGTCTAGAGAGGTGCTGGATGATGTGCCAGGGCATACTGTCACACTTCGCCTCCTTCAGCATCTCGGCCCAGAGGTCGCTGAGGCTCCTGCAGAAGGTCCACGCAGATGTCATGTCGCGATCAGCGGGTACAGAGCGAGAAGGCGAGGCTCCAACACGGCCTCCAAGTCGGCCCGCGGCCGCTGCGCCGGGGGGACCCCTCGACTTTGGTCCCGAGACAGCTGTGATGCCGGCAGAAAATATGCCGCTGCCCCTGGGGAGCATATTCCAGTGGCAGGTGCCCGCTGCGATGGGAGCTGATATGGCTAGCGCCGGGTTGATGTTCAACTGGGACCAGTCGCTTGACTTGCTCGCCGGCGAGCTGGGGATGGATATCTATCAGTAACCTTGGTCTATCGAATATATCGGTGGACGCTCACTATTCAAACAGACGAAGGGCTGTCAAGCAGGAGATAAGCACACAACAAGTCAAGCAGAATGACAGTGCAACGATGACGGACGCTGTGACTACGTACTCCAAGGGGGTTTCAGGATATCAAATCACACTGGGTATATAGCAATCCTCCCGCCAAAGTCCAGCTAAGCCAACCCCGCGTCTCCTACCCATTACTTTGTCTCGGCCTGCTGCAGCGACCCAGTCGCGTCGATGGCCTGTCTCCCCCGGAGATCGACTCCCAACTGGGCGGTACTATTCTTGATAAGCACACGGAAAAGCCATTCCGGGGCCGCCCGCTACAACAGATCCAAACGTGTCAGCAAACCGTATCGTCCAAAAAGACGTGTTTGCACTTACCAACATGGCGACATATCGCATCAACCCCGGCAGGTACAGCACTCCTCCATACCCACTGTACAGCGCATCCACAATAGCCTCACTAACCGTCTCAACATGCAGCATCGGCGCCAGAAACTGCGGCTGCGTCGGCGTTCCCCTAACCAGCGGCGTCTTGATGAAGTTGAAAACACAATTCGTCAACCTCACCCGCGGCGCAGCATGCCGATACCGCAACTCCATGCCCAGCCCCTCGTGCAATGCCTGCACGCCGGCCTTGCTGGCCGCGTAGTCGACCAGGTCCGGCGGCGGCATCAGCGCGCTGCTCGAGCACAGGCTGACCACGTGCCCGTGGTTGGCCCGCACCATCGCGGGAAGGAACTCCTTCAGCAGCAGGAACGGCGCCGTCAGGTTTGTCCGCACCGTCGCCTCCACGTCGCCGTACGTGCCCTCCAGCACGGTCCGCCCGCGCACGAGCCCCGCGTTGTTGATCAGCACGGTCGGGTCGCCCACCTCGTCGCGCACGCGCGCGCACACGGCACGGATCTGCTCCGGCTTGCTTAGGTCGGCTTGGTAGTAGTGCAGGTTTTTGGTGGTGGGTGGTGGTGTCCACGACAGCGGGGCGAAGTCGATGATCACGATCCGCGTGCGCGGGTTGCGCGCGAGCAGGGCTTTGACCACGTGCTCGCCGATGCCGCTGCTGCCGCCCGTCACCACGACGATCTCGCGCTCCCAGTGCGCCCACTCGCCCGGCAGACAGGGGGTCCAGTTGTTGCTCGCCCACTTGTTGAGGAGGGTGTTGGCCGAGAGGAGCAGGCCTGTGCCACCGAGCCAGAGTGCCAGGCGCGCGAGCTGCGGGAGGGCGAGGTCGAGGTCGAGGTTGATGCCGAATGCGGAGTTGGAGGCCAAGACCACGTCAAGGATGCGGCCGAGGTGTGTGGCTGCCGGGGAGGAGGAGGAAAAGGACGGTCGGCTAAGCCAGGTCGCTGCTGCTGCGAGGGGCAGCGTGACGTACTCGTTGAGGAGGGTCTTGCGGATGATATGGGCGACCGTGTCGATGTGGAAGCCGTTGTTTTCACGGTGTGTGGCCATCTTGGCGGTGTTGACAACGGGAATGGAGACCTGTCTGGGTGGTTCGGGGTGTGACTCTGGATATACCTATCATGTATCACAGAAGCGCCACTGATGATAGAGTGACTGGGTGTGGTATGTCAGCAGATAGTATAAATGACGTCGGTGACTGTGTGTCGAGGGCAGCTTATTAGGGCAAACTGGTAGTTCCTCTGCTCATCCTGACTTCCTTGGAGGATAGTGCCATCCTCTTTGACTCTAATATACCTGTACCAGATCTTGATTACCGGCTGCCTCTTGTTCATGGCGCCATTTTCTGCTGTGCAATGGTTAGAAAACTCGGTGCCGCTCGTGGGGTGTGTTCGTGGGGTCTCGGTATCACTAGTGCCCTCTCGGCCTCCGCCCGCAAGTGGAAATACGCCCATATCAGCCGGCGCTAACGATATGTATGTAGCTGAAAGACATCACCAAGCTGAAAGATTACGGGTACGTGGATACTAACTAGCTCAACAAGTGGCAGGTACCGGGCTATGGTACGGCTCGTCCGGAACAGCCTGAGCTGAGAGCTGAGTGTCGAGCGGGGAATGACTCGACATTCAATAAGGACCCGGTGTCGCGGTGTCGTAGCGGAGGGCCTTTGTGACGGTTTGAGCAACCTGAGCCACTCGCTAACCCGCACCTTCCGTAAAAGGATGCCAACATCGCAAGTCCCTCGGACTCGCGACTTTTGGTGGTTCATATACGCCTTCACGGCAGGGCGCGCAGCACGCTCCACCACCAATCGGCCCCGCAACCGACCGTGGGAGCAACCTGCCGTGACAGCCTGCATGAGCTGAAGCCTGCCCTCCACGGTTCTACCTAGACTTCTAGTGACGCATTCATCCTGATCTCTCTAGCTTACTAGCATCTCCCGTTGGCTGCCTTATCACTGTCCGGTCCGGACCTTAGGTTTTCATAAATTCTGTAGTAGTGATTGATTGTCTGCTGCAGGTACAATACCTAGGGTACCTAGGTACCTACTAACTTACCATCACAAGCACAGCCATGTGTAACACACTCAGTTACATATGTGCTTCATCAAAAATAAACAGGTGGTAACAGACGTGCATGCTGAATGACTGCCTAGGAAGCTGCACATGACTATTGAAAAGGTGGTTGCGCAATGAGCGAAGGACCAAAATTCTTACGACGCCTTCCCACTCTCATAGTCCCAATTCTCGGTGGAATCATCAGCCCCACAACGATCAAAATGGCCTCCTCTTCCTATGCAACAGCTGCAACTTCCAGTGCCGCTGCCCGTCTTTGACAACTCGGGACCTCCGTGCCGCATTCATGGATCCACTTGTTACTCCGACAAGACGCAGATACACCCTCCTGGCCTCCTCTACTGTCGGGACGGTTAGCCTGGTCGCCCGCTATGCTGGCAGGCTGTGTTCGAGACTGACAATATCATGAGGCCAAAGAAGCGAATATGGCTTTCTAAAGCCGGCAATATGAGCCGAAATAGTTGTATTATATTTGGCCCGGGATGGCAGCGGTATGGGACAATTAGAGTCGTTTGTCTGTAGATGTCCGGCATTGCCGAAGATAAGGGTTGGGGCTAGCAGAGAATTAAGGTATGAAAGGTTAATAAGCGGGAGAAGGTTCATTCGGTACTATGCTATGGCAGGTGGCCATTTCAGCCCTGGCCAGGTAAGTCCGTCGACTTCCGTTGCGTTTCCCGCGACACCATTACAAGTAGCCCACGGTGTTGCATGTGAGGAGAGGATAACTCAATGCTCGGAACCATCCCGATGTGCGTTCTACTGTCGTACCCTTGCCCAGTAGTCTACGTAGTAGTCCCCGCTGCCAAGAACGTGCATTTATTCACACAGCGAAAACACTGCCTCGGGTTCCCTGCAGCCCCGCACTGGCACCAAGATCCAGGGGTCTTGGAGATTGGAGATTGACAGTTCAGATCGACAACGGGAAGAGCTGAGTGCAAGGGGGGAGATCAGGGGGTAATTCGCGTGACAGTTGTCACGATTGCCGCGGCAAGCCTTACACCCTGTATCACCATCCGGCTCCATGAAATATGCCATGTGCCGCACGTTCTACTCCACAAGGCTTCTTCTACATACAACCTTCCGTTTATCCCATCCAAGGCGCTTGCGCAGGAAGACAAGTTCGGGGGTGAACAACGAACAACGTGATGTCGACAACATCAGAAGTGGCGCCTCTCACGGCGCCAATATCTGTGAACCTCCCAGACGCGGTCGACATCCTTAGCGAGGACCAGTGGGGGGTTCTCATGGCACTCATGGACACAATCATACCAGCAATCCGCATCCAGGACGCGTCACAACCCTCCAGAAAGCATGATACCTCAACGCTCTGTCTTCCTAGCGCCCAGTATTCCGAGACAGCCATCAAGCTCCGGAACGCCGTTGCTCCTCTCGACCCACCAGCCGACGCACTTGAGGCCTACCTTGCCGAACGGCCCTCGAACAACCCTGCCTTCACCCAACTCCTAAAATGCGTGCTCTCAACCCTCCCTCCCAGTAAGCAACGGGAGCTACGCATCCTCCTAGCCATCTTAAAGTAGCCCACCACCACCCCTCTAAGCCGGCCCTGACACTGCTTTCACTAACACCCGACACCCCCAGCACACGCGCAGGCGGCCTGATCCTAACCCGCCACGCCACCCCATTCCCCTCCCTCCCGGTCACCGACCGCGTCAACATCCTCCAGCACTGGGGCACCTCGCCGCTGTGGACGTTCCGGTCCCTCTTCAAAAGCCTGACCACGCTCGGCAAGCTAGTCCACATCCGCAGCAGCGCCACCTTCTCGTCCCTAACCGGCTTCCCCGCCGTGCCGACGAGCTGGATCTCCTCCTCCTCCTCATCATCCACCTCCCACTACCCATTTGAATTCCTGCAATTCCACCCCCCGCCTTCCACCAACAACCCAAAAACCCCCGTCGAGATCTCCACAGACGTCGTCATCCTCGGCTCCGGATGCGGCGCCGGCGTGGTCGCGCACCGGCTGGCCCGCGAATTCGGCCCTTCTTCTTCCCTGCAGGTGCTGGTTCTCGAGAAAGGGCGGCACTTTGACGCCGGGCTTCACTTCCCGCTGTCGCAAGCCGCGGGCTTGGCGAGCATGTTCGAGGCCGGCGGCGTGGTCGAATCGGACGACGGGTCCATCACCGTCACGGCGGGCAGCTGTTTCGGCGGCGGCGGCACGGTGAACTGGAGCGCGGCGCTGCAGACGCAGGATTTTGTGAGGCGTGAATGGGCTACTAGCGGCAGCAGCAGCAAGGAGGGAGGGTTGTTGGAGTTCTTTACGGGGGACGAGTTTCAGGCTTGCTTGGATCGTGTGTGTGAGGTCATGGGTGTTGATGGGGAGGTGGTGACACCGAATCATGCGAATCGCGTGCTGCTCGAGGGGGCGGAGAGGTTAGGGTACAAGGCGAAGGTTGTGCCGCAGAACTGTGGGGGCAGCGCGCATGATGATGGGTATTGTACGCTGGGGTGCTGGAAGGGGGAGAAGAAGGGCCCGGTGAACGGCTGGTTCCCGGAGGCGGCTAGGCAGGGGGTAAAGTTTGTGGAGGGGATGCAGGTGGAGAGGGTGCTGTTCGAACAGAAGGGGGGGAAGAAGGTGGCGAGAGGCGTCCGGGGTGTGTGGACGTCGAGGGAGGGTGAGACGGTTGATGTGGTTGTCCGGGCCAAGAAGGTCGTGGTCAGCTGCGGGACACTTTGGAGCCCCGTGGTGCTGCTAAACAGTGGGTTGAAGGTAAGTAAAGACAGGAATGGCGGGGATGACAACGAGGAAGTGCTAACAACAACCACCCAGAATCCTCACATCGGCAAGAACCTGCATCTGCACCCAGTCAACTTCGTCTCGGGAATCTTCGACGAGGACGTCCGCCCGTGGGAAGGTGCGTCTCAACCCCTTCGTTTCAGCCCCCGATAAATCAGAACTAACAACCCAGCCAGGCGGGAGCCTTACCTCGGTGGTCAGCTCCTTCGAGAACCTGGACGGCAAAGGCCACGGCGTCAAGATCGAAGCCATGTCGATGATGGTATATACCAACCCTCCCCACACCTCCCCTTCCCTTCCACAACCCCCCTCCCTGCCTTCAAGATAAGGTAACTAACTGCACCTCACTCATCCCACCAGCCGTCATTCTGCCTCCCCTTCCTCCCCTGGACCTCAGGAACAGACTTCAAACTCCTCTCAGCCCACTACCGCCACGTGAACACCTTCATCGCCATGGGCCGCGACCGCGACACCGGCCACGTATACCGCGACCCGGACTCGGGCCGTCCGCGCATCGCCTACACGCCCTCAGACTTCGACCGCGCCCACATCCTGCGCGGCGTGCTCGAGCTCTGCCGGATCCTGTATGCCCAGGGCGCAAGGGAGATCCACCCGTCCATCGCCGGTTTCCCGCCATTCGTCCGCCGTGTCAAGGAGGAGGGGAATGACGGAAAGAGCGAGAAGGAGAAGCAGGAGTTTGAAAGGTGGCTGAGCAAGTTGCAAAAGCATGGCAACAAGCCCCCCGTGACGCCGTTTGCGTCGGCGCATCAGATGGGCACGTGCAGGATGAGTGCGCGGGCGAAGGAAGGGGTTGTGGATCACCGCGGACGGGTCTGGAGTACCGAGGGGCTGTATGTGGCGGATGCAAGTGTGTTCCCCAGTGCTAGCGGTGTGAATCCGATGGTGACGGTCATGGCGATTGCGGATTGGATTGGGAAGGGGTTGTGCGAAGACTTGAGGGGCGGGGGGGTGAGTGCGAAGTTGTAAGTTTTGTGTAAATGCGTGGAGAGGAGGTGTGATTAGTACGTTCTGGTGTCTGAATAGCAACGCAGCAGACAATCCATCGCTATTGTATAAATGATGACGAAAGTAATAAAGACATGATCAATCTGGGCCGCAGCAACACTCAATCGCTAGCAAACAGTCTACCGCCCCATCCACCTTGAACCGTCAAAACATATGCACCCTCGTCGACGAGTGGAACATGGCCGGCAAGAAGCTCTGGGTGTCGTTCATGTTTTCCACCGCCGTCCGCAGGCTCTTGGGCGTCCTCTTCAACACTGCCGTCGCCAGCGTCTTGTCGAGGTGATCGGCGCGCATCTCGAGCAGCTTCTCCACCACCCCTAACACGGTGTGCTCTCCCAGCAGTTTCACAGCGAGCTTTCCGTGTGCCAGCACCTTGTCCAGCATGTCCTCGCCATCAGAGTCATCATCCTTCTCCAGTGTCTCACTGTTTCCTCTGTTTTGGCCCTCTCCTCCTTCCTGGCCCGCAAACGGCTCGGCCGTCGGCCCCCCGCCGCCAAGAGACAGTGGAGAGTTCAACTGAAGTCCTCCGACACCTTTCGTCAAAGTGTTCAGGCTCTGTCGTCCGACTTGCATCCCAGCATGAAGCTTCTCCTCGCTGTCCATGGCAGTCATCCTGCTCCGGATGTAGTCGTCCAGGATGTAGCACATCTTGCGCTTCTTGCGCATCATGTAGGTCTGCCAGACGTTCACCAACCCGGGCTCGGGGGTAGAGTCGTGAAAGTCGATGGCGCCTGTGGCAATCCGGTGGCCGTAGAACTGACCCGGTACAGGCCCAAGTTCCAGGTGGCAGAGGAACCAGTTGGCACCCGGTGCCCCAGAGAAGCGAGCCAGCACCCACTCCCCTGCGACGAACTCGAGTTGCGGTTCCTGGATGAAGTCGACCATGCGGCTGACGAGGCGCTCCTCTTCGGTGTTACCGCTGTTAGGATCGTCCTTCGCTGTCTTATCACCGTCCTGCTGTGCGTCATCGATCTTGTCGTCCTCCTTGTTCTCACTCGGGTCGTTGCCATTGTCATTGTCGTCGGCGGCCACTTCCTCGCCATCGGTTATCTCCCCCGGTTCCTCAGCCCCGTCTTCGGCAGGGCCTTGTTTGCCAATTCTAGTAAGGTTCATGCCTTTAAGCAACCGGGCACCCCGCCTGTCACCTTCCCCCTTGTCTTGCTCACGCAGCACCTTCGCCTCGATAGCTTCAATGGCGTCCAGCTCCTGCTCAAGAATGCGTCTCTCACAGGCAAAACTTGTGATTACCCGCGCGAAGCCGGTGCTGATGGAGCACCAACCGGATATCTTATTATGTGGACTGGCGGCTTTGGCGATCTGCCCCCGCAGCTTGTCGGGGTCGATCATCGTGATGATGACGCGCTGAATGTCGAAGAGACCCTCAATTCCGGAGTTGTTGACAATGATGGGGTTTGGTGAGATGGTATCCAGGTCCTGCCCCTGAGAGGCATGCTTCTGGATGGTGTACGCACTAAATCCACCGTCTTCGAGCAGCTCAGCCTTGATGTCCTGAAGCTCCGCGGGCAGACTTGACTTGAGCTGATCGGTTGGCCTGACCAGATACTCCATCACAACTTGATCAACAGCTTGCCATGCTGGCCCGGGGGGTAAAGTTTGAGCTTCCTCGTACGGCGGCGGCGGATCGGTGACGATGTCTGTCGGCTTTGCATCAGGGAAGGCCTCTGCTGGTTGTGGAGTTGGTGGCTCCACCGGAACTTCCTTCGCCGCTGGTTCTTCCGCCGGCGACGAATCGTTGTTGCCCTTCTTGGAACGACTGAAAGAGGGCATTTTCATGCTCTTCCCAAGGGGGACCCTTGAGCCTTTCTTTCCAACACCCTCGGAGCCCGCCTCTTCCTTCTTGGCTGGTGGCGAGGACTTCCCCCGTAGAGGGAAGGTTGAGGTCAGGAGCGATGGGGGCGATGACATCAATGGCACTGAAGGCACAGTGGGCCGCTTGAAAGGCGAGGGCCGGGTCTCGGCTGGCGGAGGAGAGACCGCAGCTTCAGCCGCCTTTGTCTCTTTCTCCTTCTTCAATTTCTCCCGCACCTCTTTCTCCCTTCTGCAGTGTTCTCTGAGATACCCAATGATTTTGGCAAAGACCTCCTGCTGATGCTTGAGCTCCTGAAAGCCGGTCTTTTGGACAAGCTGCACGATCCGCTCCAGCCAGTTCAGCGGAAGGTTCGTGTGCTCCTTGTCTTTGGCGAGTTCAATGGCGTTCCGTAACGTCTGAATGATGACATGATACGTAGCCACGATATCGTTCATCTTCACCTGGACACGTTCAGACAGAAGAAGGTTGTACCGCCGGCTCCGATCATCGATATTTCCGTACGCTGCATGAGAAACAGGGTACATCGACCTTCCACGGATGGGGCTACCGATCTCCATGCCCGTCCAGTTGAACACCGAGATGTCGTTGTGAGTGATCACGACCTCGTCCAACAGCCGAGCCAGGGCTTTGATGTAGCCTTCCGCAGGGAACGTGGGGAACCGGACCCCCAAGATGCCCATGAGTGCATAGGATCTGTCAGTGGCAATCTTCGCATCGCGCTTTCCTGACACTTCCAACACGCTCTGGGCAGAGAACCCAGACCGGCGCATTCCCTGCTGCCACCCGCTGAGCTGGTGGACATGTCCGAACTCTGCCACATACTTCCGGTCCGCGAGGATGAGAGATTCAGTCTCGGCAACCAGACACTGAAGAAGGAAGTTGATAGTGTGTTGTATGACCTCTCCTTCCTTCTCCTGCTCTTCAAACTGTTTGGGGAGTCGTGGAAGGTAGTCTTTCACCCGGGCAAGGAGCTCGCGCTTCTCGGTGTATTCCTTGGTGTTCCTTCTTTTGTCGCGGCTGAAGTCAGCTGAAGCAAGGTAAACGGCCCGGGCAATTGCAGAGGTTGCGGTTTCCATGGTCAGGCTACCGGGGATTCGGACCCCAAGCGCTCCAAGAAGAACGATTATCTGCTGAGCCGTCTCGACTCTTGCGGCCTCATGGCTGGCGGTTGCCTCGATGTCCTTCGGATTCCCGGAGCGACCTGTGTGCTTGCGTTCGATGCACTTCTGTAAGCTACTCCCCGCTTCTTCATCGCGAAGAATGTCCTGCTTCAGAATTTCCGCGTTCAAGAACCCTTGGGGTCCGGGAGCAGTGACGGAGGGCAGGTAGATGTTCCCGGTGTCTCCGCGTGTGTAAAGAGCAATGAAAGGAATCGTGTAGTATAGGTATCCCAGACTCTCAACCGGCCGGCTTAGGAGTGTCCATTGGGAGTTGGCGTAGAAGGTTGTTTTGCTCATGATCAGTTCCTGGAGCGTCCAAGCCCGAGTAGACCACTCCAGTTTCGAGCTTTGGATTTTCTCGAAGCCGTCAATGTTGGGCTTCGAGTCTCCCAGGACAATCTGATACGCTCCCGTGCTCCTGTTGGCTTCGAAAAGATCCCAGTCTTCCACAGCATCCGCCTCGTCAGACGGACTGTCCAGTTGCACCAAAGTGAACTCGGCGGCGGCGTACCAGTCACCCATCAGTGACAGAGACTGTGACAGCTCTCCAGCATCCTTCTTGTCGATGCAGCATGTGTCCGTCCAGAAGTAGCATTTCTCCCGCTGCTGAAAATGCTTGTACTTGAAAATGTGATCGGCATTCCTAATGGACTCCTTAATCTTGATGGCCGATTTCCATCTCTGGAGACGCCGGACCATCTCGTCGAGGGCATCGCGGAGACGGTGCTGATTCTGGAAGTACTGGATGTCGGCCTTTACGACATCATATGTCGCTTGCGCCTGTTTAAGTTTCGCCTCGGCCTTCCTCAACTCGCCTTGGACGTCTTTGACTACCTCACTGCCAACATCGCTGCTAGATGTGGAGCTAGGTGTCCCATCCCCCTTTCCGTCAGAATCTCCCAAGTACTCCTTCATCTTTTCATCAACCTTTTCGTGCATTTTGCCGGCGAGATCGCTGAATATCTTGCTCTCCATCTCCGCAAAGCGCAGTTTTGTCCTAGCCTGGTCCACTCCATCCTTTGCCCATCCGAGTTTGTCGGAAGCGCTCATGGCCTTGAGACGGCGGTTCAGGAGGTAGCTAATGCTGGGGTCATCGACGTTGGCGCTTTCACCAGATCGACCCTTGGCATACAGCCTTTTGATCAGACTCTCCTGCTCCTTAAGGTCGAGCTTGCACTGCTCTAGAACCAGGTCCACATCGCTCTTCATGTCAGCGTCGTTGCTCGCGTTGCTTTCCCCGGAGTCCTCCTTGGCACGTTCTAATGCTTTTCTCCGGGCGTCCTTGATGTAGTCGAGCGTGAGTTCCTCCCCTTTCCAGCGGTGCGATAGCATGCAATACTGCCCGCGGACGCCGATGGCGGGAAACTCTACGAGGTCGCCCGTGTCAATGTCGAACATGCGGAAGGGGAGCTGGGACGGAGGGAGGTCGGGAGCCGAAAGGAATTCGACGTCCCGGAGACCAGCAACGGCATACTTCGGGTCCTCCACAAAGGTAGGTTTGAACCATGGGACAAACCAGAGGTTCATCAGGGCTCGGAGCTTCTCAGGACTCTCCCCGAACTCCTTGAAGGTCTTGGCGAGCATCTCAGGCGTCAACTCGACCTTATCCAGCATCTTGGCCCATGCATCTCCCTGCAGTTTGGGTGAATCGAGCGCCATTTTGACCGTATCCATGACGGGCAATCAGAGGGTGGAAAGACCGCGCGACAAAATACCACAGGAGCTAAGGCTGTCCTAGGGGAGCCTTAGACAATGTCAGTGTCAATTAACAGGACCTTATAAACCGTGGAGTGTACATACCGTTGGTTCGCTGTTGGAATAGCGTAGGTGGTGATGTTCTGCGCGTCCCTGTCACCCCAGGTGATGTCGAGGGGTCGCCCCAATATAAAGAAGAAACCTCCAGCTTTACCCCTTTCCCTTCGCTCACTCTCCAGGTTGTTCCCCATCCTCTGAGCCATTCGTCCAATCTGGCCTTTGAACGGCATGAGCGGCAGAATGCAGTGTAATCCACCCACTCCGGTGCAACATCCTGCCGAAGCAAATGAACGTGCTTCTGTGCTTTTCAGCTCGTCTGCACGTCGTGTATCACCAACGACGATCACAGTCGCGGTAGTTTTATTTAACCAGTGGTTGTGTTAACCCCGCCTGCATGATAACCTTCAGCTGCCATCGTGCAGACCCTGGCCCAATGGCTCGCAAATGCCATGAGACAGCCACTGCTGGATAGGGAATGGCGTTGATACCCGATGCCCGGCCTGTCTGACTGATCGACTCTTGTGTTCCGTTGTCCAACCAAGTGTTAGTTGAGTTCCGCGAGTGCCGCAGCGCTCCCAGCTTCGGTCACTGTCAGTGACTCTGTCTTTTTGGATGTTGGGTCGGTCCGCCCCATTTGAAAGTTTAATCTGAGCCTGCCCCAGCCTACTTGCTTGTTGCTCCATCAGCGTTCTCGGCATCTCATCGCCTTGCCAACTGTTGATTGAACGATGGCATCGTATCACCGAGTTCTTCAGGTTCACGGCCGGTCTGTCAAGCAGAAGAGCATTGAATGCGATTAGTATGTACCACCATGCTCCCACAACCACTGTACTGGGACCTGATATCGGACACAGCGATATACATCCTTGGGACATCCTGATCAACGGCGAGAGGTGGGCCGGCAAGGTTCGACTGGTGGGGTTCGTTGACTCCTTCTACCTGCTCTGCTACTCGGGGCAATCCAAGTTCGAACATGGCATTGTCGTGTACAGTTCGTACCCTTCTGTTACCAGGCACAGCCGTGCTCACAGGTTGACCATGACATCAAGAGGATGACGATACCATCCGGAGCACGCTGCAAAACGCGAAAGTCGATCCTGAGAAGATCGGGTTGAGGGTTGTGAACAAAGAAAGAGTCGAGCGGGAGGTCGACCCAGGTGCGTTTCGGCCCTACTTGAGACTTGTCAATGAGGAACATGTGACTGACATGGTGTCTGCTTATCCAGAGCCTCTGAAGTATTTCCAGTTCGAAAGCGAGAAGGGCGGGCTTGACTACAGGATCACCAGCCTCGGCCATACAGTCAGCCTGAAGACCCAATATCCCACATCGTCCTTGAAGAAATATGAGATCAAGCTCCGGAAAGGCAGAGACCCGGTCATGAAGAGTACGTAACCCCAGAACAGCCCGACTCGGATGCTTCAGAACAGGAACTGACTAGAGCACTGTAAAGAGCGGATCAGACGTGGAGTCAAGCAGCACGACCTGTGGGATCTGATCCATGATTCTATCCGGATAGGCATTATCACGCAGGCCCAGCTGATGGGGATGATCATCGGCAAAACCTACGGAGGGTCAGTCTTAGAAGACGTTACCAACAAGTATTTCGATGGGCTTGCTGGCGCGAGCGGATCCAAAAACCTGTCCCTGTCAGGCGAGAGGATGTAGAAAAGCGAGCGGGGTGCGTGAAAATTTCGCTGGAACCATCATGTTAAGGTTGTATTGGCGGGATTCAGAATCAGAAGGGAGGTCCAGTTTGAATCTACGGAACCTTAATACTGCCAGTAGCTCTTTCCCCGTGCTTTTGCCTCCGCTTCCAGGTCATGTTAGCGCACCAAATTCGCACCTTCCCTGTCTATGCAATTGCCTAATCTTCCGAGTCACTAGTGCTAACAACCTAGATCCTCTCTCAAGTCTCGCCATCGGCTAACGTGCATTATAAGCGAGCCGAACATATAAGCGAGTCGAACACTTTTTGGCACAACGCGTCTTCCCTCCACCTAAACATTAGTTTTTCTACAACCTAACTTGTCTTCTACTTCAAAAGAAGCCAGGGTAATTTTAGCCCTCAAAGCTCTTCAAAACGACAAGGAACTAAGCCTTCGAGCCGTAGCCAAGCTCTATAACGTGCCAGTTACGACCCTCTACGACTGGCGCGCTGGCCGACCTGCACGACGTGACACTACGCCCAACTCGCGCCGGCTCACCGATTCCGAAGAGAAGGCTCTTGTTCAATATATAATTGAGCTATCTGAGCGAGCTTTTCCACCGAGACTACGTGGTATAGAAGATATAGCTAACCAACTGCTATGCGTATGCGACGCGCCCCCTGTCGGCAAGCTCTGGACGTATAACTTTGTCAAACGCCAGCCAGAGCTCCAGATGCATTATACGCGTAGATATGACTACTAGAGGGCTAAGTGCGAGGATCCGAAGGTTATTGGCGAATGGTTTGCCCTTGTGCAGAATGTTAAGGCCAAGTACGGTATTATAGATGACGATATCTATAACTTCGATAAGACTGGGTTTATAATGGGCATTATCTTCCTAGGTATGGTGGTTACAACCTCGGATGGTCGTAGCAAGGCGAAGCTAGCCTAGCCTGGCAATTGCGAATGGGTGATAGTGATCTAAGGCGTCAATGCCCTTGGCTAGGCTATCCCTCCATTTATTATTTTAGCCGCGTAGTACTACCTTGCCAACTGGTATACCAAGTGCAACCTCCTAGCCGACTGGCGCATTGCAACTACCGAGAATAGCTAGACTACTAATATAGTTGGCCTTGATTGGATCAAGTACTTCGACTACTATATAGCGCCTTGGATAAAGGGCAAATACCGGTTATTGATCCTTGATGGCCACAAAAGCCACTACTCGACCAAGTTCGAGCTCTACTGCCAGTAGAACAACATTATCATACTCTATATGCCTCTATATTCCTCCTACCTCCTCTAGCCACTTCATATTGGCTGCTTTGGGCTGTTGAAGCAGGCGTACGGTCGCCAGATCGAGGACTTAATACGCGCGTATATGAACTACGTCAGCAAGCTCGAGTTCCTTTGTGCCTTTCGCGCGGCCTTCTTTGCCTCTACCACCAAGAGGAATATCCAGGGTGGTTTTGCAGGGGCTGGCCTTATGCCGTACGATCTAGAGAGGGTGCTTTCGAAGCTAGATATCAAGCTTCATACACCAACACCCCTAACCTCACGGCCGGGCATTGTATAATCTTAGGTCTTCTAGACACTATACAACCCTCGAGAAGCCGAGTCATAGTCAATGCTTATCAAGACTCGCATTGCCAACCATCAAAATAGCTCCCCGACTTTAATATTGGCTGCTATAGACCAGCTTACCAAGGGTACGATGGCTATAATGCACCAGGTAGCCCTCCTTTAGGCAGAGGTGTCTTCGCTCCACAAGGCTAACGAGGCGCTAAGCAAGCGCCAGAGAGCCAAAAGAACACGTGTACGGCTTGGAGGATCACTTACTGTGCAGGAGGTACAGGAGGTGGTAAGCCAGGGGGCTGTAGGTGGGGAGGCAATGCAAGAAATACAGCTGGATGGTAGTGGTGCTGGGGGGGGGGGGTTCGTACGAAGGTTCGGTGCTGTGGTATGTGCGGCAAGCCTGGCCATAATGCCCGCACTTGCCAGGAGGGTGCAGAAGGGTCTGATTCATCTGTTTCTGATGTAATTGTAGTTGGTTTTTAGTGTTGTTGCATTACAATTGAGGGTAGTTGTTATAGAGTAGTGGAGAGTGTTCGGCTCGCTTATATGTTCGGCTCGCTTATAATGTACGTTATCGAATTCTCAACTGCATTAAAGATGTCTTGATCTAGCATTAGCATGTGAATAGCAGGACCATTGCAACGGTGAAAACTCAAGACTTGATGGGGCTCTCCTTTTGGCTGTTTGGCACGCCCGACGCCGTCGTCGAAGGCCCCTTGTTACTACTGAAAGGATGCTGAACAATATGTAACTCAACGCAAGCCCATTTGGGCTGACCATTTCTTCCTGTGGCCCACTAGCAAAGAAAAGCAATCAGGTAATCTCAAAGTCCATAAACCATCCACCCTCAAGACGCCATCGCCATGCAGCATAGTCCCATACGGCCTGTACCAACCGTAACTGAGCCTCTGAGCCTTATCATAACGCCAAATCAAGCTTTGTCTAACGGGCGAGAACGAGCAGAATGACCACACCCCAACGGCCATAGCGAGCAGGGCCCGGGACATTTCCCCTTGTCACGGATCTCGTCACTTCTCATTAACCTCTGGCCCCCTGAAAATACCCACGCTGTACCCAAGCAACCTTTGCGAAGGAAGGTGGTGACCACCGCTAGAAACCTAGGAGAGCCACGCTACTGCCCTGGCCGTAGATCGCACACCTCAAACTCCAGAGACTTCGATTCATAAACGTGACCCTGCGGATGTCCGGCGTCGACGTAGAGGTTTGTAACCGAGTGTGGGTGGAAGGTCTCGGTCCGCTGGCAGGATAGGATGTGCGGTAGGCCCGGGGGGTTCGTCAGGCGGAAGATGCCCCATCTGAACTGTTGTTAGCAACCGACCCCCACATACCAAACGGATAGTACCAAGGGCGAAACTTACGAAGGGTCGTACAGCGGTGCACACACAATCGCGATACTCTCAGGCATCATGACCTGGTAGCCCGCCTGGGTATGCAGGTCGCGCGAACTCATGAAGCAGGTCTGCGTCGGGTGGGTGTGGATCCAACCGATCACAATCAGGTCGTTGTTGATGCAGAAGTCAAGCATGCCCGACTCGTTCTCCGTCTCGCACGTGTCGGGCGTGCACTTCTGTTCGGGGATGATCAAATGCGAGATGAAGAGCGCGTTGTTTACGGTCGTGCCGCAGAGCATGCCGCACATCTCTAGCCCCTTTCGAGTGTTGCCTGCTGCGATCTGCAGGAACTTCTGCCGCAGTGTACTGGGAAGGAAGACCGGCCGGATGGGCTCGCCGTTCTCCAGATAGGCAGCTGGTCGAAAAGTAACCCTCTTCGGCTTCACAGGGTCGGCCACCGCTTTTGGGGGAAGAGTAGGCGCTTCCTCACATATCGTGCTGTAGTCTTGGACTGCATTGGAAGGCAATAACTCTTTGTCAGGCCGAGGCGGCGGCAATACGGGAGAGGACTCTTCGAGATATAGCTCCTTTTCGGGTCGAGGTGGCGGTCGAACCGGGAACCTATCCGCATGGCACTCTTTGGGAGGGCGGGGCGGCTGCATTCTTGGGCCTTCTGCGGCCCCTCTTGAAGAAGGACGGTCATATTGCAGAGGTGATGACTTGCTGATCGAAGGGTAGTAATAAACGGCGGGTCGGACGAATTCCTCTGGGCCATCGTTGTCTCTTCTGTAGTGGTCGGAGCGATCCAACTGACGGCGAGTTGCTTCCATTTGACTGCGGAGTTCATCGTCGTCCATATGAGCCGGAACAGACCGTTTACTCGACTCGCCCGCCCTGTCATTCCGATACCCAGCCACTCTCCGCCTGTAATCGTCTTCTTCTAGCCCGCCTGCTGCCCGCCTTCGTCTGCGCATCTCCTTCTTGGCGAGATCAACAGCAAGGTCTTGGTGGTCGCTCGCATCGAGGATACTTGCGGGAGATGCATAGCTCCATGAGAGCGCTGGATCGTTTGCGGCGTATCTAGCGTAGGACGATGTTGGCATGTGCCGGGAGTCGGGCGCCGTATCTCGTTGGGCGGCGTATATCTTCATCCACTCGTCGTATACTTGATCGATCTCGGGCCGCAACGTTTCGAGTGTCTCTATGACGCGGGGCATGCGCTTCTGGAGTGGCTTGATTGCCTTTCTAGCTTCCGGCTCCTTGGCTTGTGGATGCTTGACGAGGTACTCGAGGACAAGGGTGGAGTAGCGGAAGAGGACTAAGTACGCCTGGGGAATGTTCCCTTCGCGCAGGTAAACTTGACCCTGGCAAACGACAGATATGTCAGTGCGCGATCAAACACTGACATTGGGTGGCGGACAAACCTCATGATGAATGGTCTCGGCTGCCCGCGCCCAGTACTTGAAGCTGATGCGCGGATTCCATTCGAATTGTTTTGCCTTGTCGATTAACTCCTTTGAACTCATGGGCTTGCTGCCCGTGCTCAGGTCCGTGAGGTTCATCTTGACTTGCATTGGCGAGCGGCAATGTCTGGTTAACAACAGGCCGCCCCTCTGAGAAGCTGACGCAACGGCGCCGAACACTGGAGCTACCGATGGATGGTTCTGATATCGATCACAATCATCGTGCAATTCTGGGTTTCTTTCTGGAGGAAATTCGATGCCTAGATACTAGAAGAACTTGATCCCGGCGAACAGGCAAATGCGCAAGAACGTGTTTGGAAGGGAAGAGAACCTTGACAGCAAGCTGCCTGTTGATGGCCGCGTAACTACAAGTTGACATTTGACCCCGCCATGGACCCACTGGGTCAAGGTCTTGGGAAACAGGCGGGGCAGCTGAATCAGCTGAAAGCCTGATGCCTCAGGCACCCTGCTTGCATGGTCAGGGCGTCGTGCACGCACCATCGCAAATGCCATGGCTTGGCAGCCATCCGGAGGCATGGCAAGCCCAGTCGACGTCAACTTCTGCTGAGTCGCTGTTTAGACGAGCTGAACTGCGACGGAAATGTACCAGGTAGAGGTAGGTAGGGAGGTCCTGTGTAATGGCTGACCTATTGTCCTACCTCACCACGTTCATATTGCTCGCCTGAGTTTTGCGGTCAAAATGGTGGCACCCACGGAACAACCCGAGAGCAGCCACGGTGGGTACAGAGGCCCATGACTTTGCTCCTGTGCCGACTTCTTTCTTACATTACCTTCCCTGGACGTCGGAATTGCCGGCCAGTATCGTTACAACACGAATCTCGCCTCTAAGGTTCCCCTGTCCTCCCATTATAGGACAGCAAAATTGTTGAACAGCGTCCGGTGTCGTGATTTGTCGGAGGAAATCGGTCTCTCGGGATTAATCGGGAGTGCATTATCCCTTGTCTCGAAGCCCAGCAAAACACACCATCCATGGCGCCAGGACCCATGGCCTCAGCCTTGTTATGTTTGGATTGGACCAGAAGACGGCAAGGCTGGCCAGGGGCTGTCCCGAAATTTCTGTTATAAGAAGGCTTGCCATGACCTGTTGAACTTTTCTCACCATTGCCTTCCTCATCGTCCCCCTACCTAGTTCGTCTTCGTACTCCTGCGGCGTGGTTTCTGCTGCGTTTTCCAAAGATGGCCTCTGCTCACTCCTCTCATCCCGGGTCTGGGAATGCTCAATGCCAAGGTGATTTCATCCTTATAAGGACGGAACCTCCATTCGACCACAGCGCTGACCTAACCCTGCGTAGCAAGCATCGAGGCATCCATGGACTTCCTGAGTCTCGATATGGGTCGACTCTCCATCCCAGCCGAGACCTGTCTGTTCAGCCTCCTCAGCCAGTGTTTCACCCGGATCAAGAGCATCTTCAACCTCCATGACCCCCAGAATGTCCTTGAAGACCCATCCGCCTTAGACCGGATCCTGAGTACCATATTCGACACCGCCTCTGTCGCCTTCGTCACCGAGAAGTCAGTGCGCATCATCGCCGGTCTTGACGACCACGACAAATCATGTCTGTATGTGCAGGCTGTGGCGGGGATGGCATTGTTCTTCCGCCGCCTGAGCGCTGCTGGCGCTGAGCTAACAGCCGGATCGTTTTCTCGGGAGCTCCAACTGTTCGCCGAAAGTGAGCAGCGCCGGGCCATGCTCGACAAGATCGGGAGCACCTCTTTGTTCAGCTCATGCTATACCAAGAGCTCCATGGCTGACTTCGTCCTGGCGACCATTGAAAAGGACGGGGATGCTGAGCACAACGGCGGGTTGCCTCTCGCCAAGGCTAGGGAAAACCTCTCGGCCGACAGTGTTGCGTGGGGTGGCAGCCGCCCATATCAGAACATGGGTCTGCCTTGGGGGTTCACGATTATGGCTTTGAACTGAGATCCCAAGGGCTGTAATCTGTATATTAGATGTATCACCTCCATTGCGATGGACCATAGCGTGGCGTTGGGGGTATCTTTCAACGTTGACAAATTCACCTCGTCATCATGCCGTTCCGTCCTTGGCTGTGATGCCATCATGCCTTAACCGCCTGAGCTCCGGCGGTTTGCGCGCTGGTCTGGACCTGGATAATCTCGCCCTTCTTCTTCTCGATTCTGCCCTGCGCTTCCTTGATTTGTGTCTCAAGCCGGGTGCTTGTAAGCGCAGATTGTGTCAGCTTACTCTAGGCAAAGGCGAGCTGCTGGTCTTACATTTCCTTGTTGATGAACTCTAGCCGCCCGCTTACGGTGCTCTCTGCGTCTGTCTTCTCTTGCTTGAGTAGCACGGGGCCGATGAGTTTGTAGATGGTCTCGCCATCCTTCAGCTTGCCAAATTCCTGTAACTCATCTCAGTCATTGCCCCATCTCCTTGCAGAGAACCTCGAACGAACTTTCTGTACTCCAAGATTCTCCTGTCTTTGAGCCTCAAGTTTCTGTCTTGATTGAACAATGTCCTGAAGGTCTATGCACCATGTAAGTGAATGTCAAGTGTCAGAATAGTGCATGACGGACCTACCTTGTTGCAACTTGGTAAACTCCTCTGAGAGGGTTTGTAGTTTGGCTTGCATGTCGGCCATGTTCATTCAATGAGCCTGTGGCCTTGGTCGAGGATGGTTCGGTCTGCAAAACGGCGTCCAAAAAGCTTGATAACTCGAACCTGGTCTCCGGCAGCTGTTCCTCCTGTGTGGGTCGATTTGGCTGGATCAGACTCGAAGCTTTATGAGGAGCTCCGCAAGTCGAAAACCGGGCTTGAGAGCTGGGTGTTAGTGCTTGGCTGGGACTTTGGCTACGACACTAACAGATATGAAAGTGCCCCGCCGAGCTAAACAGTTGCGTCAGCCCCGCGCTCCCGCTTCCTGGACAACGGGGATCGACGGATGGATTCCAGTCCCTGAAAATCAACTTCAACGACGATACGATTCCGCCCGGTGCTCCCCTGGCAACCACTGCAACACAATCTCGGGGTTAGCTCACCGGAGTTCACATTGAAGAGTCCTTTGCTTAGCCGTCAGCATAAAGCGAAAACTTGTCTTGCGCACCGCTTTCTCGCCGTGCGCTGGATCGATCTCTTAAGCAACCCCAACACAAAACAGCCATCAATCCTGTCATACCCACCGGAAAAGACCTGACGAGGACGGCCGCACATCATGTCCAACACGGACTTCCTCGACCGCGCGATCAAGCAGGTGCGGCTTGCCATCGACGCCGACAATGCCGCGCAATACGAAAAGGCCTACCAACTCTACTACCAATCCCTCGAACTTTTCATGTTGGCCCTAAAATGGGAAAAGAACCCCAAGTCGAAGGAGATGATTCGCGCTAAGACGGCCGAGTACATGGACCGAGCTGAAAAACTCAAGGCGCACCTTGCCGACGCCGAAGGCAAGCGTAAAAAGCCCGGGATGGTAGGTGTTAACGGCACCACGACAGGGGGTACGGGCAAGGGGAAAGAAGCTGGTGAAGACGGAGGGGAAACACTGGATGAAGATAGCAAGAAGTTGCGAAGCGCGCTAGCGGGGGCTATTCTGCAGGAAAGGCCGAATATCAGGTGGGATGATGTCGCCGGGCTGGAGCAAGCGAAGGAAGCTCTCAAAGAGGCCGTTCTGCTGCCTATCAAGTTCCCGCACCTGTTCCAGGGCAAGAGGCAGCCATGGAAGGGAATCTTGCTGTATGGACCGCCGGGTACAGGCAAGAGTTATCTCGCCAAGGCGGTGGCGACGGAGGCGAAGAGCACGTTCTTCAGCGTGAGCAGTTCGGATCTGGTGAGCAAGTGGATGGGTGAAAGCGAAAGGTGAGCCATAACATGTCCTGAGGTCTTCCACGCCACCAGAGCATACTGACAGGGTTGTTCCACAGGCTAGTCCGCCAACTCTTCGCCATGGCCCGCGAGAACAAACCATCAATCATCTTCATCGACGAGATCGATGCCCTGTGCGGCCCCCGCGGCGAAGGAGAGTCGGAAGCCTCCAGGAGGATAAAGACTGAACTGCTGGTCCAGATGGACGGTGTAGGCAAAGACTCCAAGGGTGTCCTGATCCTTGGAGCAACCAATATTCCCTGGCAGCTGGACGCGGCCATCCGCCGGCGTTTCCAGCGTCGTGTGCACATCAGCCTGCCTGATTTCGCAGCGCGGACAACCATGTTTAAGCTGGCCGTCGGCGACACCAACACGGCGCTGAAACCCGAAGACTTCCGCGAGCTGGCGAAGGCAGCGGAGGGGTACTCAGGTTCCGATATCAGTATCGTGGTGCAGGACGCGCTGATGCAGCCTGTGCGCAAGATCCAGCAGGCGACGCACTTCAAGAAGGTGCGCAACCACCACTCTCCTCTGGTAATAGTCCATGCTCACTGACCTTTTTCAGGTAATGAAAGACGGCAAGGAAATGCTCACTCCCTGCTCGCCGGGTGATCCCCAGGCAATAGAGATGACGTGGGAGAGTGTGCCATCGGAGGAGCTGCTGGAACCGGTGGTCGAGAAGAAGGACTTTATCAGGGCGATCAAGGCTAGCCGACCGACCGTCTCGCAGGGGGACCTCGAGCGGAATGAGGAATGGACTAAGGAGTTTGGCAGTGAGGGAGCATGACCAAGCGTATTGGGAGGAAGAACAATGTTTGGGCGGACATTTAGGCTGGCGTGCGGCGTTGAGAGAGAAAGCAATGGTTCCAGAATACATATATCATGGACAGGGGCTTTAGGCTCCCCCTGAAGATTGATCGCGATCTTTAGAAGTCGAGGACGTTGTCGGACTCCTCCCAACGACATGGCCTTTCCTTCAAATTCCACGTCGTCAAACACTGCAAGTAGTGATATCTGAGAGCCGGCAGATCAGGGTTCTTCCCATTTTTATCCCATGGTATGGTACATCCCACTGGAGAGAATATAAGGCTTGGAGACACACAACCCCATAACTCCGATTACCCAACCCAAGACCCGGACAAGAACTCCAAGAAAAGCAAAGAGACATCCCACCGAAGCAAAGGTTTCCAACAAGCCAGTCACAAACCGCCTACTCAGCGGTCACGGACTTCCTCTTCTTCTTCTTCTTGTGCTCGCCGTCGCCATTGACATCCACCATTTCGACATCCTCGCCGCCGACGCTCTTGCGCTTCTTGTCCTTCTTGTCCTTCTTTTCCTTTTTCTCGTCCTTGATTTCCTTCTTCTTCTCCTTCTTCTTCTCCTTCTTCTCCTCCTTCTTCTCCTCTTTCTGGGCATGGTGGTCGATCATCTCATCGTCAATGTCCATGTCGTCGCCATCACCCAGAACCGCCTTGATGGCCTTGTCCATAGCCTCAGTGTTCTTCATCGGTTTGGTGCCCTTAGCGTACCACTCCAGCCGCTGCTCTAGTTGTTCGCGCATAACCTCGCCAAAGCGCCTGGTGGGCTTTTCAGAGAAGTTGTCAATGCGACTGGCAATGGAGCACTTGTTGGCTAGATACCGGGAAATGCGGCCCTTGACCTTGGGACCGGCACGTCCGATGAAGGTACTTTGGTAGAGAAGGCCATATTTGGGCGTCGCGCCCTTCGTCTTAAGCGCACGGAAGAGGGCCTTCTCAGCGCCGAGAATCTGAAGCGTTGAGGCCGGGTACTTGGCCAGGTTGGTCAGGGAACCGGCATGCGAGATGAGCCGGGCTGCGACAGGGGTGCCCAAGATGACTTGCAGATTGGGCGCGACGTCGCCCATCTTCTTGTCCAGGGACTCCGCGAGGATGCGCCGGTAATCGGCCATCTTGGAGACGTTCCGCGCAAGGTCCTTCACCATTTGGAGATCGGTCTCGCTGATGTCCTGCCCCATGGAAACCTTTGCCGCTTGAACGATGGCCTCGGCCTTGTCCTGATCCTGGTTGAGAACGTTTGCTAGGTCGTCCACGCTCTCGTCGGTGAGCGATCTCTTGTCACCCACGGCCAACACAACCTTAGCATAGGTGCCGTTGTCCGACACGATGCGGATGAGCTCGGGGAAGTGCCAGCCGTACCACTCTCTCACACGCATCGCACCCTGGTTGATGCCCTTGTCGAGCGCGTCTAGTGTAGCAATGCCCTGAATGATATGGTTGTCGTTCTTATGAACGCTGAACTTCACCTTCGCACGGGAGTAGGCATGGCCGAGACCGAGCTGGGCACGGTTGATGTCGCCCTCTTGAAGACCCTTGAGCAGTTTGTTGGCATGGAGACGGATGCCGCGCAGAAGTGCAGCAACGACTTCGGAGGTATCAGCAGCCTCGCATTGAACGCCGGGGAAGGTGCTGCTAATCTCGCCCGCTAATCTCTTGTCGACAACTCCCAGGACGATTTTGCTCTTCTTTCCGCTTGTCTGTGGCAGGTTGAGTTCCAGGGTGTTCTTGAGATGTTCCGGCATGATGCCCTCCGAAATGAGGTTAATCGCTTCCAAACCGTGGGCGGCAGAGCTTCAAGGCGTTAGTTGCGATGGCCAAGCAGAGCTTGCCAACCGTAGCCGGGACGCAGCGCGGTTGGGTTAACACGGCGAACTTACGTCCAAGGGTTGAAGCTGCGCAGACGGACCATCTTGCCAAACTTGTCGAGGCTCTTCATCGCATCCTTGACTTCGGGCAGCTCCAAGCCGACGGTGTCGGCTTGGTGGGCGACATCAAAAAGCGAGAAGCCGACGGCGCTCTCGAAGAGCAGATGATTGACCACCACCATCTTGTTGAACAATTGGCCTCGAATACGGGGTAGCGGTAGAGTGTCCCGGGGTGGTGGCGGCGTTGTCAACTTCACACAGCTGTACAGCGCAAACACCTCGTCAACGCGGATTGGCACTGCTTCCGACAATTTTTTCCGGCAGACCTGTGAATTGTCGGGTGTAGGAAAATTTCGCGAGAAGCTTTGGGTGCACGGATCATGTGGGGTCTGGGACTGCCGCTGACCCGCACCTGGTGACAGTTCTCTCACCTGGCAGCTCGGCAGTTGCAGCTGTCAGTCTGAGTCCGAACGGTGCTCGCATTTGTTGGTCAGGGAACGGCAACCCAAGCCGGGCCAAGATCGGACGACCGTTGTCTCAGCCCTACGACCCGACACCCCCGACCTGCGCGTTTGGGGACTCACGACGTGCATGTTGGTTTCGCTGTTATTGGCCTAGGCTACCCTCATTGACATGATTTCCGGCTGCCGGGATCTGACAGCCAGTCGTTCATCGCCCAGTGGACATGCGGATCTCCCGGCTCGACGACCCAGAAACATCCGTCTACGTACACTTGGGTAGTGTCCAACATGGGCCTCCCACAGGATACACCGGCTTGGCCGGCCGTCCTTGGTCTGGACCTTCCGCAACGGGAGAAGCTATCTTAATGGTCTGCTCTCATACCACCAACCCGAAGAACGGCTTGGAAAGCTGACCGAGGACCATGCATCATCTCGGCCCTTCGCCCTGCACGGCACTGCATCAACTGACGCTCACTGGCTCCTCTTGACCTTCCGGCATCAGAGGTACAGCTCAGCTAGCGCTCAGCTACAGTGATGCGATATGCACATGGAAGCAGGCGAAATGAGAAACTCATTCCCCCGACCCGTCGGAAGTTGAGGACATAACGGCCCGGCGGTGCTGCTCTGATTGGTGGTACCCTCCAATACACTTGAATTCACCAATCAGCAATCTAAGACCCCAAGATGCACCATCGAGGCCTCTACCAGCGATGCGGCACCACCCCACTCCGGTCTCTCAGCTGTACCGTGATAGGCAAGCCAATTTCAACCCCTATGGAGGGCTTATGCGCAGCTGCGTCGACCCATTCTACATGCCAGTAGGTATGCGTACACCCACGCCTGTTGGCCCTTGCCCCGATGCCGTCCCTTCTACGTCATCTTACCTCCTTGGATATGGCGCAGTTGGTGCCAGTGCAGTGTGCATTATATTCTGAGTGGCCACCGATGCGCGCCATCACATTTCTGCGAGTGTTACCGTTACACAAGAGTCGCGCTTAAGGCGTACCGGCGAGAGAGTGCTCGACCGGTATGCTTTCTAGGCAACCCCCATCGCGGGGAGGCCTTCCCCCCTGATAAGACTTACCTGGTACCTTACATTAATCTCGGGGCTCACAACCATAAAAGGTCTCCTTTTCATTCTGTCTGGGCTACACGCGGAAAGGTTATTTCTGAGCACCCTTGGAACAACAACGGCTGAGTCAACATGGCCTCCCAGCGTCTGCAGCATGAGTCTAACGCCTCGCGGCAAACCCATGACGCGTCAACGGCAAATCCTGGTGCCAATGAGCCAAACCGCATTAGCACTCAAGGGCTCGACTTCCGTCCACCTCGTCCACCACGGAATCCGCTGCAGGGTGTTGTCAAGGAGACAATTCTCAACACGCCCCCTGAAGAGTCGCTGCAAGAGGACGGCATAATGATAAGGGATTCATGGGCGTCGTTTGCCTCTACTGCTCCTAGTAGAGACTCCACGGCTCCGAGCATCTTCTCAGTCAGGGCGTCGACGGCCACAACCTCGACACGTTACTCGCTTCGTCAGTCCTTAGTCGAGTCCCCGATCTCCGCAATCAGCCCGATGCAGCAAGAACATCACAAGGCCGGCATCCCACACGCCCCTCGATATTGCTGCACTTTCTGTGATGCACTTTTCGATTCGAAGACGGAATGGAACCTTCACGAGCTTGAGTTCCATGACAGCCAAGAGTGGTATCTCTGTGGGAGGTGCCCTGCCACGTTCCCACGAGCAGCGTTGTTAGCCCAGCACGTCAGAGGCGACCACGGCCTCGAACTCGCTAGCGCTAGTGAATCCGTCCAGCACTCCCCCGTCCGAAGTGCATGGGGCTGTGGATTTTGCGCCGCCTTCCTTCAGTCGCGGAACGACTACTTGGAGCATGTCGGCAGGCATTATGATGAAGGGAAGGCGAAGTCGGACTGGCAGCACACCCGTGTCATTGAAGGGCTCCTCCGTCAGCCAGGTATCGAGTCAGCTTGGAAGGCCTTGGTCCGCAAAGAAGAGCACGCACGAGCTTCAAAGCTGCGCTTCCTTTGGGACCCAAATACGACAGGCCGAGCAGACGATGCTGCACAACCATCACTGCAGGACATGCTTGAGCTCTTCGCCACCGGGACGAGACAAGCGGATGACGTGGCTGCGGCGGCCTATAACAGCGCCCATATCAGGCTGGAGAGCAACCTCAGCGACCTGATCAGTCGACTTTACTTGCGACGGCCCCAGCCAATATCTTGCACCCTGAACTTTCCTCGGCCCTCTCCAGAACTGCAACCTGCTGCTGCAGGGGTCGAGGACGACATGGTATCTCCGATATCTCCATTGCCGGCACCGCTGAGGCCGCTTACAGCACCCCCGCGGGTTTCGGAACCATCACCGTTTACGATACTCTCGGCCTCCCCTCCGCCTGTCACAAGAGGATATAAAGATGACTTACCAGAGTCTGGGAACCCAACGATACCGGGAAAGGAGCGTCTAGCGCCGACAATGCCGTCGACAGCACTGTCTGGTTCCGGGACCACGCGAATAGCAAATCCGACCTCACTGGAGCCATTCAAACACAGGGCTCTCCGCCGTACGGGAAAGGCACAGGACCTCAGTCTTCGCAGCCAGATTGGAACAATGATAGATTCAGATCGGCACGAAGGTGTCCGTCCGCCGCGAGTGGGATTGCCTCCGGCGTCCCAAGCGGGTCCTGCTATGAGATTGTGGCACACAACGGGAGAGCCTACGCCACCTCTGCCGGCACAGATGTTTATGAAGAAAGGAAGTGACATTCACCTGCGGATCACTGAAGCAGCCGCAGCGTCATCTGTCCGGCCGCACACAAGCTCCAGCACGCTGTCCACCGGAGGCAGTTCCCAGCGATTTGACGACAGCACGAGTGACACCATCTCGGATGATAGTATATCAGAACCCGATTACTGGCCGGAATCCAACATCCCTGGGGCGACCAGGGCTTGGCAGACCTTCTTCCAATGCACTGTCGATCGAGGCATGGGACGGCTTTGGGTCCGGTATAGCCACAATATGCATGCGCTGGTCAGACAATGCATGGGCGGGCCGAGCAGCGGCTCAGCGCAGTTCAAAGAAAATCAGGGGCGAGTCTGCAAGGACGCATCTTTGCGCTATGCGTTTGGCAACGGGCTGCGTCCTGATAGGCGCTCGCTTGGTGACGAGGACGAAAAGGAAGACGATGAAGGGCAGGGATATCGGCCGCCATCGTCCTTGTCGAAACGCGATTCCCAGTCGGCGAAAAGGTTTGCGTGTCCCTTTCGAAAACATGACCCCCAGACCTACAACATCCACGACCACGAAGTATGTGCGATTCACTCGTGGACCACCATTTCGAGGTTAAAGTAAGTGTCAATAACTGCATCAGCAATGCCCCAAAGCTAACACTAGTGACCAGGGAGCATCTATATCGTAAACATTATAAGCCTCACTGCCAGAGATGCAAGCAGACGTTCCCAGATGCTAAAGCTCTGGCTGAGCATGAAATGTGCGTCATGGGCTGCGAGGTCCGGGACATGTCTCCTCCTGGCGATATCACTACGTACCAGGAGAAACAACTGAAGTCAAGGAAGCACACCACTCGTAGGCAGACGGACGAGGAAAAGTGGAGAGACATCTACCGGCTTCTGTTCCCTCACGAAGAGGTCCCGTCGCCTTGTGAGTCTATTCGTTGGCCCCTGATTCACAGTTCGTCCCTGTGAGAACATCTCACTAATATGAAGGTAGATCCGGAGCTGACAGGCGATCTTGCTCCCGTGTCCTCTGAGTCTCGCCTCAGCCTCGCATTTCAGCACTTCATGCTAACCGAAATGCCCGGTCTCGTCACCAAGACGGCGGAGGAACATGCCGGTAGGCGCCTCCAAGCTTACGAAGGGTTACCAATGGAAGCGATCCCGAGGATTATCGAAGACGCCCTTCGTAAGGCATTCCAGACCTGGGAGGCCACGGGCAGCCACCTGCCTGCTCAAGAAGCATCGGAGACATCGAGTATCTTTCAGTCAGACACTCCACCGATGTCACAGCCGTATGACTGGTCGTCGGCCGCGTACCCGAGTCCGCAGCCCCCTGCAATCAATAGCAACTTCCCCAATGTACCCTTCAGTGGCACGAACTTCACCCCCGGCCCGGTACACGCATCCAGTGCTGGCCATTCCGGATTCAACCCAGATATGCTGCTCCCGCCAGAGCCTCTGGGAGACATCCATGCTGTTTCCCCGCAGTATCCTTGGGAAGGAGGACTCGGTGTTATGGATATGGGGCCGTTCGAGTCTCAGTCGAGCATAGGAAGTCACTTCCGGGGGTTTCACAACGGTTAGCCGATGCCTTCTGGCTACTGGGCATGACTCCGGGGATTCAACCTGTCGTATTACCATCGTGCGGCAGCACGACGGGGCATTTGCATGGAAGATAGATGATAGAATCTAGCGTGCAATATTTTGGAATAGACTGTTCACCTTCTTTCATTTCACACCTACTAAGCAGTGCTAAGAGTCCTCCTACCCAATACATTATCAGTCGATTAAAAGCAGTCAGATGCTTCGCAGAGAGCGCAGCAAACCGGAACCCCCAAAACAATGAGCCTACAGTTCCTTCTCTTCCATTTGACTATTCAAAGTGTGTATGTGCAACAACAACAACTACTAGTAGTAGTAAACCCGGCAAACGACAGTTGAGTCATTGATGAAGTCACGGCGCCTGACAATCTCCGGTATAGCAGCAGCCTGAGGGGATTTTACAACGGTTTGATCGCGTCCTGTCGAAAGGAAGCAGGATGCTACTAGTAGTAGATACTCTACTACTGCTGAAACGAATGTCTCCCCACAGAGCATTATCTTCCAACCCTCCGGTCCATCCCTTCCATTCTATCCTGTCCGCGTCCACCTGGCTCCGAACCCCAAAGCCTCAATTGTGTTCTTACATCGGCATATCCACACCAGGCAGCTTGTCGAGCCCTGTTTTATTTTGGAGATCTGTGTCAGCGCACTGTACCATTCCCAACTAACAACCCTGATAACACGCAAACCGGAAACAAAATAGCAACCTGAAAGAAAACAGCACTTACAAACATCATAGTTCTCCCTCGCAGCCTGCTTGACGGCACACTGCCGGGCGGTATTGATGTCCTGCGTGCGCAGGCTGGCGCACTGCGCGCCAAAGCACCCGGACGTGTCCATGGCCCGCTGCAAGCTGTTGTCCTTCCAGCCGAACACGTAGTCGCCGTGCTGGCCCAGCCCCGTCGGGTCGCCCGTCGACAGCACGAAGGGCTGCGACCCGTCCGCCGGCCACTCGGCCTTGTTGTTGAAGGGGGTCGTGTCCCATACGACCTCGTACATCAGCTGCGGGATGCGCACCGGGTGCGTCGACGGGCAGTTGCCGCCTAGGGATAGGAAGTTGGCCGGGCCAGAGACTGGGTAGGCGACGTGGTCTTGGTGGTTGGGCGTGTCGAGGTTTTTGCCGTCCCAGCAGCTGTTGTTTTGGTTGGAAACACGGAGTGTTAGTGGTGGTATTATTAGAGGAGTATGTTATTTTGACTATGACACTTACGTAGGGAAGAGGATGTTGGAGCGGATGCCGCCTGGGCAGACCTTGTTCGGGAGGGCTTCGCTGTCGACGCGGTCGTCCTGGCAGGGGGCGCCGGTGTCGCCGCCGAAGTTGGGGCCCGTGTAGCAGCGGTAGCAGTTCTGCCGCTTCAGCTTGGTGTCCGGGCGCGAGCGCATCATGGGGTCGCCGACGAGCATGCGGAAGCCCTGGAAGTAAAGGTCGGTCAGTCAGTAATTTTCTTTTTTTTTTCTTTTTCGTCTCAGAGGTGAGTGGCGACAAGGCCTTTTCATGAAAATGAGGTGCTGACCGGCTTGAAGGCGGTAATCTTGCCCGGCTGGGCGGAGACATAGTAGACCAAGATGCCGCCCTGCGTCTGTGTGCTGAACCGGTCGTTGAACTGGTACGCGTGGCCGCCCTGGGGCACTCGCTTGTAGCTCCCGTTCCGGGCTTTGAAGTACAGGTTGGCGGTCCAGTAGTTGGAGAAGTCGTCGGCGAACTGGCAGGTCGTGCAGGTCGCGTGCTTGGAGACGTCGTCGGTGGGCATGGTGACGTTGAAGGCGTTTCCGCCGACGATCTGGTGGATGTGCGGAGACGGGATCTGGCCCGGGTTGACGAGAGGATCAATCCGGTCGATGACAACGTTGGGGCAGCCGAATCGCAACATGGTCATGCCGCCGCCTGGGCCTCCGAACTGCGGTGCCGCCTCGGCGAGCGCCGAGAGGGCGAGGAGCGCAGACTGTGCAGTCCACTTCATGTTGGGCTGTGTGTGACGGGGGCAACTCAGTCAGGGAATGTAGCTTGGTAACCTAGTCCGAAGGGGGTATCGTCTGTATCGCACAGCCAGTCGCAACGTCAATGAGAGGACGGGAAGACAAAGAGTGGCTGTCGACAAAACAGGTTGAAGCGGCCGCGAGGGTTTCCTCGTCCCCGTCTTATACAGGCAGGGAACGCAGCATGCTGCAAGGGGTCCCCGGGCTGCCCGGGAATTTCCACCCTTTCGGCGCCAACTGCCGTCGAGGCGCGGCGACGTGAAAGTGCCGAGCTCATGAGGACAGCGGGCGGTAGATGGCCAATATCCCGGCGTATATTGTTGCTGTACATGTGGGCCTATCGGAATGTTTGCGGGGGTGCGGCCGAGCCTGATCCGGATTTGCTGGGGTAAATACGACGGGCACGGAAGGTGATATGGGCGTCTCGACGGCAATATCGAAGTCGGCGAGTCAAAACGCACGGCGCGACGTCATCCAGTGTGTCAGCCTTGAGTAGGCTGAGTGTACGGCAAATATGTGATAGGACACAGGCCGTCCAAAATAAACAGAGCCCAGAAGCACGGGGGTTCGAGCTACCATATTCGGAATTCCAAAAGCGCCGAGATCAACACATCCCGCGGGCGGCCTGCCCCATAAACGACTTGATATAGCATCAACAATATCAGAATTGCACACCAAGTCATGCCAAGCATTCCCGATGGTACTGCTTTCCCGGATGAGCGTTGTGCTTGACCAGGTGTGTGCTCTGTCGGTTCTTTCAATCGAACATTCCACGATCCTTACGCCTCGTGGTTTGGATTATGTGGGAGTTTCTGTCGTGTCACGCTGCATCTCGTTGGGCATGCAAGTTCCAAGGTGGCATGGCAGGATGATCCTGATAAAGGGGTTCGAGAAGCTATGTCGACGCTTGCAGTATCAAGATCGGGGTTGCCGAGAACTGGCCGAGACGGAGGGTACAAGGTAGCCGCCGCACCCGTGAAAAACGCTGGAGAGCGGGCGAAAGGGTGGATATCTAAATTAGTCTCCCACGTTAACAAGTCATCTCGGATGCTCGGTAGCGCTGAGTCTTTCATTCTTAAGCAGGGAGCTGCAGGGGGTGTGCACTACGTACTAGGCCTCGATCAAAAGAAAAACTGCCGACTGATAAATTGTTGCTGATCCCTCGAGTATTTCAAGTCGTGCTGCCAGGGTACAAAGATTTGTCTATTTTTCTTGATTGATTTCCAGTTAGGTGTTTGAATGCGAGGCACTGAACATCAAGGTTCCTGAAAGTCCCGGCCTGATTGCTCAGGGGAACACCTGCCCTTGGGGCTCTCGGAATTCCAGTGTGTTGGTGTTCAGAATGGCATGGGGACGTTTTCGAGTCCATCTGAGATGCGTCCGATTGGCTTTATCTTGCAATGATAAACGTAGGTAATCTTGTGCCGATTCCCGGCAGTCATACAGAACAAGCAAGGTATTGCACGTACAGCAGGACTGCTGCAACCGAATCCTCCATCCCGGATCGTGGTAGCAACAACGCCCACAGCCCTGACCTAGGAATGTTTCCTGGCAGGGTGCCCAGTAAGGTTACCAGTACTACCTACCTGAACTACCTTATGACTGGTTCCCTGTCAATGTCTGCTCTCAGAACAGGTCTCCCATCGCAGAGTCAGCGATCGACAACCTGCACGGTCAGAAGTCAGAGTTTCGCCTTGATACGCAACTGAGTCTTGATCATCCCAGAATACTCAATACTGTAGGGAACAACCGAGCCTTCCTCTCAGTTGTATCCGCCAGTTCGATGAATTTCTAGTGCAATTACGTTCGGACAGAGGGGTAGCACGGAGGCCACCGACGTAGGTTAAGGTAGTTTGGCCACCTACATCTCACCGTGCAAATCACACAGTATAGTCATTCCACCATCGGCCTCTTCTCCAATGATGAAGACCTTTCCTGAGTCAAAGGCATTCTGGGGCCCGAAGGCATAGCCCCTCTGATTAGAGACCACCTTCTTGCCAAACGCGTCGGTAAACTCGCAGCTAAAGTGGGTATGACCGAACGCCCACATCACGACCAACGGACTGGTCCAGCATTCCTCTCCACTGAGGTCGGTAGCAAAGCACGACGTGACGGCGCTGTTCCTGTGCCGTCCGGCCACGGCCCGCGCATCCAAGGTCGGGCTGTAGTGCGTGAAGATGGCGATCCGCCGCTGCGGCTGGGTGCTCTCGATCTCGGCGACCTGCGCATTCAGCCAGCCGAGATCGGATAAGTGGGCGTCGACGTGGTCCGCGACCGTCCAGCGCTGGATCTGCTGGAAGTCTACGAACCGGCTGCCCACCGCGGCGGCTTGCTCCTGTGTCACCCGCGAAAAGAGCGTGCAGCCTATGACGGTTAGGCTGTCGTTTATATCGTGCCGCGTCTGGTCGAGGAAGACGAAGCGGCCGATGGTAGACCGGGCCCGCAGCTGCTCCATGCGGTCGGCAAAGTCGCGAACCCTTCGCTTGGCGGCAGGCCAGCTGCCCATGATGGGCTCGTGGTTGCCTAGGACGAAGAAGACGTTCCAGTACCGTCGGAGCTGCGCCTCGAGAAAGGTGAAGAGGGCGTCGTTGCCTACGTGGCCAATGTCACCGAGCAGCGCCAGATTGGGCGCCGTTTGCTTGAAGTGGAAATCATACGACGTGTAGGTCTCGAGGTGTAGGTCTGAGAGAATCTGAAATGCTGACGGTGGCATCGTAGCCAGAAAGGAAGGACCACAAAGGTTGTGAGGGTCGGAATATCCTGATGAGGCGGGGTTCAGCCGGTGTGATGCCGCTTGACCCGGAGATTCCGGGCGTCTTCTCCACTTTCCGGTTCCGAACGCCGGCCGTTCAAGTTCCGAGCTCCGAAGCCAGAGTTTGCAGGATAATGAGAAGTCAGTGGACAGTCGAAACGAGTTGTACTGGCGAGATTGCAGGGATTACCAGCAGTGTGAGTGAATTTTTCAACCGCGGAAATGGAGCAATCAGAGCAGGCTGCCAGGCACCTTTCAGCCTGCAGGATACCTGTCAGGGGTATTACATTCTCGACGGGACATGAGCTGAAAGGGCGCAGATTTGGATTTTTGTTATATATTCCCAGGATAGTACCTACCTCAGCTACTAGGAGTTACGTCGACAACCTACACGCTAACCAGGGTGCATCATTTTCTGTGACGGGACCTGATCCGAACCAGGTGTTACTTAGAGTCTGCCTGGCTATCATTTCGTGTCCATCCCAGGTAAATCAGTGTAAGCAAATTCATTCATTACCCATTGCAGAACTGCCTATTACTCAAGGCGCGGTAACTGTCTGGCTGCATTCCCCTAATTATACCCCCTATATCGTGTACTACCCAATAAAACCTACAATCAACCCCACTCGGGCGTAAAAACATCCGCCTCGTCCACTAACCCCTCCCCCCGTTCCGTTTTCCCATATTTCCTCCTCGCCTGAGCCGGTGTCTTCACCTCCACGGTGTAATGCTCCCCGGTCAGCGCGACAGCATGCACATACACGTCCTCGCCAAACGGCCACCCACCCCCATCCCCCGTTTCAACATCATCATCCCCCTCCCGCTCGTCATACTGCGCATACTCATTCCGACTCATACCACCACCACCCTCCCCCACCGGCAACAGCACCCCCCTCGCCGCCGCGAGCGCAGCATCCCGGCTTGCGTAACAACCCCGGATCTCCGTCTCCTGAAACACATCCCCGCAGCCGCCGCCGGACTTGTCCTTGTCCTTGTCCTTGTCCTTGTCTTTGCCCTGGTTGTAGTCGGTCCTGCTCCGCAGGACATAGTGCAGGTGGCCGTCCTCGGGCAGCAGGATAGTATTCCCTCCGGCGGCCTGGAGTTGGAGGGCTGCGGTGTTGGGCGTGGTGTCGACAGAGACGAGGAATTCTTGGCCCTTGCCCGGCGGGTGCCTGGGTGACTTCGCGTACACCATCACGCTGTCGCCGTGCGGCCATTCTTCGGCGTCTTCTTTTCCTCCTTCCTCCTGGGTGTCGGTGCGGGCGGCGTAGGTGGCGAAATTGTCTGGCCGGTAGCCGAGTTGTTGCTGCAGCGCCGAGAGGGCGAAGGCCTTTGCCGCGGCGAGGGTGGTGTGTGTGCCGAGGACGTGAACGTCTTGCGTTGAGCTGGAGGTGTCCGGGCGGTGGTGGACTACGGTCAACACGGTGTGGAAGAGTTCCGATGGGATAGAGGGGTTGGGCTTTGTTGTTGTTGTCTCGGCCATTGTTGATAGCAGCGGCTGGGTATCACGAAGAACCGGGGAAGAATCCGTTTCAGAGTTACTACGGAGATACGACGATTTTTCGGGGAGGATTAGATGCCTAGTGTAGTTTGTGAGCAGAATGTCGAGACCGTTGCCTTGAGTGTCGTTGTTAAAAGACGTGTGCAACCTATGACGCCAATGTCAGGTGCTAATATCTACCCCTCATAGCCTTATTAGTGCACATCGCATGGCCCTTTGAGGGCTAGGCTTAATATAACGTAAGCCCAGTGTCACAAAGAGGTCTAGCCACATTTTAGCCTTCAAATTGTCATGAGAAATATGATACTGAGTGGAAAATACTCAACAAATTGGAAGATTCAGGGCGTGATTCAATGAATGCCACATCTGCGAGCTGAACGCGGCGGAGAACAGCCCACTGGAGCCCAGGAGTGATGTTTGGAGCCTCTAACTCAGACTCTACATTTCCGCAGGTGACGATTAATTTATTGAATAGTTCCACAAAGATGCTGTCATCACGGGATAATTGGATTGCCCACTCCTCCGACCCATACGGTAAGGGTATTCCTTTGAGTGGTAATGGGTCAAAATGGGCACCCAACACAACAATGAAGCCCTGCATACGTGTTGTCATCCCGCCTACTTTCAAGCGGAAGCGTCAAGGGCGAACTTCTCGCCAACCAGCTCTTCGCTCAGTTTCCATAAGCGATCGGCGGCAACAGGGTCATTTGCGTGGGCAAAAGGTTCAGTGATCTGGCAGTCAACGAGGTACACGCCCTTGATTTCTGCATTCACATCTTTTGGGTCAGCTCAACTGAGTTTCTAACGCGCGGACGGACTTCTTTAGTGAACCCACCGTTGAGAGCCGGATCCAAGGCAGCAACAAGTGTCGTCGAGCTTCCCTCGTCATGTGTCTTCCAGTATGGGGCAACTTTGTAGAACTGCGCCGACAATTCAGCGTCCTGGTCTCGGCTGAGGTCGGTCTCGATAGCTGCGGATTGATGCAAAGTTAGTACTAACTCATGGTATTCCCTGTGTTGGACTTCGAAAGAGAGCGGTTGACCTACTGCCCGGATGAACAGAGTAGGCGGCAATGCCTTGCTTGGGCAGTTCCTTTTGGAGGGAGAGCGTGAATAGAATGTTTGCCGTCTTGGACTGCGCGTAGGTGACAATGCCGTTGTATCCGTCGGGGGCACACTTGCCGAAGGCGCCGGGGAGCGGCTTGAAGTGGTCCTCCTCCGGCGGCACGGGCTTGCCCTCGAAGTTGTAGTCGGAGAAGCGGATGGGTGACAGCCTGTGGCCGGCGCTGGTAAGGTTCACGATGCGCGTGGCGCCCGGCGGGTTGCTCTGAGCCGCCTTCCGCAGCAGGGGCAGGAGGAGGTTGGTGAAGAGGAAGGGGCCGATGTGGTTGGTGCCAAACTGTTGCTCGATACCCTCCGGCGTCGCTTGGCGGGAGGTGACAACGATGCCGGCGTTGTTGATGAGGATGTCGAGCTTGTCCGTCAGGGCAGCCACGTCGGCGGCGGCCTGTCGGATCGCCTTCTGAGAGCCCAGATCCAGTATGACAATCTCTACCCGCGTGCCAGGGTATTTCTCCTCGATCTGACTTGCCACCTCCTGCACGCGAGACCTGGTTCGGGATGCCAGGATCAACAGCCCGGGCTTCTGGGAGGCAATGTTGAGGACCGTTGTAGAGCCAATCCCTTTAGGGCTAACACCAGTAACCAGGACTGAGTAACAGGTTTCGTCGTCAGTAATTTGACGCCAGTCTGGCGCTGGGTCCAGGCCACTCAACTAGTCTTCCCTCGGATCTGATCGGCAAACATGCTGGCAACCTCGGACCCAGGGGTCCTCTCGCCGAACTCAGAGTGTGATGCCATCGTGCTCGAGGTCGAGGTGGGCAAGTTCAAAGGATCCAGCGACGAGTGTTGTTGAACTTGAGGTCGCCAAAGCAAGATAGGCTAAGAAAGCAGCATTAATGTTGTATCTATTTCGTCATACAGTCCTGGGTATTCTGCGCTTTTATGCGTTGAGGGGCTAGGGGATACATTTTCCGCCGAATCATCGGGTATCCGGTTCACAGCTTTCCGGTGTAATACATTCCCTGATCAAGACCATTGCATCCCGGCGCGAAGAGTTCCCAATGGCCTCGCGCTACTACCCCGCATGCTGCGATCTCCAACTCGGCGTGGCATTGTGATCTGAATGCGGATTGAGGGGAAATGTTTCCGTGCCTGGCGCAGTGTAATCCTGGAGGTAGCCGCTTTACCCCACCACCAGGGTACTTTCCGAAGTCCGGCAGTTCCTATTTTCATGAAGCCATCACGCAGGCTAACTACCGCGCGGATTAAGGCACCTGAATTATGTTGTTCGTTGGAGGTTGAGGCTTGACTCGCATGCTTTGAGAGATAGGGGCCGGTACCGAGACGAAGACAGGTAAGGGGTTAGTAAACATTGTGGGATGTGGAGGATGAAGTGCACAAAAATCAGTGTGTGCCTCGAGTTGTGCCAACCCTGCAACCCTAACCCGTGTTCGTTCTGCATGTGATAATTTGGGTGTGGGGCAACGAGAACGGGTCAACCAATTTAATTCTCGGCCCTTGGCGCGCCGCGCAACACGATAACCGCGTTGGTCAACGCGACCCGACAGCCAGGAACGTTCACTGGACCATCCGTCAGCTCGATCGTAATGTCCGACACTTCGGAAGAATCCGATAGCTTCGGTTATGTCGCCGAAGCGCCTGACGATGAAGGACCGCATGAATCGGACAATTCGGATGAATCTGGTTCGGAGTCGGACTACGGCGGCCTGCTTGATATGGAAGCCGACGAGTCAAACGGCGAGGACTCCGAATCCGAGGAGAGCGACGCGTACCAGGAAGCTTATTACTTCCCGCAGTTTACTCGCCTTCCCATCGAGCTGCGGTATCGGATATGGGAATTGTTCTGCCCGGATCTGACCGCAAAGGGCCGTGTCTACTCGTTCCCGATTGACTCTCCCCGTAACTACAGGAGCAATGCGCCGCTGGACCTCGGGGTGATGGCCCGCGAAATGCTGAAGCAGCAAACGGAACCCGCTCGTGTCACGTTGGCTGTACACCGCGAAAGCCGTCAACTTGCTCTCAAGGCTTTTCCTGACACCCTCTCCTTCGACAGAGAATCCTGCGACGAAAAGGGCCTCGTCCGCTTCGACTCCAAGCGCGACATCGTCCACGTCGACAACGTAGACGAGTTGGTTGATGATGACGAGCAACATCTGTACTTCAATAAGCCGTTCTCAGGCTTTGGCGAGCACATACGGAATCTTGCCATCAACATGAACACCATGTGCGCACTGGGCAACAGCAAATACTCTGCGCTTCTCACTAGGTTTTTCCCAAACGTGGAGACAGTCTTTTACGTTACCATACCCCATGATCACGAGCCGGAGCATTTGCGCTGGTGCTTTTCCCCCGTTGCAAATTCTTACTACTTCAAATTCTGGGAGGATGGGCCGATTGGTCTGAGACCCGTGGAACAGGCATATTACTGGCCCGATATCGAGAACCACCGCGATCTTGTCGACGCACAGGTCCCCATGGGAGACATGGCTAAGGACCTCGATACGGAGGGGCTAGACATGGCAATAATGAGTCTGGAGGAGGAGGGCGCGAGGATATATCCCCTGGTAGACATCCTCTGCCACACTGAGAAGCCCGGGATCGAACGGTGGCGTTCTTATATTGAGACAGGACACAGGACTTGGGGCTACACGTTCAACCCACAACACCCCTCAGTGGACGAGTACTACAGCGATGAGGATGAGGATGAGTATGAGAGCTCGGGAATCGACGATTCGGACCTCGGCGAGGATGAGCCGGGCTACGACTCCGATGATTTGGTCGTTCTGGATGACGATGATAGCAACCAAGACGACGAAAATAGCGAGGAAGACTCCCATTCTCAGTCGGACGCGGAAGCCCAGCTTACCAGGGATGACCTCGAAAGCGTTGCTCAGTTCTCGAGCCCGGAAGAGTCGTCCGCAACGCTTCGGCAATCGGACGACCCCCAGGATGAGTCGGACCAACCGGTAACTCGCCCTTCCAGGATGAAACGACCCAGAGGCCGGGTGGTTGCTTCGGATTCTGAGGATGACTCGGATGATGCCGGCGGTCCTTCTCGGAAGCGGGCGCGGACCAGAAGCCGGGATAACCCAACCGTGCTGTCAAGCGATGACGAAGAGGAGGAAGCGGAGGATGAGGTCCGCAAGAGACGAGTGGTTCGCGCAGCTCGTGTCATATCACTCGATTCGGATTCCGAGGACAATGAGGATGAGGTGGAAGAGAATGACAGTGGCACCAGCCAAAGTGAAGACGGACAGCCCGACGGGTCGCGCAGCATCTCCAGCTCAGAGGACGAGGACGAGGATGAGGACGAAAAATCTGAAGGCGGGGTCTCCCTTTCCAGACCACTCTCCCTTGCCGAGAAACTACAGCTCCACCGCCAGAAGGTACCCATCCCTCCCTCCGACGATGGGGATTCTGAGGTAGAGGAGACGGGGGGCGACCTCTACGACGCCCGAGAGTACGGCGACTTCCAGGACGACGAGGAGGATAATGAAATTTCGGAGCACGGCGACGAGTATGACCAGGACAGGCTTACCGTGGATGGAGATGAGGATGATGACGATTATTGAGCATTCTTTCCGATTTTTATGGCATTTATCGAGCCCTGGCCAGTATTAGAGGAATGGCGTCGTGACGGTTTTGGAGCGAGGGATCAGCCCGGTTGTAAAAGCAGCAGAGGGATGGCGAAACCGGGAGATTGTGCTCTGCGATGCAATGCAAACAAAGCACGAGTGGTGTACGCCCTGCCAACTTCTGCCCCTTGAAGCTGAGTGACGCATACGGAGCGTATACATCCCTCCACCAAGGAAGCGTTTAACATTATCCAGTGTCTTACAAGGCCGGCCCGTGCCAGCTCTCCCTCCTCAGCCTTCCGAACCAAGCCTGCTTATGCGGGAACGTAACCTCCTTCTCCTTGGTAAACCCAGCCACTTCTAGGTGTTTGATGAACCTGTTCAAGCAAATCATTAATCTTCACTCGCAGACTTACCCAGAAGCACGCGCAGCACATGAAGGGGCTGATCCAGTCTGAATCATGGTTACAGGCAGTTAAGGTAACGGTAGAGACTGACCTGTCATTATCCACCCTCGGCTCCAAACAGACACTCATGGTCCGATAATCCGCACAGAAGATCCAGTGCACCAAGCTGGTCAGCCAGCTCTGCACCCTCCCCCTCGCCCACTCCTCCCCAATCAGCACATGGCACCCCCTATCCCAGTCATCGATGTTGCCCCCGCCCGCATACAGCCCCAACACGTCCTCTTTCACCCAGTACAGCTCGAAATACCCAAACGGCACGCCGTCCCACAGCCCGATCGCGGGGAAGCTGTGCCTGCTCCGCAGCGCACTGCTCAGCAATCCCGGGTCGTGCTTGCCCCAGAAGGCCGACACCCGCGGATTGGCGAACCAGTTCTCCAGCAGGGCGGAGTCGGTCAGCGAGAGCAGGTGCTCGTGCTTCCCGTGCGAGAGCGGCGGCTTGAGCGGCCCCACGGGGCCCAGGTAGGGGACCGGCTTCGGGGACAGCGACGCCACCCGGAAGGAGAGGTACTGCCCCACCGAGGGGATGAAGCGTGTGTAGAAGACCTCGCCCATGGCGGGCGGTCTGGGGCGGAGCGGGTGGCGGATGCAGTGGTCGGGCGTCATGGTGTATTGCAGCGGCGGGGGCGGGTAATAGGTCGGTAGGAAGGATGCGCTGAAGAAGGGCCCTGGGGTGGGGAAGGAGGTTGGCGGGGCGGAGGTGATGGAGGTGGGCAGGTCACCGGACGATCCTTCTGCGTCGGCGGCGAGGGCGAGGAGTTGGGATTGGAGAGGGCTCACGCGATCGCCGGATTGTGAGGCAGGCGAGCCCGGTCGGCTATAGCCGGGCGAGCTGGAGCGCGAGTGGGAGTTGTGCTGCTTAGGGACCGGTTGGAGCGTGAAGAGGAACAGGCGGCCGGGAATCTGCCAGAACATCTGCTGTGAGACAAACATGTCGGACCAGGCGTCGTCGCCGTCCTCGAGTGCCGTGCCCACGGCCGAGTTGCAGCTCGCGATCAGGCCCATGCGCTCCAGCTTCGGGAGCAGGTTCCGCCCGCGCAGCATCCCTTCCCTCCTGATCCGCACCCGCCACTCGCCTCGCGGTCGGCCGGCCTGCGGAGTCGACTTGGAGGCTTCGGTCGTCAGGGTCGCGGACGGCGGCTGTTGGTGGAAGTACCAGTAGAGCGTGACCCAGAGCATCATAGCGATCTGCCGGGTCGGGCTCGCAGGTGGCTTGAAGTCTTGGCTCGACGGATTCGAGATGATCGAGATGAAGAGGCTGTCGCCCTGCAGCGTCGGTCGCGTGAACGAGTGCAGTCGTGGTTTCCCCTGCGAGTCGAGACTCCCTACAGTATCTGGCCGACCATCTTGGCCGTCATCGCCGTTGCGGCCTTCCTCCTCCTCGGTCTGGATCACGATGGTCCAGCCGACGGGGAAGGCATTGCTGTGCGTGCTGAGCTCGTTCGACTTGAAGAATAGGCCCGCAAAAACGGGCTTGACGGTGAAATGCTGCCCGTCTGGTAGATAGATGATCTGAGGCGCCATGGCGCATGCGTGCGACGATGATGTCTTCTCCTCGCGTGAGCTCTAGATGGCGGGGTAGTACTTGTGAGCGCGGAGAACAACATACCAAGCCAAAGGTACCAGTGCTGGTACAGAAACACAGGTGATCGGCACTGTATTATAATCTGCCTTGTCGCCTCCTCGACTTCATCTCGGCTGCATTGGGCGTCTTGTCATTGGATCGGGTGATGCATTTCTCAAGCTGGTAGTGTCCTGATTCAAGAGACAGCTAGCTCATGAGGGGCACAATGGAGGGGTTCTCCGCGCTGCGTCATAGGTAAGGTGGAGTGATTCTCCACATCCGTTCCCGGTCACCTGTGAACCTTGGTGTGGGGTGAACAACATGATCGTAAACATGTGGTAGTCCTGTTCGAGAAGGAATGACTTCTGCTGGTACAGAACTAAGGTACGTATGTGCTAAGGCATATATATTGCGGGGAGATATGGAATTATCTTATATAGCCGACACCAATGGCGCGACGCGAGACCATTGCCCCCTTCGAAGTGATGCTGTTGGGAGTAAAGTCCCACTTCTGGGTTGGAATACTACTAAGAATACTACTAACTGCCTTAGTAGTATGTCGAACATCAGATGTCGTAGAACATGCCGACGGCATGTGCGAGCGAGTCCATTCAAGTCGTTCCATTGACATCAAACTCCTGGGAACCAACGATGAGAACGCTGATGAGAAAAGGATGGACAACAGAATCCCTCTTCCTTATTATCCTCCCTTTGCGCTCGCTTCAGCCAAGGCTTGGCAGCTTACGAACGTAATTGGGGAAACGCCTCCAACGGTCCTCGAGCTGAAAACAGCGATAAAGTCAGTACTAACAAAATGCGGCCGTCATTTGCTGCGTCGTTGTTAATGATGCACTCTGTCCCCCTGGCTTCGCACCCGCTTCGTATTCCTCATATTTCCCCTTTTAGATTAGGTAGGTTCAGCTCGAGGGCCTAGCGACGACCGATGCAAATGTGAGAACACCAGAAAGGAATTTTTATTATTCCCTCACCCTAGACTAACATCAACATGGGTCTTCTCGAGCTTCCTCAGGGTTTATCAATCAAAATATCAGTCATGAGCGCCGACGACAATGACCTCGTGGAGGCCGAGCCGCTTCTTTCAGGCGAGGAGCGCGACTCGATCGGGATCGATGCCACACCAACCGAACCGGAAGACAACGGGCAGAGCAGGAAGCATGGCCAGTGCGGACTTTCTGGCCGTTTTCAAGCGCAGAAGCGCACGACCATCGTGGTGCTGCTGGCGGTCCTCATGTTCACCATCACGACGAGCGGCATGCTGATCCTGATTCCCCTCTTCCGGTTGATGGAGGACGCCATCTGCCACCGCCACTACGGCAAGCCCATGTCCGAGCCCATCGAGGAGCGGCTGTGCAAGGTTGAGGGCGTCCAGCAGGAGCTCGCCTATCTCGGCGGCTTGTCGGCCATGGTCCACTCGATCGTCGGCGTGGTCGCGGTACTCCCGTACGGTGTGTTTGCGGATCGGTAAGTGCTTACGGGCCGGCAGACTTCCATTACCGCTAACCTCCACCGCTGCTCCGCGTCAGAGTCGGCCGCAAACCAGCGTTTCTTCTCTCGTACCTCGGTATCAACCTCGGATTTGCCTGGGGACCTTTGATGCTGGCCGTCGGCGAGATGCCCCGGCCCCAGTTGGCCGTGATAGGCTCCCTGTTCTTCCTCATTGGCGGCGGGATCCCGGTCGCCTTGAATACGCTGAATGCCATGGCGTCGGATGTCAGTGCCGAGGCCGAAAAGTAAGTGGCCACTCATGGCTCGGGTGGCGTTGTAAGGAAGGCTGACTTGCGGTAGGGCAACTGCCTTTCTCTACCTCTCCTTTGGAGCGGTTTGCGGAGGGCTCATCGGACCTGTCACAGCGGGATTAATTATGGAACACCTTGGTCCTTGGTTTCCTATCCTGACCGTGTTGGGCATATCGCCCTTCGTCTTCGGCTTGCTGCTGTTCATCCCAGAGACGCTTCCTATCAAGCGCCGCGAGGCCACGGAACAGGAAAACCAGCCGCGTCTGGCGAACAGGCTACGCGAAGCCAGGAGAGAGCTGGGCGTATCGCTCTCCCTGCTGAAGAACCCCAACATCGCGCTCTCTCTCCCAGCGTTCTTGATCCAGCCAGCACTGTTTGCGGCCTATTCGTCTACCCTGGCCCAGCATATCAGCACCTACTTTGGCTGGAGCCTTGCACAAACAAACTACCTACTCTCCCCTTTAGGGGTTCTACAACTGGTCGTAATTGTCCTGCTTCCAAGGGCGTCGGGCCTCCTGACAAATACGTCGGGACGCTTCCGGCTCTCGGTCTTCGCCAAGGATCTTCTGCTCACCAAGATCTCGCTGCTGTTCCTCATCGCCGGAGCGCTTATCGAGGGCTTCAGTAGGGAAATCGTGCTGTTTATCGTGGGGCTTACCGTCGGCACCTTTGGCGGCTCACACGGGCCGCTGTGTCGAGCCGTGGCGACCACATACGTCGGGCCTCAACAGACGTCGAGGCTGTATGCCCTGATCAGCATGCTAGAGACGGGCGGGGCGGTTCTTGGAGGGCCCATGCTGGCTTGGTGCTTCAACACCGGCTTGATGAAAAAGGGGTTGTGGGTCGGCCTGCCGTGGTTCTACGTGGCTGGCCTTGTGGTCGTTGCGCTCGGATGCTTGGTGTTCCTGCGCGAGCCGAAGGAAAGCTTCCCGAAGGTGGATTCGGAGGATGAGGTGAATGGTGATCTTGGATACCAGTCAGCAGAAGAACAGGTTTGAGGAATCTGGATGTCGAGGGAAGCGTTTCGAGCATTGCCAAATCACGAGACTGGTGTTTCCGTCACAACGCCGTCCAAGATCTAAGCTGACGACTCACTCTTGCGAATACGGTCACACCGCTTGACCTTGCTAAAGTATGAAAATGTGGCCGAAGTCTTAGATTATTATGGCCCTCCCGTCCTGAGCAGGGCGCGATCGGCAGTACCTGAATGCATTTCCCAGCTCTGGACAGGAGAGGACTGTGCGCCCTTCGCTGGATTGATACGGGACGTTCAAAAAGAGCCAATTCTCGCTGGGCCTCCTAAAACGGCGCTCCAGCCCGCTTGTTCGCACTCGACCACACCATTGGCCATATCATTCAACATATGGTTCAAAGAAATAAGACACCCAGATGCTGCAACGTGCCTCCAGGACACAGCTGCCTTAGGTTGCTGACACTTTTGCTACAAAGAAGTCGAGGCTAGCTTTACTCTTTGAGATAGACGTCGTACCAGGTAACCAGAGACTATCTGTGGGTAAAGGAATATACAGCATAGGAGAAACCCATTAGCTCCCCTATCCTACACAAAATGGTTGCATAGTAGCAACATGCCCGGCAAACTCCTGGCTCCTCGAATACATTACCGTTGTAACGCCTTGCTATGCCTGCCTCTCCCTTGTTGTTGATACTATCTCGACACTCGAAGTACCAGTTCGTTGTCCATGTAACAGAGTCTGGTCTCTCCCCAGGACAGATTTGAATTTCGGTAGCTGACATCATGCCATCATGGTAGCTCAGTCGGTCGGTCAGGCTAAGCAGCTATAGCAACCTTTAGAATGACGTCGGCCATAACAATTTGGCAAACTGCAATGCCGGGCCTTTGACACTACTACAAGACTTGAGAGATAGTCGTTGACGAGGTCGTATCATATGCAAGAACCACCGAAGACTCCATTGAGCAGGGGTCCGGCTACTTCGTTATGTAGTACCGTGACGTTATATGGTTGGGCTTTTCCGTTTCATGGACCGCCGAATTTGAGGTTCTCCGTGTCTTTTACGCATTGCATCCGTAAGGTGAGGTCACTGTCCTGACTAACCGCTCAAAAGGCTCTAATCAGAATCACGCAGCGTAGAGCACGGCGGAGTGTATTGATAGAGCAATGAAGACCGGGAGCTTGGGCAAATTCGGCCGTGAGAGATCTGTACTGCATGCTCTGACTAGGATCAGTAACGTGGGATAGCATCATGCCATAGGAGCCTCTCCGCCTTCCCCTGGCAATTAGCATTACTCAACTCATTGTGAAAGCTCAGATGAGCTGTGAGATAGTTGGGATGAATTCAGTTTGGATCCTCCTCAGATACCACCTCGATAACGAGGTTACCCTGCGTCTTGCAATAATACCTTCCTTACCCAAGCAAAATCAGTATGCAGAACCAGCGACACCCCCCCACATCCACATCACCATCGTCAGTACTATTTCAGTTCACTCACATGGCAACCTACCTACTCCGTACCTGACCTACGGCACCCCAAAACTTCATGTGACACGAAAACACATCCGCTGAAGCGAGGGGCGGACGGCAATCAATCTCGGCAACGCTGACCAAACACCAGACCCACGATCCATGGTACTAGTAGTTATCGAGACCAAGAATCCACGAACCGGGACGGCGCGGAGCTAAAACCACCCTGAGACCACACCTGGTTACGCGACTTGGCGCACCAGATGGGGGGTTTCGCGAAGTCCCAAAGGGCAACATACACAGGTATGTACATAGGGTAGGATCTGAGTTTTCTTCCAGATCCGGTCAGACCACACACACCGGAGCTGTCCGCTCTTTCTTTCCGTGGGGGACTGCACGAGAGAGGGGAAAAGGGGGGAACCATAGCGGGCGGACAGAGCTGCAAAGGTACGTGACGATGGCACCATCCCGTCCGTCCGTCTCACTCTTCAGGGCCGTGTACTGAGTGACTCGGTTCGGGCAGGTAACCAGAGTGTGTGTGTATAGAGTGAGCGAGTTTTTGACGGTTTTAGCTTCCCAGACAGACCTGCGGGGTCAGTATGGTACCTAGTAGTAGAGTAGAGTGGTAGGTGATGGCTTTAAACGGAGCTTTGGCTTCGCTACGCCGCGACCGCTGAGATAGAAGTACTAGTAGTCAGTAACTGCATTGGCCCAGGCCACCTCGATACTACACTACCCAGCCGGTCCCTTCGCGAGAGGGAAGAGGAGAGCACGCCCCACAAATAATGATATTGGCTCGTCGCCGAGTGAGCTAGGGGGGAGACCGTCAGCAGGGTACACGATGCCGAATGGGTGGTTCCGTGATGTGTGTACGTTCCGAGCGGGCTATGACGGTGTTAGGAATAGCCTGTACCGCGGAGAATAGTCTGGCCTGCTACTGCTAGGGTGTCCCTGGTCGTCGTCTAAGCCCTCGGCGGGCATAGCGGTCGCGGGCTGGAAGAAGACGGTAGTGGCAAGTTCAAGCGACGGAAACCGAGGGGGTCAGAACCAAGATGAAGAGCGCAGGGAGAAAGAAGCCGTCAGCCGCATGCTGGCCAACTGGTCATCAAGTTCAAGCAAGGAGCCGTGGATGCAACTTGAGGGCCGCTCCACATGTAGAGAGACGTGACATCCAGCTGGGCGGGTCCAGGACGGTGTTGGATGCCGGAACAGGTGTCCATGTCCACAAATATCGGTTCCGAGTTCCGACCTCAGCAGTATGAAAGCTTGGGACTCTGGGAGACATTTCCTTCCGCTCTTAGCTGAGGAACAGGGGCATGTGACATTCTTCGACATCGCACTTTTCCCAACTTTCCTTTGGGAGGTGAGCAGTGGGGACTACGGCTAAACTTCGGAAATGGTAGAATCCGTAATGCAGAGCTGCAGTCAATCCTTGGCTTTGCCAAGTCCGGGGTTCCGAATGTAGGACCCTGGGAAGGACCTGACCTGCGAATCTTTACCTGCCAAGAATGATTTTCTGAGAGGAGCGCTAATTTGTAAAGTTCGAAGCCGATATCACTTGCGGGATCGTGATCAGGCTGACTTGATCAATTCCTGGAGTGAAGGTGGCGCCTTGATTCCACTGGCAGTTGGCTTGTGGTGTTTCCTGGAACGACGCTGAAACGGCGGGCGAATCACGGCGGTTTCCCGAACCCTGGAATCGCGGGCCGTGAGGCGGCAGGCGGGTGCCACTTTTTTCAGGAGATGCGGAGCTGCGGTTCCGACGAACGCCCCACCACGGCCGGTCGGGACCAATTGCGGCGGCTTAAAGCGTGGTGCTTGGTTCAGAATCCATATTGCTCCGGATTTGCGTTCCTTGACAGTCCTGGGCAAGTCCAGAACAACCAACGGCTAGCCGCATGCTCCGCCCGATTGTGCGATTGGGGCTCGAATGCTCTCGTCCAATGCCGTCCATGGCCTTGCGTCCCAGCACTTGACATTGACCCCCACTGCACGGGAGCCTGCCCCACCCTCCGCACGATTGGATTCTCAGTGCTCCTCCCACGCGGACACCTGGTCGCTCCTGGTATGTATTGTAGGTAGGTAGCATGGCTCGAGCGTCGAGCATGGCTCACCAGAGTCGCCACACGGTTCAGCGGCCCTGGGAGTCGCTGGAACTCACAGCGTCGCATATCTCATCAGCTAGGGTCTGGCAGTGTCTGGGCCTGGCATCTAGCTCCCGGATCCCGCACTGGACAGGTATCCACAGTCATCCCGAGATAGGCGAATATGTAGGTTAGGTTACGGAGCTCTCTGTACACATCTGCCGCTGCCGTCGAGCATGAAGCACCAAGTCCCACCGCGCCGCGAGCCGCAGCTGCTAGCGGAGACAGATGTGCCGAGCCCTTCGTCTCTTCGGCCGGCGGTCTGGGTCCTCCTCTCGGGAAAACTGCGGGTGTCGTTGGCGAGAAGGCTTAGCGGTTCCGGCGCAGGGCGAGCAGGTGTCTGGCATTCTGCCTAAAAGAGACGATAACGGGGGGGGGGCTCCTTTATATTGATGCCCTTCGCCGTTCCGACGCCTTGGCTGGGCCGACATCCAAATGCCTGGGCTATCGGACTGTTCGGCTCTGGCATCTGGTATCCATCCATTGGACTGACAACAGCCCACCTTATCAAGGGTGCGTGCCCATCCCATTCCTGACCAAAGACACAAGAGGAGGCAACCGTATGTTTGTTTGGTGAGAGAGACCAACGGAAAAGGGGGATCTCCAGTGCATCCGGCCGAGGTTTTGCCTTGAAAAGCCCGTATAATTAGAGCAGCGTGCACCCTTCCGGGTTCCGGACGAGCCTCGCCCACCACCCCGATGCAGTACGACCACGACGACTTGCAGACAAATCGATGGTTTAAGGGACAGGATGTCGGGATCAGCAAGCGGCGCCGCCGTGTCTGTCGGGACGAGAGCGTCGCCAGCGGGAGGCGGAGTGGACGTGGTGATGGGAGGAACTTCGACAGCGACAGCTGCAGAAGCCGTAGCCACAGCGGCAGCCGCAGCCGCAGTGGCAGCGCCGACAACGATCGTCAGCGCGAGTCTGTTGGCGACAGTTGGCAGCATTCATAGCGCAAACAGTCTTACTGACAGGGGTGGTGAGCCACGATCGCGGTGCAGCCAATGCGGGCGCCGGCGCACAGCGTGCCACCACCTCCCGAATCAGCAGGGCCTCCAGCAGCCCGCCTCCCCATCTTCCTCCACAACTGCCATTATTGCCAACGGAACCCTCAGCGCCGCTCCGTCGCCCTTGCACCAGCGACCCCGCAGAATCTCCAAGCTAAGACACCGTGCTTTAACCGCCACCACTGCCACTCACACAAATGCCGCCGCCGCCTCCGTTACCTTCTCTGCGGATGACAACCCCAGCAGCAGCGCCAGCAGAGGCAGCAGCAGCAGGAGCAACAGTAGCACCTCCATCACCCCGGGAAGCAGCGACAGCAGCCTCGCCATGGAACCCCCCGTGCTCTCGTTTTACGGCAAGGAGCCCGTGCCGCTGCCCTCGCGCTTTGCTCAAATAAAGCGCAGTCTTGTCGAGGGCCACGAAAAAGAGCTCGAGGCGTCCTGGGCCCGTCTGATCGAGGCGCTGAAGGGCGACATGGACGAGATTGCGTCCAAGGGCTCCAGGTTGACCCCGACCATCAATTTTAGCGATATGCACGACCCGGACGCCCGGGCCGCATTCTCACGCGACCTCAAGCGCTACGGGCTGGGGCTGGTCCGCGGGGTCGTGCCCCGCGCCGATGCACAGTTCGCCATCGACGAGACGGTCAAGTACCTCGAGAAACAGACCGACTTCAAAGAGCCGCCGCCACAAGACCCGACATGTTTCGACTTCTTCTGGACCCCGGCGCAGGTGCGCACGCGGGCGCATCCCCGCGTTTTGGAAGCGCAGCGGTTCGCCATGTCTCTGTGGGACAACAACGCCGACGACCGCATGGCCATCCGGTTTCCCATTGCCTACGGGGATCGTCTGCGCATTCACGGCGCGAACATTGGGGGCGTGGGACCTGACGCGCCCAAAAAGGGCAAGGAAGTGGACAAGTCGGACACGCCTGCCACTGACGATGTCGACGACGACGGCTTCGCGGCGCACAAGGCGGCGGCGGAATTGTTAGGTGACTTCACATCGTCCACCGTCATCGCGCAGGTGGACAATGGTAGTCTCGAGCGGTGGGAACCAGACGGGTACGGCCGAGGCGGCACCTACGATGCCGTCTTCCGGGGCGAGTGGGAGAAGTACGACCCGTGGGATCCCACCTACCGCGTAAGCGCGACCCCGGATCTCTACAACGGCTACGGCGCGTGCAGCATCTTCCGCATGTACCAGGGCGTCGTGGCCCTGAGCACCATCGAGCCGGGCCTGATCCGCCTCCTCCCCAGCCCCAAACTCGCCACCGCCTACTTCCTCCTCCGCCCCTTTTTCTCCCCAAAAACCAAGCCCCCGGAGCGCCGCGATGGCCCCGAATGGGAGGCCTTCCTAGACCCCTCGAACTGGGCCCTGGACAAGGAACAGTCCACCATCATCCACGGCGCCGTGCCCGGCCACGCGCAGCGCCTGACCGAGCTCTGGCACCCGCACCTCCACCTCCGCCGCACCCTCGTCACCATCCCCACGCTGCAGACGGGCGACTACATCGTCTGGCACTCGGACCTCGCTTACCACATCACCTCCAACCCGAACCTCATGGCCAGCCGCGCGCCCACGCCCCCGCCCGAGAGCGAGGGCGACGCCAACGCCCCTGCCGGCCGCCCGGTCTCGATCCTCGTCTACGTCCCCGCCGCGCCGCTGACCCAGACCAACGCGCTGTACCTCGCCCGCCAACGGAAGACCTTCCAGCGCGGGCATCCCGGGCCGGACTTCGACTCAACCGGCAGCGGCCTGGGCAGCGAGGCCACGCACATCGGGCGTCCGACCGAGACGGATATCGCCGAGGTGGGCGGGCCGGCTGGGCTGCAGGCCATGGGGCTCGCGCCGTTCGATGTGGCGCCTACCCCGCCGACGGTGGGGGATGAGGATGTCAAGGAGGGGAGTAAACATGCGGATGGTAGGGGTAAGAAGGGGGATGGGGAGGGGGAGGGGGAGGAGGAGGAGGATGTGGAGATGGGGATGGGGATGGATAATGGCGGTTCAAATCCGTCGTCGTCGTCAACATCAATGACGAGGGCCGAGGCGGAGGTGGCAAGACTGGCGAACATCATTCTGTTTCCGGACAGGTACGACTTCTACATGGCCAAGCGGAACGGGAACGGTACCAAGAGGAGTAAAGTCGTCAGGGTAGACAGGAAACCGGAGGGGAAGGCGGATGTGAAAGAGGAGAAGAAGAGGTAACAGTTGAGGTCGTTGGCGGGGCGGGTGGGCTACATTTTTTTTGATCGTGCTTACAGGGTGTTATAGAGGAGATGTCATACCCCTGAGTGTTTTGTGCAGACGGGAAAGAGGAGGGATTGCTGCCCGTTAACGCTGGGCACAATATGGGCCGTCGGTTGGGGATGGCTACGGCATGCTGTTTTGTTTGGTTCGGATCCCATTGCACGTGCAATAGCTTCGCTTTTTGAGAGAGAACTTTGTATAAACGAGATTGCGTCTGCCTCTGTTAGCAGACGACACAAGAGAGAATCTTCATGGAAATAGCTGCTTGGCGACGGACTCGCTGTTGTTGACAGTGACACATCCATTGGTTTCGTCATAAGCGCAACATCGACCCCTGAATCCTGCCCTAGTGATTAGCCCTGTGCGAGTGACTGATGATCAGCAAGCGATTCGATCTTCACTGGTCACTCAGGCTCAATCTGGTTAAATAGGTGCGTATATTAAACCGCGGCGGCAAACCAGGCCACTGGGTGGTTTCGTCTTCTCTTATCTCGGCAGGCTTTGACCCGCAGACCGAAGAGAACAGAATCTAACTTGGACATGGCAGGCTGATCATGGAAGGGTTTTCGATTCACAGACCGGCTCACACAGACCATGAAAGTACGAAGCTTTAAAGATGGGTTCTTGGAACTTTGAATAAGATACCATTTTAATGCCATGAACCTATAAGAAGTTTCATGCCCGAGATGGGCTGTATATCATGTCACACCAAAATGAATACGATCTGCTCCTCTTAGAGGTTGAGGCAGTCAGCTACGATATTTAAGGTCATTGCCTAGTAGATGGCCATAACAAGTAAAACAATGATGGGATTGAATCAAGATGAAGGAAGGAAAAAAAAGGAAAGAGGGTAAATGAGAGGAGATAGAAGAAAGGGAGAAAGAACATGTAAAAAATAAACCATGGAAGAAGAACAGAGAGGAGCAATAAAAGACGGAAAGGAAGAAGCAAGTCGTTCGAGCCCGCAAACACTGGGTTCAGCTATGATCGATAGGATCCTTAGCATAATAAAGTTGTTCTGGACCATGACGCAACCCAGGGAAGACCGACAAAGGACATGAAACGCAACTATGAACCATCTAGGGGTTGTTCTATCCAAGGGCGAATGCAACGTTTTTATCCTTCCAAATAACCCCCAAATGAGATCACCCGCTATCAATCTCCGCAGCAAACACCCAGAAACACATCATCCTTGACCTTCTTTCTCTCCGCACCGAACAAATCCGCTACTCCCTCCATAATTCTCACCTACCACCCCTTTTCCAACATCACCACCAACCCTCTCAACACCTTTCTTTTTCGCTCACACCCCACCACTTGGTGTTCAATCACCGGTATATCACATCATCCATGTACCATGTCCATATTCGATGTCCTCAGCAATTCAGTTCCAATATCGATATCCAACCAACCCCAACGGGGCCTACTAACAGTAGAATGGACTGAACCATTCCACTCTTTCAGCTCTCTCAAAGCCACCTTCGTCCTGACCACACCAAGAGGGAGCTACCGCGCAGCCATGACCCGCCTCGCAATAGCCGCAACGCTCAACCACATCCGCCGCATTTTTGTGCCGTGGCTGGGCCAGTATGTCTGCGGGTACGAGTCGCCGCTGGAGGATCTCCGGCTGGCGCGGTCGAATCCCGAGGTTTTTGTTGCTGCCATGCTGGGCGGGACTAGTACTACTACATCTTGGTGGGGGTGGTGGGGGTGGGTGCTGTTTAGTTGTGGGCAGAAGGGCCTTTGGGACATGCTCGGTTCGTACCTTGCTGAGAGGCTACTATGGTTGAGTGCATCTGGTGGTAGTAGTAGTAGAAACGATAAGAAGAGACAGGCCGGCGGTGCAGGGAGCTCGGCGGGGTGTGGTGAAAGCAGAAGCAGGTCGAGGTTGGAGGCTCACGGCAAGAAGAGAACGAGAAAGAGGAACAAAGATGCCAGGACAGAGTTCTACCAAGAGATGATCAAGACGGGGCATCTCGCCTACGCCCTCGCTCGAGTCGAGTATCTCTTCGCCAGGGCGACGAACACAGCGGCGTGGTGTATCGCCTTACACAAACTACTCCTGTCCGGCGGCGAGGCCGAGTACACCGCCCTGGGAATCGCGCTTCAACAGAACTGGACAAGGGTGCCGCTTGCGGCGTGGCTGTTGGGCCGTTCCCTGATGGACGTGGTTTTGCCGCTGCTGCGGGAGGCGCTGTTATATGGGATTCGGGGGCAGCCGGCAGTGTTGATGGCGGTGGTGGGGGTTCTTGGGGGCGTAATAGGGCTGTTGAAGTACCGGAGTACAGTCTATATCGCACTGGAGATCAGTGGTCTGTTCATCTTTGCAGGGTATGTCCTGGCCGGGTTGGTGATGATCGGGGTCGAATGGGTTCTTCGTAGCCTCTATCTACTATATAGACATTATAGAGTATATTGTTATAAATCCTTTGGCTTTACCGAGACCTATAGCCCGACTAGCATTACCTTCGACCGGAGAACCCTTCCAGAGGCAGGACTGCCTGGGTTTCGTCACACGGCGGGAGGTGGAGAAGAGAGGATAGCAGATTATATACGCGAATAAGGGAATTCCTTGAGGAGGCTAGCAAAGCAGTAGCATATAGATAGCGTTGCGGGATGCTCCTACTGGTTAGGGTCGGACGTGGGTCAATCATAGTATTATATTATTAAGGGGTGGATCTATCCCCTTTTATCCTTTAAATTCCTGGAGTGCTTGGACCGTTGGTCAATGTATGTCCTACCGGCGCCTCGACAGCCATGACCTTCGTCAATTTTAGCGAGGTTGGATCAACCAGTTCAACTTTGAGGCTTCGGTTGAGTTGGTTGAAACCATTCCCTCACCTGCTCCTCCCTGCCGGTCTCCTTACCCTGCACCCAGGCAAGCACATCTCCCCCCTCAGCGGGCCGTCATCAGCATGACCACCACAGTACCTTTCTTCCCAAGCGCGGTACCGCGCCGCCCACTCGTCTGCCGTGGGCACCTCCCAAATGTGCTGCGGCAGCGGCAGCGGGCCCGTGGGGAAGTTTTGGCGGGCGTTGGTGGCGTAGTTGAGCGCGTGGACGGTGATGCAAGGCGCGGCGGATGGACTCGTCGAGGATCCAGCTTTGCCAGGCGGAGGGGGAAGGCCCGGAAGGGGTTGGGGAGGTGGGCGGGGACATGCTGCCGAGGGATTTGCTTAGGACGTGCTAGGGGAATAATATAAAACATAACCAGTCAGTGCATGTTGATGCGTAAGAATGGGATAGTAGAGGGGATGGCAGAAGGGAGCGTACCTGCATCAGCCTCAGCGAGATGGGGTCTACGCACTCTGACGCGATGGGCCCGGCGCGGTAGACGCGCATGGATGCGTATTGTAGAACTGCTTGGAGCATCTCGACGTCTTCGCGCGCGGTTTGCATTTTTGAGACCTGAGAATGGGCCATTTCGGTTAGCGGTCTGGACTTAGTAAGGTTCAACGTTTATAGCTCCCGCTAGATGGAGGCCGTGGATTACTTTGAGTTGGATCTGGGCGAGCTGCGCATCGAGCGCTCGGAGAACTACGTCGGATTGTCCTGTCTGGATGGCGTACATGTACAGTTGGCCCACCGTCACTGCTTCTACGAGCGCTGCTGGTCTCTGGCTCATGTCCCAGTCCCGGAAGTGGATAAACAGGGGCTTTCGCAGCCCAGTAACAAAATTATCCACATTGGCATTGAGCACGCTGTCTATGAAGTCGAGTCCCTGCTGTGCCGTCTTCCATTTCTCGCCGAGGAATAGTGACAAATCCTCGAACGGACTTGGTTTTGGACGTGACGCGAGATGTGCATTGCCGTCTAACCTGGGTGTCATGCGTCCTCCAAGGGAGAGCTCGGTGCTGTAACTTGAATAACCTTCATCTAGGAAAGGGAGAAGGTCGGTTTGCCATTCTGCCGGAAGCCAAGTCGGGACAGAAAGGCAGGCTGAGGGGTCGGCTAGGGGGTCACCCTGGCTAAGCGGCCTCCATTCAGGTTGTTGTGATTGTGGCTGCGACAGGTCCGAAGATGGAGTGAGGGGCAGCGTCACGGCATGTGAAGCCGACGGAACAGCGACTTGGTGATTCGGCGTTGAGCGGAGTCCCTCGGAGTTCGAGTTCGGGTACACACACACTAGGCCGTGAACGACACACCTCGAGCAGCTGGGCCGTGCTTGGTCGCACCGGACCTTGGATCGCGAGCATTCAGCACACGCCTTGCGCCGGCTCGAAGGGCGGAATCGGCACCGTAGCCGGTGCCGTTCCAGGGCAGACACTTGGCGGAATCGAGTTCAGCCCAGAGTCCTTGGTTGCAATAGGTAGGTACCTTTGCAAAGGTTGAGATGTTGGGAACTCCATACATACCTGAGGGGAAGGTTCTGTTGCAACTGCTGCAGGAGAGCTCCATGATGGGCGGCAGATATGTTAGGCGAGGGGCCGATACAACGGTAGCCGAAAGCGCGGTGGCACTGTGACTGGGTGGGTTGATGGGTGTCTGGTCGTGTAATTACCGTACTGTACACGTGTAAGCTCCACCGAGACCTGAAATCAAAACCCACCGCTTCAACCAGTCGCATCAACACAACCAGTTTCCACTACTATGTTCTCATACTCGACGTCACCGACCTTGTCGGGCACCCAGGCACCATGGGGTCGTCTAGATAGGAGCAGTACGAGATCCACACCTGCAACGCACCGAGGACGGTTGCCATGAGGCCGAACAGCAGGGCGCAAAGAAGCCCCAGGACCACCAACCAGGTCGCCCAGCGCGCGCTCTTGCGCCTCTCGGACCAGCGCTCGATGCGCGTGACGGGCGTCGGGTTCTCGATCTCCCTCCAGAGCACGTCCAGCCGCTCCGCCCAGTGGGGGTAATTTTTATACAGATCGGCCATGTTTTCGGGATTCCGCGCGTCGCGTGGGCCCTCGTGGCCCCGCGAGAAGACGGAGAAGCCTTCGGCGAAGGCGTGATCCTGCTTCACGGCGTCCCTGAGCATGACCTGCGACGCTTCGTCTGTGCTGGGGAACAGCAGGTTGTAGGTGCTGAGCGTCTCGACCAGCAGATCCGGCGGGAGACAACCCCTGGGTCCAGTCAGCGCGGGTGGGTTGATGCTAATTAACGGTTGTGACGACGGGGCACTCACAGGGCCAGTGCGTCGGCCGTGTTGTGGTCCAGCTCTGGCTTGCTGGCGAGCAGCGCCTTCAGACACATCTTGAGGTAGCAGGGGTAGCGGAACACGTAGACGGTCTTCCAGTCGGCGCCCACGAGCAGCTCCAGGTGGTCCGTCAGCCGGTCAGTCCACTCGATGCGGATGCGGGCATCGGCTGCAAGAGCGTGCGCCGTGATGCGGCCGACGGCGATGGACGTGCTGCGGCGGTCATCGACGGGCGCCGCCCAGCGCGGGTACACGCGATCGACGAAGGCGGCCAGGGTCTCGTCGGGTTTCCACACGGGGTTGAAGACATCGCCGCCAAAGGTTCCCGGCGTTTTGCAGGCAGTCACCAGCATAGTGCGCACGCCGAGATCTAGGGCGGCAGCTGCGCCGTCGGGGGCGGGGATGGCCGTCTTTGGTTTGGTGGCATTCGCCTTGAGCAGCTCAAAGACCTGCAGGGCGTCCTCGTGGGTGCGGATGGGCGGGCGGCTGAAGATGACGGAAGACTTCAGCTCCTGGCGGTAGTACTCAAAGTACGGCGCCATGGAGCTGACGCTCGCGGTGCCCTTGGCGCCAAAGACACCCAGGATGGCACGTTTGGTGTCGTCGTCGAGGTCGCGGCCAAAGTAAGCGACAAGATCCATCCTTAACTATCCCGGTGATCCGCTTAAAACAGGAAACGCCAGGCTTTTACCAGTGACAGTAGAGACCCGTTTCGCACCAAGATCCTCGAGATACGGGTTGCTCAGCTCAGCTGAGCCGTTTCACCCAATCGTGGCGCCGCCGCGGCAATGAGAGCGCCGACAAGACACACAAGACGGGACCAGAGAGTCGGGACTCGGTAGTGGCCCGGTGCGGCTGAATGCCACTGCATGTGCTCTCGCCATTCCCCCACCGCAATCTCCCCTTTGACATCCAACCACACCAACCAAGCCCAGACCCGGAGGGCAGAATGACAGTCGATCATGCTTAACTTGAAGAAGGACGAACGAGAGACGACCACGTGACAATGGCGACCACCGTTGAGGTGCAAGTTGCTGCCGACCCAAAGAACACACATACGGCCATCCTGAACGGCGCGCCGAAAAGCGAGGCACTCTCAACCTGGTGGCGCGAGGTCAGCCGGCTGCGCCTACAGTCGCGGCGCGCGCCCGCTTCTCGTCCGCGCCCTGCCGAACCTACCGTTGACCCAAGGGACATCGATTCGAGCGTTTCCGGCTTGACGTCGGCGTCGGCGTCCGCCACCGTATCTGTCACATCGTCCCACGAGTCGAGTCGAGCGGCGCCACCTGTGCAAACCCCCACTCGACTGGCCGCTGCGGTCGAGACCGGCCTTCTCGATGTCGAAGTGCGCCTCAACATCCAGGAGAAGCTGCAAACACTGGTGCTCGCTTCGGCACTCGGTCTCAAAGCGGACCGCATGGCGGACTTCACCGAGCAAGAAGAGGAAGCGCTGCGCCAGTTCCAAACTGCCTATGATGAGAACCGTGCGATTTGGTTCCGAGGCAAGCGCATGCCGTCCGTCATCTTCGAGCTCGTTGCGCTGCGGAGCAGTGGCACAGGTTCCTCCTCGGGAGGGTGGCCGCAGACGAGCATATGCGTGCGAGGACTGCACTCCGAAGACGACATCAGGAAGTTCCACGCCGTCATGTCTCGAAGCGCCATCAGACGCCTCTACTCCGGGCTGCGGCTCTCGTACGACAAGACTCTAATACAGAGGCCGGCGAGGGAGGTAAACGAAGATTACGACCACCTTCCGGGCTCCCCATGTGAGACGTTGTGCGGCACGCGGCTAGTTACGCGGCGACCAGGACACAGCGTGTGGAGCTCGACGATAGGGGGGATCATTCTAGTCGACGGCGCCCTGTACGCCATGACGTCCTCGCACATGCCAGACGACCACCAAGTTGCATCAACGACCGCCTCTCTCGTCGGGTCCAGCCCCAGCACGCTTATTGGCGCACAATACGATGACGACGTCGAGTCCGCCTTGATTCTCGATCCCCCGTGCCTGTCAGAGTCCGCTAGCGGGGGGGAAAGTCCGCAGAAATGGAAGATCCGGCGCAAACCCCGAGCTTTTTCCGGCCGACCTTGACCGTCCGTGGGCCGACTTTGGAACACGACGAAGACGACTGGCGATTGATTCGGCTGTCGACACACGACTGTCTGCCAAATTCAGTACCACCGGTGCCAGAGCACGCAGGCGCCGCAACAACGAGGTACCTAACTGATTACCTGGAGGGGAAGCCCTTGCGAAGCAAGGTCTCGATACTCGCCGGCTTCAGCGGGCTCTGCCGAGGAACACTGCTCTCCAGTCCCGCCTTCCTCTCCGTCCGTGGTGCCGCCCCGGCCGAGGTCTGGACCGTGGTGCTGGACGGCAGCACCACGCTGCAGGAAGGCGACTCGGGCTCCTGGGTCGTCGACGACCAGCGCCGTTGGGTAGGCACCGTGACGGCCCTGTCAGGACGGGATGCCTACCTGTTTCCAGCCCACGTTCAGCTGCAGCAGATGCGGTCCAGCTTCGAACGCCCCGTCTCCCTGCCGTCGCCACTGCGGTGTTACCTCGAGCTGGCCGCTGATGACTCCTTCCCTGACTTTGAGCGTTATTTTTTCGCAACCCAGGCGCTGACGCCCGAAGTGTTGATCGCCTCGGCATCGGACATGGGCCGTATGGCTCTGACGCTGGCGATCGCCAAGAACAAACTCCCTGAGGACATCCTGAAATCGCTTCTGGGGCCCATGGGTACTCGATTACACACCGCACTCACACACCCAGTTGCATCACAACCATACAGCTGTCTTGGGCACTTCGAGTCCTTCGCCTTGAATCAACTACGAGAAATATATGATTCGATAGTGGCTGAAGGCCGTACGGGGTCGCGTGCCGAGATTCAAATGGTATTTGATGGCGGTTTCGTCAGTCCCAAGCCCCTTGGCACGCCGTCGGACGCCGGGCCCAAGTGGAAGCCTGCCAGCGGTCTTCCACTGGCATGGGACCTGAATCAAGAAACGCCCTCACACATGCCAAACCCGACGGCAATCCATCCACCCGACGACGAAGGTAAGTTCCGTTTCTTCGTTCTTCTACTCGCTGTCCCCTCTCCGTTGCCTACGCTCCTACATATCTGGATTAATCAACACATTTCTAACTGCTCAGTAGCGCCAGACAAACGTAGCATTAGCCGTGCGAGGGTATTTGCCCAAATGTTTGTCGAGTGCATCGTGGCGAGCGGCGTGAGTGCTCTCGCAGGCATGGCTGCCCTAGCCGCCCTCCTGAGCGTGCAGCCCAGTCTGCGTTCAAGCATGCATGAAAGCCTCCCTGCGGCCAACCCGTTCCCCTTTCCGGCGTTGGGGGCGACGGTTGGCTTGTGTCTCGCAGCACCTTTGGTCTTTGCAAACGCTGTCTACACGCTAATGTCATTACTACCCTTGCCCCGTCCTCCCTGGTTCAAGGTTCTCCGCTCCTGGTTCTACCTCTTGGCACTCTTCCCCGTGGGGTTTGTGCGGGCCTTGGTTGCCGTGGTCGTCGTGTCTATCGTGCTATCGATCGATCTATCTGGTCCGTGATGCCCCAGAGCCTCCTTCCTTCACCCCTGGTGTCCGGGATGCCGTGCTGACGCCTAAGCAGACAACACCGGGTTGTACATTGCCGCCCTCGCCGCCGCAGCGCCATTTTTGGCCGACACCGTCTTGAATAGTACGCTGCGTGTGACCCATTTGGTTGGCTGGGACAAAGAGGAGGGGAGCCGGAACCTCTCGCTGGACCATATCATCCCTATATACGCATCGGGCGTGGGCTGGGACGCGCTGGCGGGGTATACCTTCGCGCGCGTCGCGGAGAATTATGGTTAGTGCCGGTTTCCCTTATACAAGATTTTCCAGCTCCGTTTCTTCTTCTTCCTTATTTCCGAGGCACCCAGGAGCAGAGCTGACTGGTCAACTAGGTGTCGGTTTCGTCGACGTCGGAGCGGCAGCTGCGGCAGGCGGGGTCTTCGGCACGCTGCACTACCTCTGGCGACCCCTCGCGCTCGCCACCTTGATGTTGTTCCATCTGTGCTTCCCCACTTCAAAGGAGCAGCGTAAGGAGATGAGGAAGAAAAGGGGATGGCGGGCCCTGCTCCGGGATCCGCCCGGGGTGAGCACGTTTGAGAAGGCCAAGGGGAAAGAACGGGAGACGCCAGCTGCCATTCCTGTCACGGCATTGACACCGCCTCCCATGTCCCAACACAGCCCTGCGGCTCCCTTTGATAGAACTCCCGAAGCGGAAACCGGCTTCCTTGTGGAAATGATACATGGGCTGTACTCCACTGTAGATTAGATAAGCAGCCCCACGATGGATATGACTTGCGGTGGCTTTGCACTGCAAGACTTCCATCACGCATCTTACATTGAACTTCTGAATTGACACATTTTGACCATGATTTGACATCCCCACGATACCGCCCTATTGTCGTGTATCAGGAAAGCTCGTAGAAACATCCTTCTTATACCTACTCTAACAACATATGAGTGGTACGATGGCGATAGCATTGTCGGTCAATAGTAATGAAATCGGTCGATAGATGATAGAGAAATATATAGGTGTAGGAGGAACAGCCTTAGGGTTATTCAGGGGACTGTGATGAAACCCAGGCAGTCCTGCCTTGTGACGACTAGATGCAATTGAACAGGGTCAAGCCGGCTGTTGTTGTCATTCTATTTCGTGAATCTAAGGTTGAGGAAAGGAAAGAGAAGTTCTGAGTCAGTGGCCCAGAACATTACACAAAGATATTCCTGATTTGTGGGTCATGTGACCGGTGCTCCACAACAGCCGTCAATCAGGGAGGTCGTGGGTTCGACCCCCGCCTGGGGTGGCACCCATACCGACCGTGACATGCCTCTAAAAGGGTTCTCCGGTCGAAGGTATCTGCTAGTCGGACTATAGGTCTTGGTAAAGCCAAAAGGTTCATAATAATGCAATTCGCAATGTCTACATAGTAGGTGAAGGCTACTGATTAAATTGGTTACTTACTAAGGAAGCTAGCTATCTAAATGAGTGATAGAATAGTAGTATTATATATAGCTTCCTCTTCTAGGTATCTTTATAGCTAGATTTCCTAGATCGATAGTGTCACGAATCAGTAGATGCAGGCTAGGCTCAATGGCTCTAGTGGGCAACTGACTGTATTGCAAGAATACTGAACTTGCAGAAGGAAGAGTTCTGCAAGTGGAAGATGCGAAGCAGGAAAGTCTAAATACAGGATGTGGGATGTGGGGCACTTGCCAGATATGGAAGGTGGGACATGCGCTCCACAACCAACCAATCATACTGCAAGCATCATGCATGGTACGGTGGCTTCCACCGTCACACTTGCCGTCAGGGAAGATATAATCCACCGAGTGTGACGAAACCGCAGGCAGTCCTACCTCTGAAAGGGTTCGCCGGTCGAAGGTATCTGCTGGTCAGACTGTAGGTCTCAGTGAAGCCAAAAGGTCCACAATAATGCTGTTCGCAATGTCTGCACAGTAGGTGAGGTTACTAATTGTTATTGCTCACTGGAGAACTTCCCAAGTCCTCCAGAATGAATGACTAGCTAACCTATATACTACGGGCTTCCCATAGATCACTGCTTGTCTCTGGTGATCTCTCATACTAGATCACTTTAGATCACTGGTAATCCTCTATGAGCCTTATAGTTAGATCACCAAGCCTTCCCTATGCCAAGCGTGATCCTTTTCTGATTAGTCCGTTCCTGGACCGGAATGATTGGATGCGGGCGCCGCCCGCGGACCATGCAGGTCGGCCCTACTGGCTTCTGCAAGTTAATTCATGACAGTGAGCCGCTCACCGGGATCATCAGTTCCCGATTGATCTTAGTGATCCTGCCGTCCCTGACAGCTATTAGCTCAGGGTCCCAGGGTCGCGCCCTACCCGGCCGTCATATATGGTTAGTTCATAACATTTAGATTAATTAAAGTATAGATAAAGTAAAATAATATCCTATAATGTGGTTGATAAGCGAATGTCATAGATAAGCGAATGTCATACGAATTCGCCCTGACATATCTTCTATCTTTCTTCCCATCTTCCTTTACAATGCAATATAGGTTATAAAAGCAACGAGGACCAGGTGCAACTAGCCCTTCTGGCAATGCAAAATGATCCGAAGTTAAGCACTCGAGCAGCTAGTAGGATCTACAATATAGATTATGAGAAGCTAAGCCGCCGGCAACGCAGTATATAATCACGACGCGATATTCCAGCCAATTCGCGGAAGTTGACCAATCTAGAAGAATTGGTCATTGTTTAATATATCCTCGACCTGGATTCCAAAGGATTTCCTCTCTGCTTATCTAGTATAAAAGATATAGCTAATCAACTATTTGCCGAACGCGATACAGGATGTGTCAGTGTGACGGTGGAACCCACCGTACCATGGCACAGGCCATTGATTGGTCAACCTGGTTGGTGCCCCACCTTCCACATCTGGGCATATGCTCCACATCCTGTATTTAGACTTCTTCGCACCTTGCAGTCTTCGAGGATTCCTTTCCTCCTGCAAGTTCAATATTCTTGCAATGCAGTCAGTTTACCACCAGAGGCTTGACCCTGGCCTTGAACGACGGCCCTCGTGACACCGTTGGCCCAAGGCCTTCCCAAGGCCTTTTTCCTTACTTGCAGCAGCGTGTATCACTGAAACCATGTCTTTCCTATTACTTCTGACGAAGGTTTTTACCCGGCCTGAATGGTATGGTTTTTCCTTTATACATAGCAGTAGAGGGTCCGGCGCGCCTTGTAAATAGCTAGGCATAGCGGAGTAGGAGAATATATATATATATATAAGTATAAACTAGCTATAAATGATTTCTGAATCTTCGTACTAGGCCCTTTAATAGTCGTATTTCCGATTAAAATATATAGTAAGCTCTAGGTACTATTTAACAAAGTTATATACCTAATATATTCTGACTGTCACGAGGGCCGTCGTTTAAGGCCAGGGTCAAGCCTCTGGTGGTAAACTGACTGCATTGCAAGAATATTGAACTTGCAGGAGGAAAGGAATCCTCGAAGACTGCAAGGTGCGAAGAAGTCTAAATACAGGATATGGAGCATGTGCCCAGATATAGAATATAGGGCACCAACCAGGTTGACCAATCAATGGCCTATGCCATAGTACGGTGGGTTCCACCATCACAACCCCCCCCGGAACAGAAGACTCGCCTCGAGTCTTCCAATACAGCCGAATCCACCAAGTACATCATCCACACATACTAATCAATCGTACAAATCGCCGTTATCATCGCCAGAGTCCTCCTTCAGAGCCTTCTTCATCGACTGGGGCTCAGGAACCATATCATACCTCGGTATATCCATAGCTGCAATATCCACCGTGTTCAAATCCATCGGTTCACCCTTGTTGTAATTGGCATTAAAGGGCTTGGGGTTACCGGAACCGTGGTAACGTATATTAAGCTTCTAGAGCATTACGACAAAGCCGTTGTAATCGTCGGGTATAATAACCTGGGCATCGAGCCGGGAGCGGGCTGATTTATTCAAGCCACGACGAAGCATAGCGATCTTGGTATTGTCGGGCCATATATTCGCCTTAGCCGCGTAAAGTAGCCGTTCGAACCAGGCCAGGAAAACCGGAAGCGAATCGTCGTCGGCTTGTTTTAAGGCTTATAGTTTGTCTTCGGCATTGCGTACCTTATTGGGGTCATCGAACAAACGGGCTAGTTGATTGAGCAGGTTCTAGGGGTCGTACTGCTTTGTGTCTTCGGCAACGGCCAACTGCAGTATAACGAGCGCCTGAACCTTGCTATTAAGGCGACCGTACATATAGAAAAACTAGGCTTCCGGAGCTCCTATAGCTTGACCGTCGATACGGAGCTTGGCTTGAATAGCTAGAAACCAGGTATCCCAATAGTAGGTGCTAGAGAATTTGTCGGGGTCGGGGAGGCTCGGCTTAGACTTGCGGGCCGACTTAGTCCTTAAGTCGGTAAGCTCCTTTGTCAAGGCTTGAATCTGGGCTTCGTAGTTCTGAATAACCTACTGCATATGCTGAAGGGGGTCTATCTTGCAGGTCGGTTGTTATTCGTGTTCGTTGTTGAATGCAGGTGCAAGAAAAAGAGGGCTCTTGCAATTCGGGATTCAGCCGGTCGGTCCATATACTTCTAATTACCATACAACCCATATACAGGGAAAGAAGGTCGGAAACTGCCGCGCTTGTAATAAATACCGAAGACCCTTGAAGAAATGGCACTTCCAATTACTACTGTAACCCTTTAGTGCCAGGGAAGGAAGGCCCGAAGTGATAAATAAGGTGAAAAAATTCCGGGTGCCGACGGGGGGCTCTAGGTGCAGGCTCCATAGTTGTTCGAATACGTGGTCAGGCCTCCGCTAAGACGATATACTACGTGCTCGGTCGACTAGGCACGGGTCGGTTCGGAAGGTCGTTATCACGGACCGTATGGGGTGCAATGGTATATATGTGGTTGCACGAGGGAACCAGAAGTGTGGCCCTGCCGCGCGCAGGGAAATACCCTGCGCTGCACAGACCAACCCTGTGGGCCCGACCAGGGCTCCACAACCCTCGTGCCTGAACCCTAACCCTACTCTACGACATGGCACGGGCTATGCCCGTGACACTACCCCGTCCTCCAAAAAGGCCCCCCCTTCCGGGCCGTCGGCCAAATTGGCCAATTCTTACAAAACGACGTTTTCCCTGGTTATACGCCCGGCCTGAGCCGGTCATATAATACCCTTCTTCGCCGACGGACATTCCGTTCTACTGATTCAATTGCCCGCGCGCGCGCATTGAACCCGCTTGCCGCCGCGCCGGTCACCCTGGTTCCGCCTCGCGCGCTCCGTTCCGTACCCTCGACGAGCGCCGTCTTCCTTCCGGCGCCGGCTCCCGCTGCTCCCGCTGCTCCCACGCACACTGTCCCGGTTCCCGTATGCCGTCTCGTGGCGCCGACGACCTTCGTGATGATTCCCTGGTATTACGGCGCGCGACCTACGCCGGGGGTCCCGGCTGGTCCGGGTGGGCGTCATAGTACGCCTAGATCGCATTATTGTAGCTATGCAGGTCTATGGCCGGTTGCCAGGTCGGTTCGTCATAGCCCTCCTACTTTACTAGGTATTGCCAACGGCCGTTGTCCGCCTTACCATAGTCCAGAATGCTCTCGAATCGATATTCCTATACTTCCTCGCCGTTATCGGTTCTTGTAATGACCTTGCCGCGGTTGGCTCGGACGTCTTGCTGTGTTTCTTCCTGCCCGGGCAGTCCGGCTTGGATATAGGGCCTTACCCATGATACATGGAATATATTGAAAACC